AGTTGCAGTTTCGTTGCAGTTGCGTTTCATGGTGTGTTCTGGGCCTTAGTCTTTATGTTGTTTTATTGGAAAGATTGGAAAGATCAGTAGCCAACTGTGAATGGCATCATGGCGCATCAAAACAATGTTTGTTTTGTCAAATTTTAAACCGGATCTCGAAATCCTGTTTGTAAAAACGAGGATCAGATTAGAGACTCAATTAAATTCAAGGATTCTAAACTAAGGAAAATAAGGTTTTACTATGCTTAGAGAAACTAACTTAACAATAAAAGACTTTTATCTATGTTCTAAATCAAAAAAAAAGTAACCAGTAAAGTAATATAGAGTCTTTATTCTATTTCTAGTGTCATGGCCAGTATGACCTTACTTTATCTTACCTTAAACGTATAAGTCAAATCCACATGTCTGCTTAGGTCCCTCGCCCACGGCGACTTTTTGTAGTGATGCTGTCGCGCGTTTCGTAAACGAGCGACAGCATCGTCGCTACTAACGCGCCTTAGTCGCATTTGCAACGCGCTACAGAAGTGATGCCAATGCGCTTCTTCACGGCGATATGCAGTAGCGATTCTGTCGCGCGTTCGCATCGATAGTCACAATGCGGTCGCCATGCTGTAGCACAGAATAGTTAAATGTAGCGCGTTAGTAGCGCGTTGGCATCACTTCTGTCGCGCGTTGCAAGTGCGACTAACGCGCGTTAGTAGCGATGCTAAAATTATCGATGGGCGAGGGGCCTTATTAAAAACACATTGTTCCTCATTAAAACAGAAAGGTTATCTTTTATCTGTCTGTGTTTTGATTGTAAAATGTACGGATGACTACACAGTCTGATGAGCTGACTGTACCTATCCATATCACTTGTTCCGAGAAAAGGTGTGTAGTGATAATAATAATAAAAAGCTTACCTACATAAGAAAATTGCGGCGAAAAACTTCCAATAAAAATAATTACACATACCTAAACGTTACAGAGGTTTTGGTACAAGTATTCACTAAAAAGTGTTTTGTTTGTCTCAGTAGGCATTGTATTCTTTCAATGAAGAACAAAGTTAGTCCCAATAAAATGTAGGTATTCATCTTTTAGATCAGCAAAAAAAACCTGCAATATGTAAAGGTACTAGTATACTAGTCTCTAGGATGGCCACTTCACTAATCGCTTTTTAGATCACAGTTAATATTAGTTCAATAATGAACTTTCAAGCGAGAACAGGCGTTCTAAATTAAGAACTAGGACATTATTCTTAGCTTTGGTTCTGTAACAGTAGAACTGAGCCCTTCCCAGTAGCATGATGTCATGGAAGATTCTAAAATTGAATATTTAACTCTCAAATGTTCGTTCGTTCGTTTCAGCCAAATGACGTCCACTGCTGGACTAAGGCCTCCTCCAAATGTAAACAATAACAAAATAGTATTTATAGGAATTCAATTTGAATGCAAAAAAACTAATGTTATTCTATAAAAATGTTTGAGATTGTATTCTGTTGTTGTACCTATAAATAAATAAATAAATAAATAAATAAATAAATAAATAAATAGTAATAGAATTATTTGACCTCACCGTAAAAATAAATGTTACAAATCTCATCTGTGCTGTGCTTGGCTACATGTTTGGCTTTTTACGGTCTTGTCCGGCTTTTTATTTTGCTGGTGCGCCAGGCAAAAGTCGACCCACAGAATAATATGAAGCGCAGTAAAATGATGTATACGATGATGATAGTAGTCACTCGTGAGCAATGACACTAATTGCACCCCCCTCCCCCCTCACATGTCCGGCTTTTAAGATAAAATGTCCGGCCAAATGAAGCACAGAGTCCGGCTTTTGTGTTTTTGGACCTGGCAACCCTAGACCCGGCGAGCTTCGTACCGCCTATGTACACGGGAAAAATGTAGGATTCTAATGTTGAGATATTTTTTCGAATCGGTCCAGTAGTTTCAAAGTTTAATCAATACAAACAAACAATCAATTCTTTCCTCTTAATAATATTAGTGTAGATATTTTCATACTCGAGCAATAGAAAGCTGCAGTATTAATAAGGGAATATAAATTTATATTTACTTCCAATCCAATTAGGAGTAGAATCCTTTCAATAATCATCTAAAGGTAACTAACTAGTCACATCATTATAATTTCTAACGTGACATCATGCCACCTCAATACTATTTAAGTACCAACACATAATCAGTACTATTGGCTCATTGGTATTGAAGGCTAACAACTTTGAATCGAGTTGATTCTCAGCTTGGTTTTATAGATCGTTTGTGCAGTTATATTAATGCTTTTTGCACTTCATTGTTGGTACTCATTTCTACATTCAATTCAAGCATGATCTCAAATGTGTTTATGACAAAAATTACATTTTAGAAAAATTTACGGCACATGTTGAACCAACAAGATCGCACTTAGTACTTTTTAGTACTTTCTATCAGCTATGAAACTTTCTAAATTGGAAATTCAGATTACTCGTATTAAGTATCTACGAAAAGCTCGATATTTTGACTGCTTCTTATACTTACGTAGTTCCGTACCCCAAGTGTCCACAATGAACTCTATTAACATTAATACTGTCTTAATACCAATAGATTCTATGTATGAACCGTAAAGCCAGCGCGTATTTCGCCCTACACAATCAACAAACCATGTCAATTTTTTTTTGTAGGCAATTTTGTTGAATGTTGAGATGTTTTTGTTGAGTGGTAGGGCTAAACGCGCTGGAGACCCGGCTTAGTACAGTTGAAAATGTAAAAGAAGTGTGTTACAAATCATCATCATCATTTCAGCCATAGGACGTCCACTGCTGAACATAGGCCTTCCCCAATGCTTTCCATGTGTTACAAATGTCGCTATCAAGTCAAATGAAAAAAAATTATTTCGATACAAAATCAAATACATTTTCTGCGAACGGATGCGAATTGAAATACGCCTTCAAACTAAAGCTCTGGTCTAGACTTTCAGACTTAATAAAGATATACGGATTATTAGGCTGTGTCTCTTCAGTGAGGGTAATTGAAATAAAAGAGAGGACGAGAAAACTGTGTCAGGCCAAACATTTACCGCAAAAACAGTGCCATAAATTCCCATCAACCACTTGTAATAACTTTGTTTGTTCCTGTCCTGGAACCAAGGAGAAGTTCTCTTTTAGTCGACAGGACTATTTTTAATACGGTGGTTCTATTTAACCAGCTCACAATATGTATAAGAAACTTATTAAGGTGTAAAAATGTCTGGTAACGAAATGTGTTAATGAAGTTATTTTGGATTTCAGCGACTAGGCCCGTGGACCAAGTTAAAGTGGGCCAAGTCACTGGAAGATTCGAAGTTAAAGAAGTCTTTAAATAATAATAAAAACTTGTTACTATGGTCCAAGGGTTAGGCTCTCTTTGCGTGATTCTTGAACCGATTCCAAGTACAGTCATAAATCAATGAATAGTTAGAAAAAGAAATATAATTATGTACCATCGGCAACAGTGTTTGTTAACTATCCATTGCCTGTCATGTCGTCTCGTTCTGTCGCAAAGAATCTCCATTTGATGAGAGCGAGAGCGTGTGTACTTCAGGGGGTAGATACATATTATGTTAATTCTTTTTTAAAGTATTAAACAAATCACGCGATTAGTTTTTTTATACATATTTTTTGTACGATAAATAGTGTGATAAATCATAGGGTTTATTAATCCGTGATGATAGTTTTCTTCTCTTGGCGATGGTACGCATACATTACAATATTAATTGTACTACAAGTAGGTATCAATAATGTGAATGATAAAAAACTATGTATCATACTTTCTGTCCGGTTCTTGCACAATTTTTACTACAGGTAGGTATATGACGAAATTTTTTCACGAATGTACGGTAATTTCAAACAGTAAATAATTATTATATTAAATCTCGGCGATAAAATTAATCATGATTATACTATCTTAATAAATGAGCGATTATACCTCACCCATCTATAAATAAACATTAGTTAATAATAATAAACTAAAAAATAATAATAAATAAACGTTGATCTTATTGTATAAGAAAGTAAAATACCTATAGCTTACGATCTAATTCTTTTGAAATTGTAAGTACCTATATGGAGTCCAATTTACAAGATGCTTCCGTAAGTCGAAAAGAAAAATATCTATGGATTTGCATATAAAGTATGTTCCATCAATAACGTAAGCGTCTGGGTGTATTAAATAGATGGAATTCACTGATAAGTTTGATAACACTATAATAATTTCTTGTGAATTAGATATTTTTAAACAATAAAATGATAACTTCATTGAAGAAATAGAGCGATAAAAGAAAACTTTAGCGAAAAATATTTTGTAGCTATATTTAACAATGTATTATGCTCTCCAAGCGGAACAAGCAAAGCAAAGCAGACTCAATGAATTCAATTTGCAGACATGACACTGGAGTCTTTATTTGATTACTGCTTAAGTGCGAATTGTCGGAGACAGGTCGTAGAGAGCGACTAACCTCTTAGCTCCAATTACTCGTCGCAATGTGTAACAGTGTAATAATTTAATGTATGGATATGGTAGGTACACACACACAAAACATACCTGTCAGTAAGCGCTGTGCGCGCGCGAGCATATCCTATCCTATTTCAGGTACAGATTATTCTCTAAAGTATAAAAATCACGGGCTGAAAGACGTAGTGTGGGCAGGCCCCCCACTAGGTGGATCGACGATCTAGTGAAAGTCGCGGAAAGTACTTGGATGCGGGCAGCGCAGGACTAGTCGTTATGGAAATCCTTGGGGGACCCTTTTTGTCCAGCAGTGGACGTCATTTGGCTGAAACGAACGAACGAAAAACACTAGGCTGAGTTACACCACCTTTTTTTGACCGTAACTATTACAATAACCGGTGTTTTTTATATGGATTTTGAGATTTTTGACGTTTGCCAAAGTTAAAGTAAGATGGTGCAACCCAGCCCTAGTTAATTGGTACATACAATGAGTACCAATTTGTAACAGGACAGTAGTTAATGAAATCTTTATCATTTTCTCAGGATCCTGCCTTCGTTGCCGTCAGTGTAACAGCCAGAGCGACCCAACATGCGCTGATCCTTACACCAGCACGAAACCTTCAGTGGTAAGTTTCCACACAATACTTACTAACTTTATAAATCTGGACAGACAAACATTAATCCGGCTTTATTAGTCTTTCTGTAACAGACTGAATGAAAAAGATGGAATATTTCAATGAAAGGGCCTCACTTACTAATATTAATATTATTGTATAAATTCTTCCCGAATGTACGCGAACGTATAAGCGGTGGTTGGAAATCGACCATTGCTCGTCGCAGTTCCTAACGGGGCATGGCAACTTTAAACACTTCACGAATTCAAACAGTTCCGTCTCCTGTTTGTGACTGTTCCACTGTTGAAGTCAGTCATGAGCAGTCTGCCCATCATAATGTTGTGGGAGTGTGATTTTTAAAAATATGAACGTGACTTATTGCAACATACATCAGTTTCTGCAATTTATTACACCGATCTTGTCGCGACAAGGAAAAAATGATTTTAAGCTATTTTGTTCAATCTTGCTCTACTTGGCCATTTTTAGGTTAATATGTTTAAATAATGAGATAATTAATTGTATCTTCATCAATTCCAGGACTGCTCGACCCAGGACTCCACAAACTACAACAATATGTACCTTCGCAATTTCCTACCCAGCGAGGCCAACACACACCTAGTGGGGGCGCCCAGATTCTGCCACAAGATTGTCACCCGTTAGTAATTATTACTTATAATAAATATCCAATAGATAATACATACTTTGGACCATAAAATTAGACAAACTCGTGATGTTTTTAGCTAGAAAGTACGACGTTTCTTATCTTGGGCTCGATTCCCAAATGAGTCACAGAAATTGAAGAATGTTTGTTTGGATATTGTTCTCGATTTGTTTAGATATTACAAGCTTCATCAAATCAAATCAAATCAAATCAAAAAATATTTATTCAGTTGACCACAAGTGGCACTTATGAACGTCAATAGAAAATAATAAAAAAAGAAAAAGGTAGCCCTTATGGGGCACTTTACATGTCTCCTTATCTTTTGGGCCCTACCAGCGCTCAATTGGATCGTCCAAAATTAAATAATAAATTTAACACGTGTGCATACTTACCTACAATTTTGACTCCTACTTTCACATAGATTTAACTATACCAACGCCTTACAGCGCGGCTCTTACAAAATTTAGAATTCAGATGTCAGAACCCTCACGAACAGGGAACAATTTATTAAACAAAACACTACCTACCATTCCAGACACCGGCACAGTAATCCGGGCGTGTCTCGACTCGAACCCGATCAACGTGAACCAGACCTGCCAATTCCTGGACTCGGCGTCTCAGATCGACCCTTCAAAGAAGATCCGCCATTGCAGCGCTTGCAACAAGGACGACTGCAACGGAGCGAGCGCTGCGGTCGCTTCGCTGCCGCTAGCGGTCGTCACGCTCCTCGCATCGTACCTCTACTACAAACAATAATAACCAACGAGCTTTATTAGTAACACGATGTCATTGGTCACGCTTTTGCTGCTTCGCTGAACGCGCATCACAATACCGATGTGCCAAATCGGTGTATACAGATTGACACACAAAACTGACCTAACTTTATTGTTGATCTTTTTCCAGTTTTATATGTGTAAAACTTTAGTAGTTTCTCTTGGAGTGGATACTGATTATAGTACCCTCCTTTGCAGCGCGCAATCGGGTAAAAAACAACGGTTAGGTTGTGTTTTGGGTCAATCAACACAAAAACTTAGATCGCACTTGTTTGAAATCAACAACTAGAGGCATTTGTTGTTTGTAGTAACTTTGTATGAGATCATAATGGATTTGGCTCATAAATAATCGCTATCATGTAGAGATCGTCATTTAAACTCTTCAGAGGCCAATGACTCAATCGCCTTCAATAACCGTCCAATACCATTGTTGTTACTTTTGCTTCGTTGAAATTTGTTACAATAAGTAATTAGGGATTTTAGATTAAGCTATTTATAGTTAACAATATTATTATTATGTTTACTTTTGTTTTGAATCTCGAAAAGAATCTTTACCACCCATTGTTATATCTAAAAGATCTAACAAGATTATTTTATTTTAAGAAACAACATTTACGATAATACCTGCTTTTGAACCACCATTTTATGTTTACCAAATAATGTTTTATAATATTATTATTCTAATTTTATTTTTAGGTTATGGATTTACTTACTGTATAACAAGAATCTATAGTTTTATGCTTGTTTTGTTTATAATTTAGGACTCGAAATGTAAGCCGTAAAGCCGAAATATAGCAATAAATAAATAACATAAAAATTAATATGCTGGCTCTAGTATTGTTTTCATAGTACTCATAAGGGCATAACCTCAAGCGAAACAATATGGACGCTTAAATGTAGTTTAATAACAAGCGAAAAAAACTTAAAGGTACAATGATGTACTGTCTGACCTACAGTATATTACGATAAAAGTAAGTTTGGCCACTTTTGGTTTTAGCAAAATACCTATGTAACGATAAAATAGCATATTGTTGAATAAAATATATAATTGTGAACATGACTATAAATTGTATGTATGTAATATAAGTCTATAGCTAGGTAGGTATAATGTATAAAACAAATGAGTAGTTGCCTTATAAGAAAATACCTACCTAAAATGTACATGCTGTTTAATAAAAAAATGTCTATAACTAACTATAAACAAAAGTAGTACCTTATCCTTACGAGATGTTTAATTCATATACCTAAAAGACAAATTAAATTACATTAAGTTTACAATTTTTGATCTAAAAGCTATTTTATACGAATTACAAAACACTAAAATTATAATGATTTCCAACGTTTACGATATCTAGACCGTAGATAATATTAACAGTAAGCATTTATGAACATGGATGTTTTATTTGCGTTTTTAATTAAATTACAATAAACAAGTATTCGTTTTTTATTAAAACAAAGAAAAAATTTGTGCAAGCCCAGAACTTCGTTATTTTGTATATAAAAGTAAATATAAAAGCTGAGAGTTTGTCAGCCGTGTGGTGACGGCAGAGTAGAATACATTAGGGTATTTGACACCACCAATCAATTGACGTACTTTTTAAAACTGTCAAAACGACACTCTCCCATAGATTTTGTACGGCGATACTAGCATGTGACGTCACAATTTTATCAACTCAATGAAAATACTTTTTTCAATTATAATGCAACCAAAAATCGTAATTTACAGGTAATTAAAAATTAATTAAGTTTTTAAGACCAGAAAGAAGTGTCTTTTTCAAAAAGTTGTGCTTTAGAATTATTGGGAAATGGTGTCAAATACCCATTTGTCACCAACCCCTACTCTTCCCACGGGTGTCGTAAGAGGCGACTTAGGGACTACACATCAAACAGAGAACGGGCAGCAGCGCTGTCTGAAAAACATCAATCGTTTAAACTGCGATCTCCAACCCGCCTGCCAAGCGTGGGGATTATGGAAAAACCCTCCACTATAGTAGAGGAAGCTCCAGTGAAGTCCAGCAGTGGACTGTAAAGGGCTGTCGATGATGATGATGAGAGTTTGTCAGCGCATGCTCCCAACGTAGGTGAGAACGTTGGACCGTCATCGAGTTTGGGTCATCGTGGCTTTGGCAGCTACTGGCAAGGTTTTGGAACGGTCAAAACTATCTGGCTGATGAAGAAACATCGACCGGATTCCAACAGTTATTCCCAGTTGGAGAAACCTGATGTTCGCACAATTCTCCCATTTGAACATTGTAATGCGTTTAAAACATGTAATTATTCAATGCAATTACAAAAACGATTGCACTGTTCTGTTTACTTATTCATGTTTATCTATCAAGAGCCTTGCAATTTTCATTCCTTTTATCTGAAGGGCTTTATCATTTGATAATAGTTAAGTGCAATCATACATAACTAGGTGTTCTCATTTATGGTATATACGGTATGTTGTTTAATTTTACCATTATCATCATCATCATTATTATTTTAGCCAGTTATGGCCCACTGCTTGACAATTAGATAATTAATAAAAGATAATTCATTTTTTGCATGAAGCGCGCTAAAGAGCTTATCTGCTTTTTACACGACAGCGCCAGAAGAGGGTTATGTTTTTCGCGTATATTGCGTAACTCTTCGGCACGCTCTATAGCCGAAATGGCGTGAATGTGTGATTGGCACAGACATGTTAAAGTTAACAAAATTTTTAGTTTACGAAATCGAGTTAGGTATTCTTTTTTCAGTAAATTAATTCATATCAATTACTGGTGGTGGAGCTGAAAAACTGACGACTAAAAGACTATGAAGATGAATGGATGCTCGAGAGAGAGAGATGCTGCGATTCATGCAGTGCATTGTTTGCATGCATGATTAAAAATCTACAATTCTATACTTACTTTATTATTAAAGACGGAAGACGTAGTGTGGGCAGGCCCCTACTAGGTGAACCAACGATCTGGTGAGGATCGCAGGAGATGCCTGGATGCAGGCAGGACCGGTCGTTTTGGAGATCCTTGGGGGAGGCCTTTGTCCAGCAGTAGACGTCATTTGGCTGAAACGAAAAAAAGAACACCATGTATATTAAAAAATATGATTTATAAATATAAAGTATTAAACTGACATCAATCTAGTAGTGATAGTTGACAACGGAGTACAGTATCGAATGGGATTTCTCACAATGTCATCTTTTTCCATCGTTGTAATGTTTGCAGCCGCCACCATTTTGCAAGGTAAAGTTAATGGAATAGTGATTGTTTTAAGTATATTTCATTAATTTATTATTATAGTTATTGAATTTCGCATACTTATTCTTCACATTGCAGATATTCATCGTTTGCGTAACATTGTAATTTTATGATTTACAAGAAATGGTTAGCAACTATTTTTTTAATTTCAGTGGACAGCTTAAAATGCTATCAATGCAAAAATTGCAACGAAGTTACTAGTGAACAATTATTGACTTGCAACTTTACGATTCCTGTTCCACCCACTGGTATTCCAACTGGTGTTCCTACTGAGGGGTCTACTGGTGTTCCAACTGGTGTTCCTACTGAGGGGTCTACTGGTGTTCCTACTGGTGTACTTACTGAGGAGTCTACTGGTGTTCCTACTGGTGTACCTACTGAGGAATCTACTGGTGTTCCTACTGGCGTACCTACTGGGGTACCAACTGGTGTACCTACTGAGGATTCTACTGGAGCCCCCACAGGGGAATCCACTGGCGCCCCCACAGGGGAATCAACAGGCGCGCCTGCACAAACAAACGAACCAGATCCTACAGGATTAGAGGTAGCCATGGTGAAAAGATCAATAGAATTCGATGATGATTCGGATTCAATGTTTTGGGACGACGACTGTAGTTGTCATAAGGTGCGCATTTTTTCTTCTTTCTTTCTTTATAATTGATTCATTCGTACCAGTTTATGAAACCTGGAGAAAGATACAATTATTTAATTTTAATAAATTAAGTTATTTCATTTCAAAAATATTCAGGCTCCTGTTCTGAAAGTACGCTTATGTATGAATTTATATTCAAGATCAAAATTAAGCCTTTAATAAACCTGTAAAGATCATGGCATAATCAACATTAGGTACCTACTTTAGAAATGTCTAGTTTTTTATTTATTTATGCAAAACAAGGAAGGTATTTGACCGCAATCGCACCTGGTGTTAAGTGAGATGCAGTCTAGGATAATACATATCTGCCCTGTAAGTAATAAATGAAATTATGTTTTTCTTCAGGATTTCTGCAACTGTGGTGGGCGAATTTACTACACCGCATACGAAGACATCATAGCCGTGAACCTTACATTTGTATGCGTAACTGACACTGTCACCAGTAAGTGGGTTTCATACAAGTAAAACAAAACATACCTCTAGAATGAAAAAAATTCGTCTTCGAATCGTTTGCGTATTCGAATCGCCATCGAAAGTATTTGTAACTTATTAGTAATCTATAGTATTAGTACAGGGCAGGCTTCCCACTAGGTGGACCGACGATCTGGTGAAGGTCGCGGGTGGTGCCTGGATGCGAGCGGCGCAGGATCGGTCTTCGTGGAAATCCTTGGGGGAGGCCTTTGTGCCAGCAGCAGTGGACGTCTTTCGGCTGAAACAAACGAACGAACAAAATGGTATTAGTAGGGGAGACTGGGTACGGTTGAAACAAAGGACGGTTGAAACAGAGCAAATATCTCGTAAACGGTTCCACGGGGAGTAAGCGCATCTGCGGTCGTTATTAAGAACTAAAAACAATTGTCATTTTTTCGTATCGAAGTCGAATTGTGAACGCGACGTAAAGTGAACTTAGTATGAGAAATGGTAGCACGAAACTAGAAGTCTAGCGCTTAATGTCACCCTTCCCGTGCCGCTCCCATATCTCGGCACTGACTGCTTTGCTTCTGCGTTAAGCACTAGAATTATAATTTTGACTATCGACATCATGGACCTATAAAAAAAGTCGGACGGATTCTCATCAACAAAATACTGTGACATTAGGATACACCAGCTTGCCTGTACGTACAGGCCGGCACGCACACATTCACACCCTGTTACACCACTTCGAGTGCAAACTTCACACAGTTGACACATTTAAGCAGCGAAAAAACAACACGAATTCGACATGTCTTGTGTGATGAAATTGTGTAAAAACCGTTCTGTTCGAACAAACAAAAATTAAGGAATCACATTTCACAGGCAAAATAATAATCCAATCACTTATTTCCCGACATTAAAATATTGAAATTAATTGAAATCAAACGTCATTCACTCGAAAAAATAATACGTCAAAGACCAGTGTTCTCAGTTATTTACGTGGGAAAATTACCCGAAATATGGGAAATTAATAATAATTTTAGGACTTTTTAGTTATTTATTACGCACACTATGGAAATAAAATAATTTATCATAATAATTGTGTTTTAATGGGATATATTTTCATAGGCAAATTTGATCCTTCCCAAAAATGTGGAACTGCAAAATTCAAATTTTCTTACATTGATTTCAAGTCAGTGTCAGGTTGTATGTTAAAAAAATCTATCAGAGATAATAATAATATATTGATGATGCATAAGATTATGATTATAATATACACAAGATTCGTAATTTGTAACTGCGTGAATCATTTTTGATCAACATTATGTACATAACCTGACCTACTGACTTGCAAACAATGTAAGAAAATTTGAACATTGAAAATTTCGCGCCTACCTCAACGCACCTTTCATCCTTTTAAAATGGCACGGAATAATTCTGTCTACATTTCCAAGTAACATCTGCCGATCTATGTTTTTCTTAAAATAAATGGGTAAAATGTTTTGGCTAACATGGCATCCCTAAATTCACTCACACAATAGACAAACGCCAAAATTTTGCGTCACAGTTTTGTTGTAGCGCGAGTTTTTTTATAGGTCCATGATCGACATTGGATGGAACATATCATAGAGCAGCTCGTTGTTCTGTTCTGCTCTGTCTCGTGTATTCTGTATGCTCTAACTATGTAAAAGCAACCCGCGCGGGTTCGATTCCCGACGGCACATCAAGATAAATATTGTGATATATTTATGTAGTTGAAATAAGATGCTATTTCGCAACAAGTGTATAAACTGATGTAATGTCGACTGCAAATGAATATTCAAATTGTACCGAGTATTTTCTTAGCAGATAAATTTCCAAAAAATAATATTTATGTCACTGTAAACCTGTGAATTCCGTCAGATTATAATCAGGCGTAGTTAGATTACAATACACAGTGTTTTTTTTGACCCGAAAAAGTGACATTCTGTTTTTATCACTAATATCCAAAGTTTAACTTATTATTAATGTTAGACTAAAACACCCAGGTGACAAATAGCTATAGATTATTTTTTTAAAAATATTATTAGAAAATTTATTTTGTACTGGGTCAAACTACAATTTTATTATTATTTAAAGAAACGTACATACTAAGCTNGCAATATAACCTTACCCACAGTTACTTTACAATCTCACGCGTTATATTATACACTGACGGAGTTCACAATTTCACGTTGACATTTATACCGATTATAGGTTTCTGCTTAGTTTAATAAATTGCAAATTTTCAGCGAATGGAACAAGCGTCACCAACAGAGGATGTGCTATAAAAGCCAATACAACACAGGAAACCTGTGCCGATTTTAACTACACTAACACTTGCACGATTTGCGAGACAGACGGCTGCAACCGCCCCAGCATGGCCATTTCATTGAAGTTCTCTACTATTCTTTTGTTGCCTGTATTATTGACTTCGTTTATTAAAAGTTAGGTAACAAATAAATAATTTTCATTGTCACTTGCGTACTTATTTGGATTATTCCACTGTGTGAATTGATTCGAATTCACCTGAAAAAGAAAATGGGAAACATTTCAGGTTCAGAGGTGCAATGTGGACATTAAAAATTCCACTTTCTTCGCCCAGTTGACCCACATAAACCCTGGCTGCCCTCGCGGCCCGGGGTATGCGCAAAGCATTTCCTCATGTAAAAAAAAAACAAAGTGGAAATGTATGGCGTATTTAACTTCAAGATATCATATTTTGAGAGCTGATTAGTGTACTTTATTATTTTATTTTACTGCATAACAAATAAATAACTCACTTATACATTAAATTTAACTATGAGAGAGTTGTACTCCTGCAGTGGAGACTAAAGGAACAGATTATGATGATGATAAAAATCAGTGGCCACTTTTCCCGTTCAGTATTTAATCGTTTATTGCTTTTTCACATTCTAATGTTCAAATTTGTGCATTGACTCTAAGGCTCAGTTGCACCACCTAACTTTAACGGTAACTATGACGATAACCGGTGCATTTTGTATGTAGTTTGACAGATATTTCACGTTTGTAAAAGTTAGAGTTAGATGGTGCAACTCAGCCTAAGAACTTAGTTATATAATCTTGTTAAACGTTATTATAAACCTTAATTACAACGAGGAATCAGACCAGCACTGTGTACACCAAACTGGCAACCACCGCACAGATTTTTGATTTCGCTTCTGCCCTATAAAGGGATAACCTATAAATAACCACCAACCAACTATCTGTCACCGTCGGTCATGCTGGCATCTCGCTTTGCGTGAGAGAGATAGTAACATTCGAAACTTCGTACGTTTTTCAAAGTACCCCCATGGTTTTACAAATAGTCGAGCTACAGAGAGTTGACGCTTCGACGTTGATTAAGTAAGTATAACCCGAACACTATACATAAATATCCGGGTATTTTCAAGGCGAGAGTGAATAGGCACTTACAGGGTAGATATGTACCATCCTAGACTTCTTCTTATTCGTTACGCTTTTAGCAGAGCGGTCGTGGTCACATTGAGGCGTTGTTCACATCGTTTGTAGAGGCGGATACAACTCTCCGCACGATCTCCCGCCATCTCTCTCTATCAGACAGACTGTCTTGGCAGACTGTCTCGTGCAGTCACATACGCCGTCTGAACCGTCTCCACTACTGATTTCCTAGACTGCATCTCACTTAACATCAGGTGCGATTGCGGTCAAACACCTGCCTTGTCTTGCATAAACAACAAAGTACATAGTGCGGTAATTACCCGTTCATTATATTTAACAGGATCGATTACTATGCCCACACGCTATCGCCTTATCAATCTGCATTCACAAGATAAAATTTACAGGCCATAAGTAGTACCAATAATACTTGTAGTATGAGCCATTGTGTGTGATATTATTGTATTACGAATTAGTATGTTAAAAAATTTAATGTGATTAGGTAATTCATATAACTGTGCATGTATCTACGTTTTTTTAAAGATGATACCTTCACAACATACAAAATAATTCATCAAATATTCCTATTATGCAAATCATGTTCATATTTAACACAAATATTAATTCTCAAATTCGAAATTAATTCAAATTAAAATTAGATTTTTAGTAGCTTAAATAAGTATATGTAATGAACTGTGAATGAGTGATAACTCATAACATTTGACACAAAATCTATGGAAAAATCGCGTTTTGTTTAGTGATATTAGAACATTTCATGGAGCGGCTAGTTGTTCTCCTACAAATTTGATCGCAGTGTCTCAAGACAAAAGTCTTTGACCAGTGTGTGTTGCCAGTGATGGCTTATGAATCTGAGGCGTGGTCGCTTACTATGGGCCTCATAAGAAGGCTCAAGGGCACTCAAAAGGCGATGGAGCGGGCTACTGCTATGCTCAGAGTTTCCCCGCGTGTTCGAATCAGAAATGAGGAGATCCGCAGGAGAACCAAAGTGACTGACATAGCCTGCAGAATCGCTAAATCTAGTCAATAGGTTAGATACTCAGAATGTACTCGTAAATTAAGAATAATAAGAATAATCTTCTAAAAACATATACTATAAAAGGAGAAACTGACTGGACTCACTGACATAGGTATCAACGCACAGCCTAAACGGCTAAACGTAGGCACTTACTTGAAATTTGGAAGGGACGTAGCTTAGGTACCGTAGAGGTGCACTAAGAAAGGAATTCCCGAAATTACAACGGGAACGGGAATTAGCGGGAAAATCCTTTTGTATGAAAAATCTAAACCGCTTAAGTTTGACGCTTGAAATTTGGCATGCAGGTACCTTAGTAAACTTAAAGCTACAGGATATTGCATAATTCCCACGGGAACCCACCCTAGGTTTGGTTGGTTACTAATTGGTTGTGATTAGAATTAATAGGTAATTTAATATCTGATTAGCCTATACGATATGCGATTGCTATATGAGTAATTTTCTTTGATGATAACGGCCCTTTCTTCGCAGTGATGTCAGGTCCACTTAAAAAACTGATTAATCTTAACATCAAGACACTTAATGACGTATTAGTCACAAGTGTTTACTACTACATTCAATACTGATTGATTTATGGAAACCTATACACAATGTAGGTATTATTTTACAAGTAAATTCAGACGAATTGCAACACTTAACTTTGACCGTACCGCGATTTCTTTAATTGTATAGACTAATAAATAGTACTTACCTACATGTCTCATAATCTTTTTACCCTTCGCTTCGAGACCAACACTTGGCAAGTGCTGAGAAGAAGCGCCGCAACAAACTCAGTCACCACTGTCTGCCGGTTAATTTGCTTCATTTTATTAATTAGCTGCGTTTTCCGGTACGTGGCCTCCATTCCAGAACCTTGCTGCCCCATCGGCCGTCAGTTCTGCGTACTATGTGCCCAGCCCACTGCCACTTCAGCTTGCTGATCCGTCGGGCTATGTCAGCGACTTTAGTTCGTTTACGGATCTTCTCATTTCTGATTCGATCTCGTAAAGAAACACCGAGCATAGCCCTCTCCATAGCACGTCGCGTAGCGTAGTCCACCCACAAGGTGGACCGATGACCTGATAAAGGTAGCGGGAAGGCGCTGGATGCAGGCCGCTACCAACCGTGCGATGTGGAAGTCATTGGGGGAGGCCTATGTTCAGCAGTGGACGTCCTGTGGCTGAAATGATGATGATGATTTAATTAGCTTCACAGCTGATGTCAAATCATCAGAATGTCACCCACTCCCGTTTCGCTACGATAACGCCCACCTATCGTTATTACACTATTACGCCCACTATTTTATGGGAAAGACCAATCACAATTTTATAGAACTGACTAAATTTCCGAATTGAGATTTTAAGTATTGAATAACTTTTCATATTAAGTTCATACTCAAGTAGAAACTGATCATAGTCAAGCTAAACTTTTACCTTTTCATTTTACAAATCAATTCAGAAACCGAAACAGAAGAAAATCAAGGCCATTTAATTTTACGGGTCTGGGTTTTTCTATGTATTTACAAAAAAAAAGTATTTAAGTATGTTTAATATCCGTTGTCTAGTACCCATCCATAGTACAAGCTTTGCTTAGTTTGGAACTAGAGGCGCAGTGTAATGTCCAAGGATATTTATTTATTTAACTGAAATAAATTTTAGAAGATTCATTTTTAAATTGAAAAATTTTAAGAGTAACAAATGAATTGGATAATGAGATAAACCTCGAAATGAAGTAAATCGATAATAGCAGTTGATTACTGGAATAAAATAAATAATTTATTCTCACGTTATGTGTTCAAACTCTATTTTTGAAAACGAACACATGCCCGTGATCTGTTATCTTTGTGATAAGGATTTTATCTTTTCACTAACTACCTTTAACTGATTATTGATTAGTACACGCCGTGACAAGCGCTGTACGTCCGAGTACGAGTAAATTTTGCAAAACCTTGACCAAACGGTCATGTTAGTATCTAACTTGAAGACGGATATTTCTGATGCAATCTTTATTTTTAAAGATTAAATATTGAACCACTAAGTATTGGGCTAACGTGCTATAAGGAGTCAACTTAGAGCGGCAGAGCTAACACACCAGGTTTTTGATTGCGGTTTTGACATTGCGGTATTCGATTGCCCTGAAAAAGTAACTAACTAACCCCAGGTTTTTACTGGGTTCGAGCCCCACATAAGGTTGTCAAGGATAGGCCATTTTCCTAGGTCAAAAAAAGGTATCGAAAGATCAGGTATATTAGATTCAGCCATATGTAAATCTAAAAATAAATACTAATCAAGGAAATCAAAAATCAAAGAGCATTACTTAAATTTCAATTAAGAAAGACTAGAATTTTTCAGTACTTTTTTGTGTTCCTGCTTAGCCTATGTACCTATAAAAGAAGTATAAAGTACTAATTACTGTGCCTGCGACTTCGTTCCCGTGAAAATATTTTGAATAATTATCCCGGTTTTTGCAAAAATTTATCGCTCCACCTCTTGCCAATATGTAGGGTGATGTTATTTATAGCCTAACTAAAGCCTTCCTCGATAAAAGGGCTACCCAATACAAAAATAATTTTTCAATCAGTCAATTATTATTATTAGTAAGTATAGATGAGCTGTCAACCAACAGCAACGCATTCCTCTGCATGTAGGCATATCAAAGTAGTTTTTTGTCGTCATATGTAGGTACCTACTGCAAGTATAATTAAAGTCCTTCGCAATTTAGCTTTATCTCTTTCGGTAGATAATACGTTCATATAAAGTTACTATCAAAATTCTGATATATCATTTGTAGTGACGGCGTTATAGACTGTGTACAGTTTATTTATTAATTTCTAATGAACTAGTATAAATTTTGAAAATGTATAGTGTAAAATTCCTATTGTGTGCTCAGATATTAGTTTTAGGCCTCAGCTTTAATGAAAACGGTAAGTGAGAACTTTAGTTATTTTTATAATCTTATTTACTGGACATACAATTTTAGTTATGAAAATGATCTTATTCAAGTGATTAAATATATTTTTGACTAGCGGCCGCCCGCGACTTCGTACGCGTGGATTCAGTTTTACCCCCTTAGGGGTGGAGTTTCGTAAAATCTTTTCTTAGCGGACGCCTATGTCATAACATCTACCTGCATGCTTTTCAGCCCGATCCGTCAAGTAGTTTGATTTGGCTGTGCGTTGATAGATCACTATGTCAGTCAGTCACCTTTGAATATATTTTTAGATAGATAGATTTCACTAACAAATAAAAAATACACTTCATTTCTAAGGGCTTAAAAAAAAGATGCAACCAGCAATCTACTGATACAGTAAATCAGTAGTTTAACTTCCGTTTATTTGAGTTCCCGTTACTAAACTTACATACACAACCACTTTTGAAGGTTTCGAGTCGAGCTTTCGTACCGGACTACATACTTGTGCTATAACCTCACGGTATATTTAGAGTTCATATCGCAGAAATAAAATCAGTAAAAATAAGCGTCGCAAATAAGACAAGTTTAGTGCAAGTACTTAACATTTTCTGAAGGGAATTCTCTGTTCATTTTTAGTTTAGATAATTAATAATTAATTACTATTCAATTCGTATGTCATTTTAAATAAAGTAAAAAATAGTCAATTGTAATGTTGGATAATAAATTAGTTTCACGATTTTAATACACACATAGTACAAGTCTATAATAAAAAATCTATAAAAGCGAGAGGTCACTGACTCACTCATCACGAAATCTCAAAAACTACAAGTGCTAGGAGTCTCAAATTTTGCATGGGGGTTCCTTTTAGAACGTAGGTGCTCACTAAGACGGGATTTTGCCAAATCCAATACCTAAGGGTTAAAACGGGATATGCTTACGAAGTCACGGGCAGCAGCTAGTGTCTAATAAAAATGTTCATTAAGAAAGTACTTATTTGTTTTGGTATTTAAGGAAAGTATTATCTTCATTTATGACATTTTCTGACATACAATTTCATTTGCAGCGGACGCTTTGCAATGTTACGTTTGCAGAGGATGTCACACAGTCACGGCTAATGATATTGCCACATGTCCTCCGCGATTGGCAACGACCACTACAACTTCAGGCGATATCACAGATCCTACAGTCACTGATCCTACAGTCACAGATCCTGCAGTCACAGATCCTGCAGTCACAGATCCTACAGTCACAGATCCTACAGTCACAGAATCAGTATCAACAAGTGAGGTTACAAACACACCCGATACTGACACATCTGATACTGACACATCCGATACTCCTCCTACCACAGACCAATCTCCTCCTACCTCTGATAGCTCAACTTCATCAACTGATGGGCCTGTGACTGGCACTACCGACCCAACCACTGATGGCTCAACTTCATCAACTGATGGGCCTGTGACTGGCACTAGCGACGCAACCACTGATGGCTCAACTTCATCAACTGATGGGCCTGTGACTGGCACTACCGACCCAACCACTGATGGCTCAACTTNACGTGTAAATTAAATTATTTAGTGGGACTTGGTTTTTTTGACAAGTATTGTTTTTGATGGGATTTCATTTTCCGGAAATTAAATTAATGAGGGTTCCTTTTAGAACGTAGGTGCTCACTAAGATGGGATTTTACAAAACTCAACCCCTAAGGGGGTAAAACGGGATACGCGTACGAAGTCGCGCGCGGCCGCTAGTGTCTAATAAAAATTTTCATTAAGAAAGTATTTTTTTTTGGTATTTATGGAAAGTATTATTTTAAATTATGACATTTTCTGACATACAATTTCATTTGCAGCGGACGCTTTGTAATGTTTCGTTTGCAGAGGATGTCACACAGTCACGGCTAATGACATTGCCACATGTCCTCCGCGATTGGCAACGACCACTACAACTTCAAGCGATATCACAGATCCTACAGTCACAGATCCTGAAGTCACAGATCCTGCAGTCACAGATCCTGCAGTCACAGATCCTACAGTCACAGANGGCGTTACTGAAGACGACTCTTCGCCGACAACCGATGCACCTGTAAGCGTCACCACCGGCGTTACTGAAAACGACTCTTCGCCGACAACCGATGCACCTGTAAGCGTCACCACCGGCGTTACTGAAGACGACTCTTCGCCGACAACCGATGCACCTGTAAGCGTCACCACCGGCGTTACTGAAGACGACTCTTCGCCGACAAGTGATGCACCTGCGAGCGTCAATACTGAATCTTCGACAATAGGGTCAACGAATGATGACTCGGAGTTGGTGTATAACGTCCAAGTAAGTTTATTTATAGTTTTTTTCCTCTTTTTAGTAGAATCTCGTGGGAAATATCTGTATCTGTGCAATATGTTCACGTTTCGTATTTTATTCTCTTGAGTAGTAATCGTAATCATAAAAAAAATACTTTTGAACAAACTAAAAACTCGTATTTGGTAAATGATTCAAAGAGGAGAGCAATAACCATTAGATAGTACAAGGTTTCTTAATTTTCAGATGGTGAACAACCGACCCTTGAGATACAACCCATATTTTGATTTCGTGCCCATGAGGGCTCTTAAGGAGAGTGATGATGACGACGACGTTGAGGCTGAAGCCAGGTGTCTAGTGGTGACATTCCTTGAAGGTTAGTTTAATATATCTCTTTTCTCTTTTGAACATTCATTCAGTCACTCCAAACTCTTAGAAGATCACAAATCAGAAGGTGTCAGAAGCGAGACACTAACCGAGCTAGTATAGTGAGTGATACATTTTATATTTATATCAAACCTATATTGTTTACATTCATCATCATCATAATCATCATCATTTCAGCTAACAGAAAGTCCACTGCTGAATATAGGCCTACCCTAAATGATTTCCATATTAACCGGTTGGTAGCGGCTGTTTAGATTACATTTTATAATTGATCGAGGTGACCTCCGAATACTATTATCTAATGACCAGTTTTAAAAAAAAATCCCTAAAATGCACAAACAGAATCGTTTAGGTGTTGCCTTATTATTTGTGTGGCACGAAATGACGCAATCTACACACTTATTTATCTTAGAAGCTAAGAATAATTAAATTCTTTAGGGGACTCCTCTGATAAAACATTTCAGGTAGATTTAAGTACTAAATTGAATAAACAAGGGAACTTACCTTTTCATTTAGGAAAACAAAGTGAATCATTTGGATTATCTACACTTTAGATGATAACGCATTGGTGAAAGTAGGTACTTGAATATTTCAACACAAGTAGGATTAAGTGAACAAACATCTAACATATCAAAGACAATAAAGGTGATTCTTTATAACTCATTCCCTTTATAAACGTTAGAAGATATAGCATAGAACTCAGTCTAGTATTATCACTACAGACAGTTTTAGCTTGAATTTCGAATAAAAAAGTAAATATTTGCAACAAGAAATGACCAAGAGAAACCCAAATCTGTTTTCTATCTACAGGTTGGAAACGATAAATTTGATCTCACTCGATTTCTAAACTATACCAGATATCGAAAAACTGGTTACTGATCCTGAAAGAGCTTCATCAGCTCTTTCAAACGATACCATTACCATTGAATTTTCGGATAGATCCAGTTTATTCTGTACATTATTATTGATACCGTTTGATAGATCTCATGAAGCACTTTTAGGATCAGTAACTACTTAGTTTTTTGATATCTTGTATAGTTCAGAAATAATCGAATGAGATCACTTATCGTTTCCACTCTGTATAGTTCACTTCATGTTGAACTTATATATTTTTTTTAATATGAAATGTATTTTAATGGGCTTTTTTTATTGTTTTAGAAAACGGCGAGACGAACGTCATCCGTGGTTGCACTTATGAATCGGATGACATAGAAGCGAAGTGTCGCGAAGCAATGGGTGACAGTTACGATGGTGACATGCGAAGCTGTAGGGTGTGCGACGGAGACCTGTGCAACTCTTCCAACATCCACACCATCGCTGTAACCCTCCTTTTATCTTCTATATTGCTGACTCTAAAAATGAATCACTGATTGAAATGTTTTGTAACAAGCAAAATACTTGAAACCTTTCAGAATGGTTACATATTTATTTACTACTTGTAACAATTACAATGATGATAACAATATTGTTCACTGTAGAAGGAATTGGTGCGGGTGGATGGTTGTTTAAACATCTAGTTATTCAATTTGACCTGTCTAGTCAATCTATACTTCTATACTAATATATTATTATAAATGCGAAAGTAACTCTGTCTGTCTGTCTCTCTTTCACGCCTAAACCACTGAACCGAATTTGGCGTAGAGATAGTTTGAGTCCCGGGAAAGGACATAGGATAGTTTTTATCCCGGTTTTTGAAACAAGAACGCGCGTGTTAAAGTTTTTCTATGACAGACAAAATTCTACGCGGGTGAAGCCGCGATTACTCACTTTAAACAAAGAGTTTTAATTGTGCTATTTTAAATAGATAGCATCCAGAGATTAAATGTTGTTATAATATTGTGAAAATATTTATAAATAACTAGTATGAATTTCAAAACTGAGTCTATCCAAAAGGAATATGAAAGAAAGGAACTGGCTAAATGACATGACTAGCTTGAACAACAAGTGAATATTGTAAAAAATAAAGACACCAAAATAATTAGTTATCAATTACAGTATTGGAACTAATAATAGTTGTGCATGTGAAAATGTTGATCATGATTGATTTTCGTCATTTGGTTTATCCGTATGATATCCGTCCCAGTATTATTGTATGCAAGTGTTTTTTTCATGGTAGATAACTTATTCCTATGTAAATAAGTATTTGATATTTTTAACACGCTCACTGCGTAACCATTTTTCGTAGACTTTCAGCCAGTGCGTATGAGGTCTTTTCGAGTCAATATTGAACTTCTTTACAGTGCGTATGAGACCTTTTCTGCCTCACAAAATATTGTTTCTAAAAATACTTTAAATATAGCTCAGGAAAGACAATATTGGCTTGAAACTTTTCTATTATAAACTTAAATAGATGTTTAACCTTAAACTAGCTTCGCCCGCAGTTATGACATTTTGGTATTGAATAAATTAAAAAAATATATATGACATCTTTTCTGCCTCATTTCGCACTGAAAGAAAGTCCAATTTGTGTCTCGACTAGGGATGGGAATAAAACAAAATTTCAGTTACCATAAAATTATAATATTTGTTTTTAATTAAAGTGTTTTTCATTAAAACAGGGCAAACAGTAGGATTTGTCACACAGAACACAAAAAGTTTCAATTTTTTTAGTTTTTTTTTGCAGCCTGAGTGCTATTTAGTGTTAGTCTTAATCTGTCGTAGCAACCTACGCAGCGCTTTCGTTGACCACCTTTTTTAAGCGAATGTTCAGCACATCATTGTCGGCCGTTTGGTGTAGTGGTTCGAAACGGACTACTATTCCGGAGGTTGCGAGTTCGATTCCCGCACAGTATTTGTGTGCATGAACATATTTGTTTGTATTGGACTGGGTGTTTTCTATGTATAATAATATGTATGTATTAAAAAAAAATGTATTTAAGTATGTTTATATCCGTTGTCTAGTACCCATAGTACAAGCTTTGCTTAGTTTGGGACTAGAAGCGCAGTGTAAAATGTCCAAAAATATTTATTATTTTTATTATTATTATCTGCCACTAGGAATACCTGAAATAAATACGTGCGTTAAGTGTATACAAATGCCATTTTTAGTTAAAGAGTCAGTGTTAATGTGTCACCGGCTAACAGCGTGCGTCCGTATCGAAACTTATCACATCACTACTCAAAATGCGCGGCGCCCGCGCCTCACTCTGTGCGGTTATGAGGCCTGCAATTTTTGAGGCAGTTCAGACCTCACGGCGCACTGAACGTGATTAATTTCTATCCAGTGCGTATGGGACCTAATCGACCTCATACAATATTGTCTACGTCATTATGCTAGGCTTCGTAAGAGAAGCAATTTGATATATTTGTCTCTGTTGTACTCATAGAAATGTTAAAATAGTCGCCCCCCGCACAGAGTGAGAGAACGCGATTATGACAGCCGCACCTGCGATAAGTTCTGCATGTGGCTTTTTAGACCTCATAACGCAGTGAGCGTGTTAAGTTCGATTGTTTACTTTTGTATGCACGTTTTTATCAAAAACTATTTTTAGAAATTAAATATAATAATAATTTTAAATATAGTAGATTCGTTGCCTTATACAAATAATGTAAGCGCATTGTGTCCGATAATTTTCATAATTATTTAATTAACAATACAAATCTGAATAGATAATAATGTGGTATGTGTAATAGAGTAATGAATACTTTAATAAATATTTAACAAAAGTTCATCTTTCATTTTACCGAATAATGGCATACAGCAGTATCTTTTCTTTAGAAAAGAAAAAGTACTTTAGTACATGCATAAAAATATGTACAATTTATTGAAATCATCCATTTATGTTTTTACTGTAGATTGAACCAAAGAATCACGTTTTCCTATACAAACTGCCCCCCTTTTACTAGTAGTTGTTTTAGAAGCATATTTTCTAAAAAAATTACATGAAGTCAAAATTTTGTAAATAAATTGACCAATCACTATAACGTCAATAACGTCTACCTTTATGCAAAAATAAATTGTTATTGCTGCAGGAATTTTATTTATCAATTTATGATTTTCAGAAAACATTTGTTCCTCCGTTGGCCTAGAAAATTGGCAGCTATTATTTACATTTTTTTTTTGTCGCCGAGGAAATCCTTTGCGCACCGTCACCACTGCGCTTCCTCGATGTGGATAAAAAAACTGTTCCCATTTAAGTTTCAGTTAACATTGAACCTGGAGAGCTTTTATTTTATTAGTTAAGTGGGTCACTCGCTATGAATACCTATAGCGCAGGAGTCACATTAGAAGCCATATTACATAAATACCTCATTGTTATTAGCTTATACTAACACTAGATTAAGATAATCATGTTACTAACACCTATGGATGTCTGAAATAAACGTTTTATTATTATTATTATCATAGGTCGATAAAGATATTGAACAGTACCGCGTAAAAAACTGGGTTGATTAAAGATTAGATACTAATTGAATCTACTCAAGAAAAACTAATTTCTTTGATGCTGTTTGATACAGGGCATTAACAGCGAACGTAAATAACGTGCTATTAAAGAGTCAATTTAGAACGAACAGGTATCGAAAGGTAAGTATGGACGTCCGTAACAATACGGACGCGGACGTCCGCGGAAGGCGTCTTAGGCTTCTAGTACCAAAGTAAGTAAGTACTAGTACCCAAGGCGCCGATCACTATGCGGCAGAGGGAACACCCCAGGGTTTTGATTGAGAATTTGACAATCTGAAAAAGTAACTTAGGGATAGTTACTCTAGGTTTTTTAGGCCTGTTCCTGGGTAAAAAAAAGGTATCGAAAGATCAGGTATATTAGACTTGTGTTTAAGTAAGATGAGGCACCTGATGTCATGCCCTGAGTGCCCAAGCAACTGCACTCAGGAGGATTTGATGAGTGCTACTGACAACGCCACTCTTGTGGCGGAGTTTTGGGCTGACACCGTGTAGGTTTGTTGTCGACACGAAAAGAAGAAGAAGAAGTAAGCGATTCAGCTATATGTAAATATGAAAATAAATACTAATCAAGGCAATCAAAAATCAAAGAGAATTCAAGAGCATTACTTAAGTTTCAATTAAGAAGGACAAGAATTTTTCAGTACCTACTTCTTTGAGTTCCTGCTTAGCCTATAAAATAAGTATAAAGTACTAACTCTACCTGCGACTTCTAATCCGATCAAATTAGACATCAACTCTGCAATAATTCGCATATAGCTGAAAATTGATACGAATGTTCGGACTTTCGGAGTACGAATGAATGAAATGTGAAAAGTCCCCATCGATCCGATTATTCGTACGCGTGAAAATATGTAGTTTGAATAATTATTTCCCGTTTTTGCTACATTTTTTTTATTGCTTCGCCTCTTACCCTGCTGCCAATATAGGTAGGGTGATGTTATATGTATTATAGCCTAAAGCTTTCCTCGATAAATGGGCTATCCAAAACAAAAATAATTCATCAATCAGTCAATTTTATTATTATTAGTAAGTATTGATGAGATGTCAACCAACAGCAACGCATTCCTCTGCATGTAGGTATATCAAAGTAGTTTTTTGTCGACGTAGGTACTATCGCCTGCCCATTGAAAGTCATGTCATCTCGTTCTATCGCAAAGAATCGCCATTTGATTAGAGCGAGAGCAAAAACGGAAATGGATAGGTAGTTAACAGTGTGGGCGTGTGTACCTACTGCAAGTATAATTATAGTCCTTCGCAATGGACAAGTTTCCGATTTTTTTCTTTTAATAAATCTTGAAAATATAAGTAAAACTAATAATAATTGTGAAAATATCTCTAGAGATGAAACGGATATCCGGCAACTATCCGGTAGGCCGGATATCCGGCCCTAATTTACTATCCGGCCGGATACCGGATAGTAACTCACTATCCGGCCGGATACCGGATATTAAAAAAAACGTCAATTTCCTATTAATAAAATGAAATACATTAATCTTTGAGGTAAATATTAATAAAATGGCTTACAATAATGACGGCTTTTATTTAAAGTCCAAAAAGTTACAAAAAAGCTCACAAAGATCGACCCTCCCGCGACAAGCACTTTCAAACCTATGCATCCCCACTTCCCACCAATATTGGCACCATTTAAAAGCCTAGTTCTAAACTTCATTTCATTAAAGGAAAGGTTTTTACCCCAAAAATGTGTCTGTAGAAGAATCCAGAGTCACTTCTTCAAAAAATAGGTAGTTACGCTTGAGCCGACTTTTATGGCTATAAAACTGATAAGTTGGGATTAATCGCTATCCATCTGTTAAAGAGGACACGTGAGATCATTCTTTGGTTTTATAACCATAAAAATGGGTCTATTGATCCCAGAAGTGAGCCCAAAGTGAGGTCTTTTTTCAAGTTTACCGGTGTATCCCTTGATTGTTACCTGTTGTGTATGCCTTAATAAATAAATAAATAAAGTCACATTTATTGTATATCGCGTTTACGTTAATCGTTTATTAAGAAATTAAATGTGTTTTTCTTTAAGGATATTTATTGGGCTTTCAAATAACACCAATATTGTTGGGGCACCATGACTGTGTCAGTAGAAACGAGTTTTACTGTAAAACGTAGGTGGGCCGATTTTTGTGATGACCAGTAGGTATAGTTAAATTTTCGCTATTCAATCACACACTCACGATTGCAGCCGAAATTGAATTGATCTGCCCCCTAGACAAGTGGCAAAATCTGACATTCTATTCGGACGGATTCGATTTTCCAAAAGTGTGACTAGTCTATTCTACTAATAGAACCACTGATCGCGTTCGAAGCACCTGTGCGGCACTATACTCGTCACGACATGCAACGAGACAATGGGCCAACTATCCGGCCGCCGGATATCCGGCTATCCGGCCTAGCAGCTGGCCGGATATCCGGTATCCGGTATCCGGCCAAACAACTATCCGTTTCATCTCTAATAATTATCATTGATAATTATCCTTTCGAACCCTGTTTCTCAATATGCTAAATACTTAAATGATATGATGATGATAGTGCACAGTACCTTCGTTGATGACGATAGCGTCCAACTCGCGGCGCAGGTCCCGGGCTCCAAGCGTCAGCACCGCGGCCAGTCTGCCAACGAAAAGATACGTGAATTTTAGGGATGTTATGGATAACCGTAACCGAAACTATCGGATATCCGAAATAAAAAAATATCCGAAAAATAGTAACCGTAACCGATTTAAAAATTTCGGATAGTTTCAGATGTAGGCAGTTTAAATTGTTTTTGCCGTATATGTGAAGGCATAACAGCCTGATTTACCTTTATAATGCCATCTAGTATAATTTATTATCTTTTTATTCGATGTAAAGTGTGCAGCCATGAATGAACCGTGTTGGACAACTATTGCATATTGCATTCTAAATCACAGATATCCGTAACCGTAACCGAAACTTTCAGATATCCGAAATAAAAAAATATCCGTAATCGTAACCGAAACCGGTATAATATTATTCCTATATCCGTAACCGTATCCAAAAACCGAAACTACATATCCATAACATCCCTAGTCTATTTGACCTCATTCGATTATGACCTACAAGGTGTCTATGCTAAGTTGAAAATCGTTTAATGGGCACTAGTTACTTAGGACTTCTCACTGGTGAACTGCATTTTATTTTTTAACGATTTAACAATACAGACAGCGATGTAAAAATGTACTAACGAGCCAACTAGTGAGCGACAATATGGTTTTTGATTCGTGATTAATTAATTTTGTTCTTTCTTTTATTTTATTCTGTATTTATTTATACCCGTCTTTGTGATCTAGAAGCAAATGATTTTGTACGATTTCATTGGTTTCTAAATAATAATACAGTCGTGGTCAACTAATTAGGGACGTTATATGACTAAAACACAAGACCGTCTCTCCAGTCCCAAAAAAAAATCTTCACGAGGCTTTGTAGCTTGTGCCTATTAATAACAAGTAATTTGGCTAATATTCTAAATATTTAAAGGCCAGAAAAGAAACTAGCTAGTTGCGATCAATAATTTTAAAATAAATAAANCCCGGGTCACTCAAGATTCTTTCTTAGTAAAATTGTGTAACCTTTTTTGACATATCCAAGACCTGTGGGTCTAGACAAAGTGCAAATTATAATCGCAAACCAGTCGAAAAGTGGTTGAAAAACCCCTTTTTTGTATGGAGTTTTGACGGATTCGATTTTCGATTCGATCAAAAAGTGCGTTTTGTCTAGGGGGGCTGATCATATTTAAAAAGAAAAAGAAGACTTTGACATTATAGTGACATTCTTGACAATGCGTTAGGGGTGGTAAGCATTGTGATTGAAACTTGAACAGGTGGTCTGACTTCACGGCACCGCCTTTGTTTAAATTCCACGCGAAAATATGGAGGTAATTTAAATAATTAACTTGTCAGCCATTTCTTGACGGATTTCAAAAATAACTTCACCGGCTTTTTAGTTTTGGTCTATATTTTAATCCCATTCAGTGAAATCTAATGTTTTCAACATCACGAAACTTCTCCATTTAGCTTTATCTCTTTCGGTAGATAATACGTTCATATAAAGTTACTATCAAAATTATGATATATCATTTGTAGTGATGGCGTTATATACACTGTGCACAGTTTATTTATTACTTTCTAATTAACTTGTATAAATTTTGAAAATGTGTAGTGCAAAATACCTAATGTGTGTTCAGATATTAATTTTAAGCCTCAGTTTTAATGAAAATGGTAAGTGAGAACTTTAGTTATTTTTATAATCTTATTTACTGGACACACAATTTTACTTATGAAAATGATCTCATTCAAGTGATTATATATATTTTTGACTAGCGGCCGCCCGCGACTTCGTACGCGTGGGTCCAGTTTTACCCCCTTAGGGGTGGAGTGTCGCAAAATCCTTTCTTAGCGGATGCCTACGTCGTAACATCTACCTGCATGCCAAATTTCAGACCGATCCATCCAGTGGTTTGGGCAGTGCGTTGATAGATCACTATGTCAGTCAGTCACCTTTGAGTTATTAATGTTATTATATTTAGATTTCACTAACAAATAAAAAATACACTTAATTTCTAAGGACTGAAAAAAAAAAGATGTAACCAGCAATCTACTGATACAGTAAATCAGTAGTTTAACTTCCGTTTATTTGTGTTCCCGTTACTAAACTTACACTACCACTTTTAAAGGTTTCGAGTTGAGCTTTCGTAACGGACTATAACCTCACGGTAAGTTAGGGTGGGTCACACCATCTTACTTTAACGGTTACTGAGCTCGAAATTTCAGTTAAACCACCGGTTAGGCAAAAATTGGGTTGCACCAGTTTGACAAAAAGTTAAATGACGTCGTATTTAACGGCTACAGTAACCGCCCGATTTTGGCCGGTTATTGTAATAGTTAGTGTCAAAGGAACTGTCAACTTGAAATGTCAATGAAAAGATGTTTGTATTTACTTTAAAACTTAATAAAATAGCTTTAATTTGTGATATTCTTTGGGAATCCAGCTCTCCTGATGACGAAGGTGATAAAAATATACCCAAATTGCAAAAGAAAAAGTGTTATCAAACTTAAATTGACCGATTTGGAAAATGAGCTGATGGTGAATTCCTATTACCGATCTGGGGGCACGGCAGTGCCCCCACCAAGTCGAGCAAAAAAGCGGCACGGCCGTACCATCCTTTTCTCGAAGCAATTCAGGCTATTTTCGACCGCCTGTAACTTCGTTGTGGATAAAACTAGAAGGCTGAATTTTCATTAGCTATGCAGGCATTGTAAAGACACGGTATATTTAAAATTTCATTCAATTTGAACCAGTAGTTTAAGAATTATAACGGGTCAAAGTTACTTAATTTTGTCACTCACTGACTGACTCACCGATCATCAAAATTCTAAGGCACTTCTAGCAGACCTAGAAGCTTCAAATTTGGAATATAAGTAGTGTTTGGTGTATGAATCAAGGAAAAACTAAAATATTTGGGGGCACGGTAGTGCAACCGCCAAGTCGAGTAAAATTTTTCAATTTCGGTCCAGTTTTCTAGATACATATGAGTTTTATACGAGACGCTGATTCTGAAACACCATATCGCTGAGTTTTAAAGAGCAGCTAAATCGGCAAATATCCCTTGCAAGTGTAAGTCATCATCATCATCATCATCTCAGCCATAGGACGTCCACTGCTGAACATAGGCCCCCCCAATGCTTTCCATGTTGCCTGGTTGGTAGCGACCTGCGTCCAGCGCCTTCCTGCTACCTTTATGATGTTATCGGTCCACCTTGTGGGTGGACGTCCCATGCTGCGTTTTCCGGTACGCGGCCTCCACTCCAAATTCAAATTATTTATTGCATGTCACTCCAGAACCTTGCTGCCCCATCGGCCTTCAGTTCTGCGTACTATGTGCCCTGCCCATTGCCACTTCAGCTTGTATCCGTCGGGCTAGTATGTCAGCGACTTTAGTTTGTTTACGGATCTCCTCATTTCTGATTCGATCTCGTAAAGAAACACCGAGCATAGCCCTCTCCATAGCACGCTGTGAAATCAAATTTCACAGCTTCTGTTTGAGCTTCTGTATAAGGCCTATAGTGAGTGGCCACGTTTCCGAACCATAAGTCATCACTGGTAACACACATTGGTTGTAGACCTTAATCTTCAGGCATTGAGGTATTTTGGACGAAAAGATGTTGCGTCGTTTCCCAAACGCTGCCCAGCCGAGTTGGATATGACGATTGACCTCTTTCTCGAAATTGGACCTACCCAGCTGAATCGTTTGTCCGAGGTAGACATACTTCTCAACAATCTCGAGAATTGATCTCCCAACCGAAACTGGGTAGGGCGCAACATGGACATTGGACATAAGCTTTGTTTTCTCCATATTCATCCGCAGGCCAAGTGTAAGTAGAGATCTTCAACCTCGCCCATCATTAATCCATCTCGATTTGCTTACATTAATTCATCTCAAAATGTCATTGTATGAGAATGGGGGTGATTGTGGAGAAATCCTTAAAAGAGTTCTAAACAGGTTGTTAGCTATACCGCCGACCATTTAGCTGGGTTGATGATGGAGTCAAGAGGTGACCATAGGAACTCTTAAATGAAACGGCGGAATCGCATCGAACTTGGGTTCGTTGGATTNGGATCTAAATTTCTTCAACAAGGTTTTGTCGCCTTTTTTGAAGAAGAGTATCACCACACTTCTGTGCCATGGTGCCATGCCGTAGGCGTTTTTCCTTCGAGGATGACGGAATTGAACAGCTTCTGAAGAGCCTTCAGCCCCTCGGTCAAAAACCCAACTGCGTAAAAATGAACAGAAAAAAGATAGAGACAAGACAACTTAGTGTTCATAAGTGTAGTAGGAGTGGGAGGCATTAAATGCATATCACCACCAAAAAAAGTAATTGATATCCTATATGCATATTAACGTAAGGGCCTAATTATGATAAATCAAAAAGTTTAAAATGAAGTAAGGTTCAATGAGTTCAAAAGTTAAAACCAACTTTTTAGGGTAAGAGCTGAATTGTATTATTAAAAGGAATTTACGTCCTTTAAATCATTTATTTCCCCAAAAGTCGTATTCAGACGACTAAAAATGTTTAAGGTAAGGGACATTTTTTTAAAGATATCAACATTTCAAGTATACCAATCGATAGAGCCGAAAATTCTGATTGCGTTGGTATATATAACTCATTTTGGCCAAAATGTCCCTTACATTAATTGATACTTCCACCATCGAAATATCTCGACAATAACACAACCCGAACACAACACTTCGCCGCTAAAGCGCCGCGCGAGCTGCCCGCTGGTTTCGAGAACGGGTCTGCGTTGCCCGCCCCGCTCCCGCGCCGCCGCCGCCGCCGCCCCGCTGCCCGCTAAGTTCGAGGCTGAGGCCTTAAAGTCCGGCGACAGAAATGCGCTAGTAGGCTGCGCGGACGGTTCGCTCCTCGTAGTTGATGTAGGCGCCGGTCGGATATTGGAACAGATACCAGCGCACGAGAATTCGTGTAGCTGTGTGGGACTCACGCCTGACATGGTAAGTGTGGGGGACGCATCAACGTTATATCGATAGTAGCTATAATGTCTAGTTCGCGCCCTGCGAACTAATGTTTTACCAATTTTTTTGTTGAGGACAGAACGTTCTGTTTTTTATATAGAATAGGTGGTTCTGAATACAGAACACTCAGAACAGTTGCCCAGCAAGCAAAGCAACCTTTTTTTTTCAGTTGTAAAAGAAATAGTTTGAACTTTATTTCTTTTTGCAGTTGGGTTGTTACTCAGGTGGAGGCGACAAAACAGTGAAGTTATGGCAATTTGAACTTATCGAAGACCCTACTGGCGAGTCAAAAGCTAAGGTAAACCACAAAAATGTTATGTAGAAGCATTTTTTATATTTAGTTATAATAAGAAAAATAAGTACATTAAAAAACTAATCCCTGTTTATTTCAGGTCTTATCACTCTTACACACGAGAACATTGGAATTGGAGGAATCAGTATTGTGTGTGAAAATTAGCCCAAACAACAAGTTCATAGCTGTCGGCTTGCTAGATTCCACAGTCAAAATATTTTTCCTTGACAGTTTTAAGGTAATATCATTCTACCTAAACAAAGTAGGTATTTGAATTTATTTTGAAAATGCTAAGGTGTACGTTTTGATTTCAGTTCTACCTTTCCCTATACGGACACAAGCTCCCCGTCCACTGCCTAGACATCAGCTATGACTCAAACATCATCGCGACCGGTTCAGCCGACCGCAACGTCAAGATATGGGGCATGGACTTCGGCGACTGCCACAAGTCAATATTCGCGCACAACGACTCCGTGACGTCACTGCAGTTTGTGCCGAGCACACACTACTTCTTTACGACGTCCAAAGACGGCAAAGTGAAACAGTGGGATGCTGACACGTATGACAACATCATCACCCTCAATGTAAGTTTAGCATGTGATTTTGTGATAATGTTCACACGTCAATAAGTTAAAATGACTTTTACGGCACATAAATGCTAGTTCTATTTTCCTCCAAAGCTACGCAGGCAAGTTCTAGGGCTGCATGTGGCGTCGAGCGGCCGTGACGTATAAAATCTTATTGCTTTTTATAACATCCAGAACTTCTTGCCAAGTTAAAATGACTCTTACGGCATATAAACATTAGCTCCATGATCCTAGGGCCACGCAGGCGAGTGCCACGGCGTGAACGTGCACACTAGCGTTTTTCGAGTGTCAGCAAACTTTGCAAGTTAAAATGAGTCTTACGGCACATAAACATTAGCTCCATATTCCCAAGGCCACGCAGGCGAGTGCCACGGCGTAAGCGTGGGCGCGGGTGGATTGCACGTGGCGTTATGCGGCATCTACCGCCAGAAATCTCATTGCTTTATAACATAAGAAAATGTTGAAAGATTGTCCCATTGAGCGTCAGCAAATAAAAATGAGTCTTACGGCACATAAACACTAGCTCCATGTTCCCAGGGCCACGCAGGCGAGTGCCACGGCGTGAGCGTGGGCGCGGGTGGATTGCACGTGGCGTCGTGCGCGAAACTTATTGCAAAAATTTTGAAATATTTTTCCCCCACACTAGCGAAGTAGCAGTATTTGAGCAAGTTAAAATGAGTCTTACGGCACATAAACATTAGCTCCATATTCCCGGGGCCACGCAGGCGAGTGCCACGGCGTGAGCGTAGGCGCGGGTGGGCTTCTCGTGGCGTCGTGCGGTATCGACCGCGAGAAATCTCATTGCTTTATAACATACGAAAATGTTGAAAGATTCTCTCATTGAGCGTCAGCAAATAAGAATGAGTCTTACGGCACATAAACACTAGCTCCATATTCCCAGGGCCACGCAGGCGAGTGCCACGGCATGAGCGTGGGCGCGGGCGGGCTTCACGTGGCGTCGCACGGTGGGCTGATATTAGAGCTTCATAGACTTAGGGTCGCTCAAAAATCAAGTGCCGAATTATGAAAAAATAAATATGCCAATGTGTTCCTTTACCAAAAAGGAATATTTTATGTTATGTAAAGTTTCTTGATAAAGTTATTATTTAACAAGTTATTGACAATTTCCTTTTTTTTTGTATGGAGCTCAACATTTATTTTTATTTTATTCGTTATTCTCAAGCTTTCTTAAGAAATTGACTTNCGATAGTAAAAAGTGGAGCTAGAAACCTTATTTTCCCTTATCCATTTTATCTGGAGACATCAAACCGAACGTTCATTTGGGCACTTACAAGTAGCCCTAAAACGCTAGAATCATCATTTTCGCAAATTTTATTTCGCAGACCAAACTATACTACGTACATGGAGCTCTACATACGTATATGCCTGCAAGCATACAAAATTATTGCTCACGGAAAAGATATTTACTTCCAATCAGAAAGTACTACACCACGCTCGAATTTTGCAGGAGAGCAACTAATGAAGATATTTTACACAATTTATTTTTAAAATCTGATTCTCAGATATAGATAATAATATAAACTTCATAGAAAACACAAAGTTTTATCAATTTTTTTTTATTTTAAAGTCCAAAATGACAATGTTCCGAAGATTTCCGAAATGCGACACTTGGTGATAACATAGCTTATATGTTGCATTACATAATACAAAAGTCAATTTCTTAAGAAAGCTTAAGAATAACGAATAAAATAAAAATAAATGTTGAGCTCCATACAAAAAAAAAGTAATTATTGTCAATAACTTATTAAATAATAACTTAATCAAGAAAAGTTACATAACATAAAATATTCCTTTTTGGCAAAGGAACACATTGGCGTAGTTATTTTTACAAAATTTGGCAGTGATTTAAATTTTTTATTTTTTTTTATTTTAAAGTCCAAAATGACAATGTTCCGAAGATTTCCGAAATGCGACACTTGGTGATAACATAGCTTATATGTTGCATTACAAAATACAAAAGTCAATTTCTTAAGAAAGCTTAAGAATAACGAATAAAATAAAAATAAATGTTGAGCTCCATACAAAAAAAAAGGAAATTGTCAATAACTTATTAAATAATAACTTTATCAAGAAACGTTACATAACATAAAATATTCCTTTTTGGTAAAGGAACACATTGGCGTATTTATTTTTTCAAAATTAGGCACTTGATTTTTGAGCGACGCTAAGTCTATGAAGCTCTAATATCAGCCCACCGTGCGTCGTGCGGGATACCTTATGGCTTATTGCATTATAACATCCAAAAATTTTAAACAAAAATTGTTTTCGCTTCACACTAGCGAAGTAGCATATTTGAGCAAGTTAAAATGAGTCTTACGGCACATAAACACAAGCTCCATATTCCCAGGGTCACGCAGGCGAGTGCCACGGCGTGAGCGTGGGCGCAGGTGGATTACACGTGGCGTCGTGCGGCATCTACCGCGAGAAATCTCATTGCTTAATAACATACGAAAATGTTGAAAGATTCTCCCATTGAGCGTCAGAAAATAAAAATGAGTCTTATGGCACATAAACACTAGCTCCATGTTCGCAGGGCCACGCAGGCGAGTACCACGGCGTGAGCGTGGGCGCGGGTGGATTACACGTGGCGTCATGCACGAAACTTATTGCAAAAATTTTGAAATATTTTTCCCCCACACTAGCGAAGTAGCAGTATTTGAGCAAGTTAAAATGAGTCTTACGGCATATAAACATTAGCTCTATATTCCCAGGGCCACGCAGGCGAGTGCCACGGCGTGAGCGTGGGCGCGGGTGGATTGCACGTGGCGTCTTGCGGGACGGACCGCGCGCTGCGGTTGTACGCGCGAACTGATGAACCGCTCGTGCTGGGAGATACCGACGAGCAGGAGGAAGGCCTGGCTACGGGAGACACGCACGTATGTTGTTATTTTTTTTACCTACCTATACGACGTAAGGCAGGGTTGTGCTTATTTTCCTTCATAGCTTCGAGCGATACATACGAGTATACCAATGTTAATTAAGTAAATAAGATTCAAATAAAAAATTGTGTGAAATTATCCAAAGATATAAAAAAATGCATTAAACAATAAGTGGATGATATCCTCAAACTTTTCCTCGAGTCTCGGTAAATGTGTGGCACTTTACTAAGATTTCGCGAGATACTCCTCTCTTCTAACTGCATAAAAATTTCTTGCGTTGATTGTAATAAAAAACTATTTTTCCTTTCAGGCTCCTGTGCCCGGTCTTCCGGGACTGAATATGCCCACGAAAAAAACGATCGGAGCTGAAAAAGCGGTAAGTTACACTAGCATTTTCTTTATGGGTGAACGATAAGGCATTTTATATCTCATCACACTAAGCACAAAAGCGATTTCGGATGTTACAGGCGGACTCGATCCCGTTAAAAATTGCGTTATCATTAATGATGATAACGCAATTTTTAACGGGATCGAGTCCGCCTGTCGTTTCAGCTACAGGACGTAGACTGCCGAACATAATTCTCCCCCAATGATTTTCGGTTTGGCCGGTTGGCAGCGGCCTGCATGCAACGCCTTCTTTATGAAGTCGACTATAGTCTGGTCCGGGAGCACATAGAATTTTGTCCAATGACCCATAATTACGCGCGAGCGATAAGGATGGGTAGCTTGGGGTCATTGGACAAAATTCTACGTGCTCCCGGACCAGACTATATCTGTTGTCACTATTACAGTTATCATAAAAGCTATTACACGTTCCAGGCGGACTCGATCCTGGAGTGCCTGACGATAGGCGCGGAGTACAAGAAGGAAGCGGCGGCGGCGCCTGGGCAAGCGGTCCAGCCGCCCGCGCTTATGCTCGCATACAACTGTTATAGTGCTGAAGACTTCCTGGCTGAGACTGTTAAGAAGATCCGCTCTAGGTGAGTCTTAGGCTGGGTTGCACCATCTTACTTTAACTACAACAAACGTCAAGTCTGTCAAACTCCATACAAAAAACGTCGGTCATGGTTATAATTACGGTTAAGGTAAGGTGGTGCTACTCAGCCTGACAACTGAGACTACATTCGCACTGAGAGGCCTGCGTCCAGCGCCTTCCTGCTACCTTTATGATGTCGTCGGTCCACCTTGTGGGTGCACGTCCCACTATCCACTATGGATATCCTATGTAGTTTTAATAGGGGCAATTTTGCGACAAAAATAATAAACTGATGTGCTGCTTCTGAATTTGGTCAGTTGACTTTGAAATCAGAGCCTCGTTAGGCCCAGAACATGTGTGGTCTCTCAACGGACGCTATGGCAGAAACTTAGATGCAACTCATAAGTAACAAGCAGTTGCAGTTGCGTTTTACCGTCTGTTCTGGGCCTTACACAGTCATAAAATAGGTAGGTATTTATTACAAACTTTTTGACAGTACACAATAAGTATCTCTATTGACTGATGATGTAATCTCCATTTAGTTAATTATTTTATTTTATTTTATCAACAAAGAGGAAGCTCTTGGCCAGTATCTCACCTGATGGTAAGTGATGATCAGGCCGAAGGTGGAAACGAGCTTCACCCGGAATCCTCAACCACAGAGGAACTAAAACTAAACTAACTAATTTTAACTTATTCTTCCTTACCTACAGCGATCTCGAAGAAGCCCTCCTGCTCTTACCCTTCAGTGCAGCGTGTCAAATAGTCCGTATGCTGCCCAAACTCCTCGACCGAGGCGACAACGCTGAATTATTCTGTCGTCTCGCGATATTCCTGCTGAAGGTCCACCACGCGCCGCTTGTGGCCAACCAGCGCTTGCTCAAGCACATGATCCAGATACAAGCTAAGGCGGCTATGAGGCTCGGCGAGCTTAGGGTGAGTAACAACAAAGTAACGCTCAATGGATTTTGAGTCTTATGCTGAAGAGTTGAAGTTCAAAATCCTGGTGACAACGCGGAGTTGTTCTGTCGCCTCGCTATATTCCTGCTCAAAGTGCACCACGCGCCGCTCGTGGCCGTGGCCAATCAACGGCTGCTCAAGCACATGATCCAGATACAAGCTAAGGCGGCTATGAGGCTCGGCGAGCTTAGGGTAAGTAGTCAATTGATTTTGAACCTTATGCTGAAGAGTTGAAGTTCAAAATCCTGGTGACAACGCGGAGTTGTTCTGTCGCCTCGCTATATTCCTGCTCAAAGTGCACCACGCGCCGCTCGTGGCCAAACAGCTCTTGCTCAAGCACATGATATAACATTAAATCTTCGCTTGGGGAAATTCGTATGGCTGTTGTAGTTGTTGTCTTTACATAGGTACATACATACATACATACATAGCCTACAATTTTTCAATGAAGGGCTAAATTGTCACTTTTCTGTGGTTTTGCTACCTTACACTTGCACAACTATTCTAAACAATCTTGATCATAGTGTAAAATTCATATTCCACATCCAATTTACGGTCTGTATAAAACATGCTGGAGGTCTGGTGATCTATTACACAAGGATTATCTTTGTTTACACACCAGTCTCTCGCAAAGGGTTGTATTGTGTCCAAACTTTGATTGTAACCTTCGTTATTCTATAATTCCAGGACATGGTGGGCTACAACGTGCACGCTCTCCAGTGGTTGCAGCGCGAGGCAGAGGCGGCGGACAGCGAGCAACTGTTCCGCGACGCGACGGCCGAGCGACGCACGCGCGACAAGCGCCGGCGCACAAGGCAGGGGCTCAAGCGGCCTATTGTCACTGTTACTTAATTTTGTAAATAAATATATCGTATATGTTATATTTGGCTTTTATTTCTTTTACACCCCGATCGAGTTAATTACGTACCTCGCAATACGAATCTCCCTCGCATCATCACCCCGCGTTCGCCCCGTCCGTATCACAGCGTCGATGTGCCGTCACGGCTGCCGTCAGTTGATGCCCAAGAACATTCGATACTCTTATAATCTAAATATTAAGTAAGGGTAATATTACGGAAAGAAAACAAGTAATAGCTGCTATAATTTATTTGTAAAAAAATATTCTACTCGCTACATAGCCAATATATCAGTTAAAATTTTAATAATTTAAGTATCCATCCCTGCGTAAGTCACATTATTTATCATCTATACAACAATAACTAATGTTTCACAATGAGTATTCCGGCCACGTGTTCGTACGAAAATCTCCATCGAATAATTTATGCTGAAAATTACGTTTGATACGTTACATAGGTAAATCACGACAACAATTTAATAAATGGTCCATAAGCTTTCTATACTGGAAATTATACTTTACGTCTTTCGATTGAAACTTAACTACAGATGGAGCAAGAGTGCCTACCTCTATACACTTCGAGAATATTAGATCAGTAAGTAGCATACATAGAGTCAATGTCGACATAAGTGAAAGCTGAACTACCGAACTCACAACTCCTAGGGTCCTTACTACGCATGTCTTCACTATAATAAATATTTTGTTACACTTTACAATCTTACAACTATTCTTACTATGTCTTGATCACAAAAGATTCTATTTCGTTTGAGGCTTTACTTAAATCTCCTATAATTGTGAGCTCAAGCGCTCAGTGCACATTTAACAACAATCTTATAATTGACAATATTATCTATACTATGCAGAATAAATTTATGTTGAGTCTTGCGTACAAGGGTCATCACCACATATCACAATGTTATTGCTTTTGGAAACACACGTCTCGTTCTCAAACATATACTATCACAATAATCGAATTAAATACTTTCACCGACATCGCTGCGGACAAGATGAGAGAGGTGAACTATGAACAGAAGACTTCATTGGGAGCAGTGTCAGTCTTTAATATTCGAGATAAGATGTCATTATCGAGTGGAATTTTAAAGCCAATATTTCAGCATAAATTATAAATCCACAATAGAATTGGTACGACGTCCATTGCGGACGATATAATAAAACGAAATCACAAACACATGCTTGTTAGAGCGTAAGCACACACAACACAACCGGTTTGTTAGTAGCTAAATGACGATATACATTGTTCATCAACTCTTAACACCACTACATCATAAATTAACCTAAATAATAATAATAAATAACCAAATTGGAAGATCGTGGAGTATATCTACTTGTTACTTCCGATTAACACAAAGAAATGTAAAGTAGGAAGGTTGATTCAACTTGGTCTACTAAAATCCATATAAAAACATACTCGCGTTGTGGACTGGTTGCTTTACTACTAAATTTGTATTCGAAACCTTCAATCGACACATTATGTACACAAAAAAGATAAATTCGGACGTCAACTAGATAAAACCTAAGAAAATATAAAAATTATAAACCTAACAATGTACAGAGTAGAATTTAATAAAATAATACTGTATCACTACTGCAAGCAGTAATATGAATAGAGAATGACATAATCGGACTGTAATCCCGAATCGAAGAATACAGCCCGTTATTAAAAGAAACGTAAGACATTACACAAACGAGCCTTTATGGGTTTATCCTCGAGTAAACGAATAAAAACTCAATTCACTACAACATCTTTAATTCAAAATTCTCATAGAAAAATATTTACTTATGCACTAAATTAGTGCATAATTATAACATTAATTGATTCATCATTGTGATCGCGAGTCATCGCACAAAAAAATGAATAAATAAGTAATAGAGAGCAAAATTTTGAGAATTACAAAGTATAGATTAGAGAAACATTATTGTCGAGAGGTAAACTGCCATCCAAAGTATGAGCTCAGACAGGAAGCCTTCAACGACAACTAGAAGGTCCCAATAGTATTATAAAGAATAAATAATCTCAATTTTAAAGCTCTAAATACATTAAGCTTGACGAAAATATTGAGGAGTTCAGCTGCAATTAAATCACATGATACCAGAGAACTCTGCCGAGCTCTGTCTAGCTAAGTATTATCACAATGTCTCTGAGACTTCTGCATTTACTGGCCCGTGGGGTTCGATCGTAAACAAACTAACACTAAATTAAGTAAGACGTCAAGTGTAGGACGGTGATCAAAGTGTAAACACAATTAAATAAGTAGAATGGAAGCAATAACTAAACAGCCCATAAAATTTACATAATATAAATGCTTTTTTTGCTATTTGCAAAATATAAAACAAAACTGACCGTAATGAGGTGAATCCGGTACAAGGGAGGACGGACACAAAACCGTCCCCGCTGAACAATAGCAACGAGAAATATGTCAGAGAAAATCTCTTATCATATTTTTTAATGAAGTCAGACTAAAACTGTCAAAAATGTTGGTTTTGCTTTACTTACAAATTCCTTATTTATGAGTCTGACCACTTATTATAACAGCCAGATCAAGATATTAAGAGCCAGCGAATCGATGAGGAAAAGCTATAAATGGCCAAAGAATAACTACACTAATGACCATCAAAAATGGCCATAAGTTTTGTTAAGTTTTTTGGGACATTCGTCTAAGTTTCCCGAACATTCGCTGACATAAGAATGTCGGTCAGACTATTGAAAAGAGATTTACAATCACAAAGGTCTTGTTGCTGTACCAGCGGGGACATTTTATGACTTCGTCCTATATCAAAATAATGCCACTAAGTTTGGTCATCGGTAATGCTCACTCGATAGCATAACTATGTAATAAAATGCCGAGTTAATTAGTGAATTAGAAAAACTGTATGTCTAAAATAATCTGTTCATCTAAGTTATAATAATGCCAAAAATATCGAAGTAGGTATATCATTTCCCAACACACAACAGTTCAGTATTGGAATCACTACATTATATTTAAATATTTATATCAGGCGTGAATGGGTAATAGATAAATTCAAAACGTTATTGCTCAATAGTATTTCTACTACCTAGTTATTAATTTTAATATATTTCTGTATATGGTTTGTATTCTATTATGTAAATGTAAATATGTATATGAGAAGACTTGTCATTATTGCTTCTTAGTTTTCCGTAGCCTAAATTAAAGAAAATACTCGATAAAAAAAATACTTACATTGTAAATACTGACCGAAATGGGAAATAAATTAGATTACTATAATTTAATTTTAGTGTTACTACTAAGTAAATAAAATTTACAATATCTTAAATCACCTAAATCTAATTGAATACTTGCGTCCTGCAATAGGTAACCGTAAATATAATTTTATTATTATTAATTAAGAGAGCATTCAAGGCAAGGCTTAAAACCAATAATATCAGTGTTTATACAGGGTGTTTGGCGCATCGTGTGCCAAAATGATTTGGCGGATAGAATGGGTCATTTCCTATATTTTCAGCCCCCATAACACGTTCCATGTCAGGCGGCTACTTTTATAATAATTTTTTTAGTAATTTCACCAAAATACCCAAATCGCATCATTTAATTTCGATTTAAAAAAAAACTACTAGACGTAGCCTCAAAGTAAATATTTTGTTTTGACGTGCATTGATGTAGGGTTGCATCAAATCTAAATTTACTGGCAAATATCATCTAGTTTTTTTTTAAATTCAGCTTTGAAGTTTTCCGAAAAGTTAAAAATGAACTGAACATTTAAGTTTACATTGCTATAAATTTTTTTTTAAAAGAGATAGCGCTCTTCGGATTTTATCAAAACTTCTCTAGTCTATCCCCATTCAAACGGTATACTAATCTTGTTTAAATAATAACAACAACTTCACAAATTCCTTAAATTAGTGCATCGACTCTACTCGGACTGATTTGCGAAATTTGTGTTTATAGCCCCTTTTTGTGTGAATAGCACGTTAAATACCTACTACAGGTAAAAATTATTTATCTTATGCAATGTAAAAACCTTTTCCCTATCGTTTTTCAATGTGGGTTTCTTGAAATTAAAGACGAAAATAATTATTTTGATCGTTTATTAATTATTACAAATTTTGTTCAAAATAACCGCCTCGGCTACGTATACTAATTTTGACTGTTGTCGTATGCAACCACATTTCTCTTTTTATTACTACAAAGGCGTTTTCTATTCGTGGATTGGAAGAGATGGCCCTATACAGTGGCCTGCACGTTCCCCAGACCTAACTCCGTTAGATTTTTACGTCTGGGGACAAACTAAAGAACTGGTGTACGTAACGGATTCAAACAATAGAAGAACTACAACAACGAATAGAAAACGCCTTTGTAGTAATAAAAAGAGAAATGTGGCTGCATACGACAACAGTCGAAATTAGAAGAAGATGTCGTGAGTGTATACGTTGCCGAGGCGGACATTTTGAACAAAATTTGTAATAATTAATAAACGATCAAAATAATTATTTTCGTCTTTAATTTCAAGAAATCCACATTGAAAAACGATAGGGAAAAGGTTTTTACATTGCATAAGATAAATAATTTTTACCTGTAGTAGGTATTTAACGTGCTATTCACACAAAAAGGGGCTATAAACACAAATTTCGCAAATCAGTCCGAGTAGAGTCGATGCACTAATTTAAGGAATTTGTGAAGTTGTTGTTATTATTTAAACAAGATTAGTATACCGTTTGAATGGGGATAGACTAGAGAAGTTTTGATAAAATCCGAAGAGCGCTATCTCTTTTAAAAAAAAATTTATAGCAATGTAAACTTAAATGTTCAGTTCATTTATAACTTTTCGGAAAACTTCAAAGCTGAATTTAAAAAAAACTAGATGATATTTGCCAGTAAATTTAGATTTGATGCAACCCTACATCAATGCACGTCAAAACAAAATATTTACTTTGAGGCTACGTCTAGTAGTTTTTTTTTAAATCGAAATTAAATGATGCGATTTGGGTATTTTGGTGAAATTACTAAAAAAATTAATATAAAAGTAGCCGCCTGGCATGAAACGTGTTATGGGGGCTGAAAATATAGGAAATGATCCATTCTATCCGCCAAATCATTTTGGCACACGATGCGCCAAACACCCTGTATATGAGATTTCACCTCTAAAATTACGTTGGCAACCGTGCACACCTCTCGCCGAGCTATCCCGGCTACGTTCTACCAAACATTAGATATAATATAATAACAGCTGCTGAGTATGTCTTAAAATTTGCATTTCCAACATTATCAAACTGCGACACTACCGACACGCATGATTCTACCAACCACACATATCACAAGTCATGAAGAATATACACTGTGGAAATACTCTCCACTAACTACTACGCGGCACTATTACTTCTATATAAATAGGCACTAAGACAATGACAACGAATATTGCTTTTGTTCCGCCCGCCTACGCGCGGCCCTATCGACGTTAGTTAATGCCCTGCTTTTCAAAAATAATACTTGTTAACATATTACTTTAACTCTGAATTGTTAAATAATGTTCTGTTCCAAGTTCTCTCGCAGCTCTTTGATTTGTATAATTTCACTATTTTACTGTCAACAATAAAGATAACATTTATATACTAGAATAATACTTTGACAACTCCCACACAGTACTCTTACGATTTAACGGGCGTTTTATAATTAACTTAAACTTGGAGAACGAAGCAACTTGGAACAATTTGCACTATTTCATTCAACTATTGTCATTAGACTGGCCTTACTATCACTATAGAAAATCAACAAAGGTAAATGTCTGCTGCACGACGACTATACATCGTATCGTAAGCTATTTCAACCCCGCTATGTTAATTAATATTATAACGAGTATTTCATAAAAATGGCTGTATTACTAAAAATAATTTTCGCGTTTGCTTATAATCCACATTATGAAATATTCGCTGTAATAATGTATTTGACAAAACTCATAGCACGAAATGCAAATAATGCACATGCAACTTTGTTGGTAAATAAATCAAAAAGTATCGTGAAATTGTGTAAAAATACTTTTTAAGTTTCTCTTGAGTGAGGCTGCGAGTGACGGCTGATTCGTAAACGCAGTTCTGCAGAAAAGGTATTTCTTCTAAAATCCTAAAATGTTAACTACTTGCGGTTTTAGGAGCTTGGCCGTACCACAAATCTTTCCATGCTTAACCATTAATCACCTATTGCTGCTTATTCAATGGCCAATCTCCTAATAGATTTTACATATTGAAATAACATATTTTTATCATCATTTTCACATTGTGGTTGATCAAAAATCTATCATCTGTATCCTTCAACATAGTTCGAAAAATATTGTTTCTGTTACTAGCTACTAAGACCTGTTCTGCAGAACTGTTCACCGGCCCCGCAAAGATCCCGCGAGCGTGCGCGCGTGACGTCACGCGGTGTCGCACGCGATGATGTAGCGGGGTAGTCAGTGCGTCTCCTCGGCGGCCACGTGGGAAGCCACCAGGTTAAGAGGCGCTTCGTCGTATTCTGGAGCGTTGAGCCCGACCTGAGAAATATTATTAGCCTTCTCAATATTGAATTCTTAGTAAAAAATGTTTATAGATAGATTTGCAATATGAATTTCAAAATAGCGGGACGGGAAGGTTGCTGTCAAAACACAATCAATGACGTAGTTCCAAGAAGCGGCGGGAGGGGTGGGGGGCACAAAGGAGAGGGTGGACTGAGAAAGACCTTCTTTCTGCAACACGTATTCACGTCCCCTCATAAATCCATTCTCAAGGGTAGATCCAGATAAAATTATTGCCACATTGCAAGTCGCATGTTTGATAAGATGTATCAAAATAATGGGAGCCAACTGACTTCAACTGAGGTCACAGTCCATGTGTCCGTTTCCAAATTTTTTGTTCATCTGGGAATCGTCATCAATATTTTGGACCGAGAGTTCAACTGAGTAGCCACAAGACCTTTGTGTTGCTATGTCATGTGCCGTACATACGGGCGCTGGCGATGCGTATGCGCATGCAACGTGGGCAGCACGATTTTCATTAGAGATGAAACGGATATCCGGTAACTGTCCGGTAGGCCGGATATCCGGCCTAAATTTACTATCCGGCCGGATACCGGATATTAAAAACTTACGATAATTTCCTATTAATAAAAAGGAAATACATTCATCTTTGAGGTAAATATCAATAAAATGGCTTATAATAATTACAAAAAAGCCTTTCAAAAAACTTTTTTTCTGGGCTATTCACTCTAATGACGAATACCTACATAAATAGCTCACCTTTGATCTTGACCAGAAGTTACTATAATACAAGCTCGCGTGCCGTACCTGCGGGCGCTGGTGGTGCGTGTGCGCGTGCAGCGCGGCCAGCAGGTGCGGCTGCAGCTGGCGCCGCAGCGCCGCCAGCACGGCCTCCTCGGCGCCAGCTCCGTGCCACAAGCTCGCGTGCCGTACCTGCGGGCGCTGGTGGTGCGTGTGCGCGTGCAGCGCGGCCAGCAGGTGCGGCTGCAGCTGGCGCCGCAGCGCCGCCAGCACGGCCTCCTCGGCGCCCGGCTCCGCGCCGCCCGCCGCCGGCGCCGCCTCCGCCGCCTCGGTGCCCGCGCCGCCGCCGCTGCCGCCGCTCCGCCGGGACTCTGTGGGAGGAAAAGACAGTTTTATTGGTTGTAACAACTTTGTACCTATGATAATGACGAATAAATTTCATTTTCATTTGTTCAGTGAGAACATTTTAAAAGGAAGTCAACCGCGGAAGACGTTTTGGTCGTCTCTAGTACCTAAGGCGCCGACCACTAAGCGGTAGAGGAAAAACCCCCAGGTTTTTAGTGGGTTCGAGCCCCACATACTCAGCGGTAGGTACGAACATTCAAGTCAATTTTCTGGATAAAAGATAAAAGTTAAATGACGGTTCACAACTTAATTGAAGATCGGTATAGTCCATGTCGTGGGCTAGCGATACTTTCTCATTGCGCTGGTGAGGGGAGGGGTACTACCATAGCCGTACCCAGTTTGAATTAGCTCCTCTAAAGTGATTTTCTGCCCCCTGGGTTTGTGATGGGCACTACCATGGGTGTACCCAGCTTCTAGTCTAGGAGGGGGCAAGACAGATTTTTTTAGATCAGATAGTTTGACTTAGCTCCTCCAAAGTGACTTTCTGCCTGAGCTCAATCACAACTTGGTTGTCGTGTCACTGCATTGTCATTTCGGTCGGAGATTTCCACGATAAGAAAGTGTTTTGTGAAAGTGACTTTACTTACTTTACATGGCAGAGGCTTTACAACTTTGGAATTATGGACTACTAGCTTTCCGCCCGCGGCTACACCCGCGTGGAATTTTGTCTGTCACAGAAAAACTTTGTCACGCGCGTCCCTGTTTCAAAAACCGGGATAAAAACTATCTTATGTCCTTTCCTGGGACTCAAATTATCTCTATGCCAAATTTCTTTAAGATCGGTTCAGTGGTTTAGGTGTGAATGCGAGACAGACAGACAGACAGACTGAGTTACTTTCGCATTTATAATATTAGTATAGAAGTATAGATATATGTAGATGGTCTGCTGAAATTGAATTTCCCATACTGTAGTAACTGTGAAAGTGCCAAACATATTCTTCAGTTAAAAATTAAAGATTTAAACTTAAATAATTGTATGATACTCACTGCGCGCGTGCTTGGGGTCGTGCCTGGGCCGGCGGCGGCGCGTGTGAATCGTGTCGCGGCGCATGGCGGTTGGTCGCGGCACGCCGTGCAGCTTGTAGTACAGCCCGCACGCGTTGCACACCATCTCGCCGCGCGCGTCGCGTCGCCAGATCGTCGTCGTGTGAGTCCCGCAGTTGTTGCACGACAGTTCCACGCGAGGCGCCGCGCGGCCGTTGCCGCCTGTGCCTATTGGCGCTTCTGAGGTGTCCTGCTGGAGATGTAAGTGAGGAAATAAGATTCAAGGTGTTACACAAATAAGCTTATTGTAACAATTTCAATGAGGCATTGAAATTGTTACAATAAGACCAGAGGAACTTAGGGAGGGACCAAAAACTATGACGATATCGAAAACCTAGTCAAACCTTATACATAGTATTCACACACACACACCCACACACACACACGCACACACGCACGCACGCACGCACGCACGTACGCACACACACACACACACACACACACACACACACACACACACACACACACACACACACACACACACACACACACACACACACACACACACTGACACGCGGTACAATAGAGATTTGAATAAGTTCTACTTAAATATTGTTAACACAAGAGCGGTGTTTCCTAACACAAGCATTGGCTGCGCGTTGGGCGGTTCGACAGAGCCACTCGTCGTAAGTCCATGCATAAGGGATATTGTTAACGCGCGGCCTCGGGTGTCTATAGGTAGCCAGGTACTCACGTTATCCACCTGCGGCTGCGGCCATTGCTGCGCGTCCTGCGCCCGCTCCGCCATCGCGATTCGACAGCTCCCACTACCGTTAGCCCATGTTGACCGTTGAACTACCGATTTATGGACCGACCTAGGAGGATGACACCATGTTCTAGTTCTTACCATGATCTAGATACTAATCGCACCTCCCCACCCGTGGGGCACAGGCCCCCCCTGAAAAAGAAGCCTAGATACGCCAATGTTGATAATGCGCGAATTCGGGTGCTGATAGGTTGACAGGTAATTAAGTCTACTAAGGTAAGTCCTACTCACGTTGTCAAACTGCGTCTGCGGGCGCGCCATCAAGCTGTTTCCTGCGCGTATGTACACTCCGAATAAAAGACGTGATACAAATTACTCACGTTATCGACCTGCGGCTGCGGCCATTGCTGCGCGTTGGGCGCGTCCTGCGGCGCGGCGGGCTGCGCGCGCGCCGGGAAGCTCTGTTTCCTGCGCGCCGTGCCCGCCCCGCCGCCGCGGCTCGACAGAGCCACTCGTCACAAGCTCATGCATAAAGGATATTGTTAACGCGCGGACTCAAGTGCCTATAGGTAGCCAGGTACTCACGTTATCCACCTGCGGCTGCGGCCAGGGCTGCGCGTCCTGCGCCCGCTCCGCCACCGCAATTCGACAGCTACCGTTAGCCCATGTTGACCGTTGAACTACCGATTTATGGACCGACGACCTAGGAAGATGATACCATGTTCCAGCTCTTACCATGATCTAGATACTAATCGCAACTCCCCGCCCGTGACGTGGCATGTCAGGATGGCGCAGGCCCCCCTGAAAAAAAAGCCTAGATACGCCAATGTTGATAATGCGCGAACTCGGGTGCCTATAGTAGGTAAACAGGTAAGTCTACTAAGGTAAGTCCTACTCACGTTATCAACCTCTGTTTCCTGCGAAGAAAAAGACGTGATGCAAAGTACTCACGTTATCGACCTGCGGCTGCGGCCATTGCTGCGCATTGGGCGCATCCTGAGGCGCTGCGGGCTGCGCGCGCGCCGGGAAGCTCTGTTTCCTGCGCGCCGTGCCCGCCCCGCCGCCGCGGTTTGACAGCTGCCACTCGCCGTTCTGGGGGAGATATTTAGCAAATTAATTGGGTACTGGATACTCTAGTAGTCTAGTCAATAATATAATTGACATTCATGAGGCGTCAAAATGCGACTCTCCCATACGTCAATAGGCTAGTTTCCTAAAAAAAATTTTTTAGTCCGTCAATTTTAGTATAAAAAAATATTGGACGCGTATATTTTTAATTGTCAACCAAACAAATAATTACAAAGTTAAAGTGCGTTGAAGTTCCGCGCGAAGTCACAAAGTGCTGCACTTTTACGCACTCACTGGCGTCACGGGCCTTTTCTTTAGAACTTTGACACGCTTTATCTTTTTACTTTTTCATTAGTTTTAAAAGGTGAAAAATACGTGTCGAGTAGTTTTTGATAAGCTAACTGACGGACTAATAAAAACTCTTGCTTTTTTACCCAGGAAACATCCCTATTGATTGACTGTTAGTTTCAAAACTAGACAACAAGGGCTTCCTCGTTGTGGATAAAAAATTAAAAAAAAAAACTACTTAATCGTACAGTAATTTGAAAAGTAAGGTTTTTAGTGCTAGGAATAATGAAAAACCTGCTGTTTGTACAATGATTTGTCCCCACAGGAAAAGTTGTTGAATTCGAACTTAGAAAGATGTTTACAAATAAAAGTTAACAAACTTGATACCTAGGTAGGTATTATTTTATCAAGCGGAAGCATCCTCAATAATAAACGTGTGTTTAGCATGATTACAGTAGATTTTATTCAATTAAAAATACGGATGTAGAAATTCAATATTAACGTTAACAGTTCAATTGTTTGACGTAATGTAAATGATATAACGCAAGTCTTATGTAAAACATCGCGGAGAATAATATTTTAGTCCTATTCATGAAAATAACAAAGACAGTCACGAGGAAAACTCCATTTACCTCAAAGGTGCATTAACATAACAACACATAAAGAATCTAATTTACCCTGTCATTCAGTCCTACATTCTTGTCTATTATTCGCGCTGACGGAGCTCAGTCACACCTTGGTTTTCTAGTGTTACATTTAGTTATAAAACAAATTGAATTTGTTCTCTCGCGTGCGAACCGAACATCAGGCGGATCAATTAAAGACAGAATCGTTACACGCTCGTGGAATAGTTCACGTGGTACTAATGAACGGAGCTCATCACATATGCAGGTGCGAGCCGACGTAAGTGATTCCGCTATTGTACGATTGTTCTGCACGAAATTGTAACGATACTATAATTCATAATTAAATGGTAGCAGCGCCGTATGATTCACAACATGAGAGCTGTGATAAAAAATGAGGGATGCGGAATTTTTCATTGACATGTCATGTATTGTTGTTACGTTGCAATTAAATTTATTTAGAAAACACGCACAGTATTTCCCAGGTTTTGTTGTTAAAATAATGCCAAACTCTTGTTCAGTTTCTTGTAACCGATTTAAAACGTATTACTGTCCTGTACATAAAGAGTATCATTGAGGAAAGCAAGTCATTTGACTAGTGGAAAGTGTTAGTGTAAGGAGTACAGATATGGAATACAGGATCAATTGCACATCATCTGCGCAGGTTTGAATTAAATTAATTGTTTTTTTCAGACTCAATTTAAGCGGGCTTTGTCTATTCAAATTAGATTCGTCATACATCAATGTCATGCAGATAAGTATGCAAATGTGAAATTGAGTACGGTCATTCGCTGAAATGTTTGCTCACGCGGACCGTGGAATGGTGTTGCCGGTGGTGTATAAAGTAAAGGTCTAGCAAGGAGTCGCCATGACGAGACATAGTTACTGATCATCGGAGATACTTCAGCTGCTACAAACGACAAGACCACGCCATCAAATAGCTCATTTTACGTCGACGACAGTTAAGTGCTGTTCCGCAGCAGTGACCAATATGGATACTACAACGATCCACCTGGTCCCCTGCCGGTCAAAGGCTTACCCTCTACGCTTGTTTTTACCTAGCTTTTGGCGTAGCAGAGCATCTGCAGGATTATATCAATCACCATCGAAGGCAAAATATCACGAATAAAATTTCGTTGTTGTGTTTGTGTTGCACCTCAGTGACCTTTCGCGACACTTTAGTTCAGGGCAGCCTGTCTAGAGCTATACGAAGTCTCTGGGCATATAATAAACCAAGCTATGCGCTTGGTTTATTATACCACTTACCAGCGAGACGGCGCCATTAGGCGGCTGCACGGACGTCAGCAACTGGGAAGTACTTGCTCGTAGCGGGGACACCGTCATGCCGAGGTGCTTGTTTACATTTTTTAGTGAGAAATAGTAATATTTTAGGCACATGGAAGCTGAATCTACCAGAGAACTTTCGATTCACCATATAGTGAGCTGTTATTCAGGACAGCTTGGCTAGTGGTTTTATTTTGCGACTAATAACCTCCTAGCTGCCTAATTTAACCAAATGGCTGAGTCATATACAGAGTGACCGGTGATTCGATACATTCCTTGAAAAGGGTTACAACGATAGAACTCATTTCAAATAGAATTTGTAATACTACTGTCAACTTCACTTACCGGCGAGACGTCGCCATTGTCGTCGTCATGCCGAGGTGCTTGTTGTTGGTCAGCCGCTTCAGCAGCCGCGTCTAGTGGTCAACATGTATCACTGCTGCTACACTAGTACTCACCGGCGAGACGGCGCCGTTGGGCGGCTGCGCGGGCAGCGGGGAGGGGGCGGCGCGCAGCGGGGACACCGTCATGCCGAGGTGCTTGCTGTTGGTCAGCCGCTTCAGCGCTGCGTCTAGTGGTCAACATGTATCACTGCTGCTACACTAGTACTCACCGGCGAGACGGCGCCGTTGGGCGGCTGCGCGGGCAGCGGGGAGGGGGCGGCGCGCAGCGGGGACACCGTCATGCCGAGGTGCTTGCTGTTGATCAGCCGCTTCAGCAGCTGCGTCGCTTCGCCGCCGCGACCTGTGTTTCAACATATTTATTTTAGAAAGATTTGTAAAAAAGACTGCTAAGCCCTGTTGTAAGCATTTTTAAGAAAAAAAGAAAACATCTAATATACTTTTTACTTGTCTTCACATGGTTATATCAGAATTAAGGCTGAGTTGCACCATCTTACTTTAACTTTGACAAACGTCAAAAATCTGTCAAACTCCATACAAAAAGCACCAGTTATAGGTATTATTTATTACAAATCTCTCAATATACACATTTAAAGTTACACGTTTATAACGGCAATCAGTAATGAAATGCCACCGTTGTTATTCAGTTGTTTATTACATCGTGTAACCTTGTTATAATGTAAGCGTTAATTTCCGCATCAGATCTTTCTATGTAAATCCGGTGTACAATGTTAAAATATGTAAAACTACTTAATACGTTTTTTTTTCTTTAACGCTACATTCGGAAATTACAAAGTCAAAAATTGAGGGATAATGCAGAGATGATCTCTCACATCAAGTCAAGCAGATGCATTATAAAATGGTGATTATTGTAATAGGCGTAACGAACCGTTTTGCCTGTGAAGAGCCTGCCACAGGGATTCCTTGTCGGCCTCGTTCTCGGGAGGCGGCGGCGACGACTGCGTGGACCGCGCCGATTGGGTCTCCTCGGGGTCATCCTACAAATGAAACAGAACATAAAGAAGATGTAGGACAGGTAAAAAGGTCCTGGATATTGGACATATTCCAATGCTTGAAAGCTTTATAATGACTCATTCGATGATTCTAGATTAAAGAATTTATAAACAGCTTCTCTGGGTTAGATGAGTCAGGGGAATCTCAATCTAAATTACTGAAGCCACGGTTTGAGTCATCAATCGACGATCAAAAAGAGTAACTTTTTTTCTTACCTGCGACATTTGGGAGATATCCATTTGTAGTCGGTCGGGATCAGACCCACTACTGCTCTGACTGCATTCTTCGTATACCGAGGAGTTGTCTTTAGACGTTTTCTTACTTGAGGACCGAGCATAAACAGACTGCTTGTATTCATCGGGGTAATTTGACGTATTATTATGAGCTAACACTCCTTGATAGAAGGAATTTGAGTGCTCGCGATCAACATTGTGATCGTTTTGCTCGGAAGGTTCATTTTTAACAGAATTGTAAAGTGAGAGATCCATTTCTTTATTGTCATGGTCGTGGTTGCTGCGCGGACTCGCGGCGTTTTGTGACGCGTTGTACAAGTACTGGTCTTCCGGGGTGTATTCGTGTGAGTATTTTACATCGTTGGTGCTGAGTGCGTGCGTTCTGTCGATGACGCTGGTGTAGTTAGGGGGGAACTTCTGAGATTCTTCGTTCTCGCGCTGCGCGACCGCCACCGCCTTGGAGATGATGTCTAAAACTGCGCTACAGTGCATGACCTCGCGGGCGCGCTCGGGCGGCGCTATGCTGGGCACGCTCTTGAACATTATGTGCGGCTCGTCCTCCGGCTTCACGACGTACTTCGTCGGGTCGTTGTGCTTTATAGAGAGCAGCGCCACCGCAGCCTGCCGGCTCTCCGAATTCTTCATCTCCTCCGTAGAATCCGGCGAGCCGATTTCATCGTACTTAATCTTATTGTCTTGCTCATACTCATTTTCATTCAACGGTTTGATTATCTCATCCAACTTCGCCGCCGTTACGCTCAGGACCTCCTATAAATAAATGATGCTGGTGAATATTTGGAGAGCAAACGATACTATACATTAAATGCACGATAACAAAGACGTCAACCAATGAGGTGCGCGCTCATTTCTTGTCACTCGTGATTACACTGCCTAACTGATAAGATAAACTACACAGGTTCGTCGTTATTATTGCAGTCCGTTTTAATTTTAATGAGAAAAATGTACTTTTCTCCGGGGCGTGAAGTGAGTACGTAGGAGCCGAAATAAACCGTGCGGACTTCGTGTTGTGTAGGTTGCATAAGTAATGGTGTTTTGTTTGTTGTAGGTGTTAGTGATAATATGCGTCCTAGTTTCATTGAGTTGCGCTCAGAAGGCTGAAGTGGAAAGCGCGCCTTGTGATATATCAAGGAACGATGACAATAACCTGACGCTGAACTGTTCGCGGAGGAGCCTGAGTCATATTCCCGAATGGCCTGTGCAAATAACCAAAATTGATAAAGGTAAGTCGCAGGATGCGTTGTACGAAGGTGTTATCACTATCATGCACGTACCTGCATAACTCGAGATACCACAAACAAACAAGTGCAGTCCTCAACAAATTATCTACGTGTGTCATCGCTATTAAGTATTAACGTGTTCTAATACCTACGAGTATAGCGTAATAAATAGACTCTGGTAAAATCCAATAAGTACAATCTAAGAATTAATCTATTATTAGATTTTTCAACAACAAAGCAATTATTTGTTAATTTACTAATAACGTAAGCAAACCAGGGTTCGAAAATATCCGATATTTATTATAAATATCAAAATATCGGATATTTATGATATATATCCGATATATATCAACTTTGATATATATCAATTTTGTATGAAAGCCATATTATTATTTTATTGTATTATTCATGAATACTATTGCATATGTGCTACATAAACATGTTTTTAATGTTTTTAAACCTTAAAATCAGACAAATATAGCAAAAACATAAAATATTCTTTTAAATACGGCAAAATCAACTAAAAAAATAAAAATCTTATGTCAAAAAGTACAAATACAGTAACAAATTTTAAAAGTTGATATATATCATCAAAACCGGCTTGATATATATCGGATATATATCCGATATATATCTTGATATATATCCCTTGATATATATCCTCGAACCCTGAAGCAAACACTGAAATATTTTAATTAATTAAGTGGATGAATCGATTATTGTTTTCACAGTCCATTATTTAGTAGTCATCTACAAGTTCTGCTGGGTCAGGCAATTATTGAGAAAGTTATATAAAAAACTGTTGGATAAAATTTATACTGATCTTTTATAATAAATTTATCAAATTAAAAAAGTTTATTAATGTTAATTTATTAATTAGCAGACTTGAAAATGAAGTTTTAATCAAAACATCAAAAAGTTACTTTGAAGTAGTTTCACAGATTAATTTTTACCTTTTTGTTTTAACTATGATATTACATAAATGATGACCACTGTTGTATTATTTATTATCAAAAACAGTTTATTTTCTTGTATTTGCCCGACTGCGCCAAAACTAAGGAGGGTTATTATTCCTATTAGATTATAGGGCTCCTATAATATCGCAAACATACAGAGTAGAAATAATAGGTGAGCTAACTCGATTACATATTTCTAAATTATAAAAGATATTGAAAAACTGGTGGTTACTGATCCTGAAAGTGCTTCACGAGCTCTATCAAACAGTATCAACACTAGGTTACAGTATAAAGTGGATCTATCCGAAAATGCAATGTTTCCAGCTTTAAAAAAATAATACCTCTGAAACACCAATATTGCAAACCCTACAATGGAACGATAAGAGGGCATCCCCGATTAATTCAATCGAGTAAAATTGGACGTAGATAAGGAAAAAATGCACCACCCACAACATGGTCAATGTTTAATTAAGTGTGCACAATTTTTTTAATATTACTATCGATGAAAATAATTTACAGCCATACGAGTTTTAAAACCTATCGAAAATCTGCGTAAATTAACCTTTTACAAATCTAAGTCCACTCTGCACTTCGTTAAGATCTTCATTACAATCTAGGCCCTTATTGTAGTGATTTCGTCGTAAGTCAGTTTTTGCAGATAGACTTTAACAAAGCGCTTTGAAACAGTTTCAGACGCACACGTCCTAATAACGTTCTTCAACAACACAATCAGCAATGTGACGCAGTTACCGGCGCTGCCCGGGCGTATCGCCATCAGCTTTAAAGCGAACAGGATCGTTGAGATTGAGAAGGATGCTTTCGGAGACGTGGGACGGCTCGTCTACTTGGATCTTAGCAAGAATCTTATTAAAGGTACCTACTTACAGTATTTTAAACCCCCGATATAGATAAATACCTTATTTATCTATGCCCCCGACGCAAAACGAGGGGTGCCTGTGGCATCATAGATTCTAAACGACAAATGATTTTGTTTTTGTATTGCTCATAGCTGTGCAAGACCGTTAATTGGTTAATTGATGAAGTTAACATTTCGAGTAACGGATAGTTTTTAAGTTAATTAACTTTTCAAAATGTTAAAGGTCTCATTAACTCCCGTAATCTTCCGTCCACTAATCGCTAAATACTTTTAACAGAAGGACGCCGTGTGGATCTTACCGCCGCGCCGCATACAACTCATTCAGACAAGTTAGATAAATAAAGAATAATTATTACACAATTTAATTTACGCCCTCCTTATATTCTTAACCTTTCATAACTTTCTAAATTGTATTGCCTTTTCTTCCAGGGGACGTCCTCCGAGGGGAGATATTCCGTGGGCCGTACAGAGACAACAAGTACAACAACATTACCCTGGAGACCTTGAACCTCGGCCACAACGAGATCCACTCTCTGGACAAGGACTTGTTTCAGTACACTCCGAATCTGACGCGATTGTATCTCAACAACAATCCCATCGAGATTCTCGATCACGTCACCGTCCTCGCTTTGGCAAGCGCCACGAATTTAGAGGTGAAGTCCTTAAGATTTGTAGAGATTAAGTTCAAACTATATCGGAAAGTAATGCGTGAGTAATAGCACGTCATGCGTGCAGAAAAATAATATCTGCTTTAAGTAACACAAGCGCGAAAGGTTTACGTATTTTCATGTAAGTAATAATTTGGAAAATTAACTATTCGGTATAATGGCTTACAGGTGTTGGACTTATCAAAAACGGACATAGCGACTATTCCTCTGCACACTTTTAAAGGTCTAACGAAACTGCAGCAGATCGATCTGTCCAACAACAAGTTCGTAACCGTCCCAGAGAGCCTCAGCATCGTCGGGAACAGTCTGAAATACCTTACATTCAACAACAATCCGATAGTGGAGCTGAATGATGATAGTTTTATAGGTAAAGAAGAAATGCGCAAAGCAAATCTAAATTCAACCTTAGCGTAGTAAGACATAGAGATCATCAAGTTATTTTGTTTTCTAGGTTTAACCAAGTTGGTAGAATTGGAAGTCGCTGAAAACGATTACTTGGACGAGGTAAAACGAAACACATTCGTCCCGCTAACGAGTTTGAGGGTGCTTCACCTCTGCCACAACGGCAACCTGAGGTATATCAGCCGCAGCGCTTTCAGGGGCATGAAAGACAAGTGGACCTTGAAAGAGGTAAGGCTAAAAAAATTGCTTTTAAAACAAATAAAACGATGCAACGACCACCGACGGAACACGGAACTCGTCAAAGTATGATTGAACCTGTAACTGCTACGATAAAATTAATGCTACTCATATTAATGATAAGTCGTAAAACAATTTGTTATTAAACTGGTGATTTCAAAACGGTTTCGCTATAACTACCGAGCGACAGAAACAGGTGGCATCAATTCCAATTTCGTAACAATTTGAATTATGATAGAGTTAAAAAAATGCTTAATCGATGTCGAATCTCAAATATTAATACTAATCTGAATGGCCTCGTATTAGTAGTCAAGTACAACATATCGACCTTCTTACTTAATCGAGGTGTACTAATAAGATTTAAGTTGAGTCATGATGGGTTACACAAGAGTGAAAGTCGCATCGATATTAGCACAGCGGAATTCACCTGATTCGGTATGGACGAAAACATCTAATCATGCCGAATTATCATCTTAACGAATACCAGGACAAAGCGAAGAAAGTGGCGTGGCTTTCGAACGTGACGGCGCAATGGCTTCTGGCCTAATGCAGTGGAGAGTTCAATTCCCGGTTGCGGAAATTATTACTATTTCGACGAATCTATTGAGGTTATTTACACGTGATTATAATTCTTATTTATAATGTGTCAGTAAATAATTAACGAAACAATCGAATCGGACAACAATGATAACACAATTTTAATAAATCTCAAATCATGTGTGCAATAATCCATCTGGCCCAGATTTGACTTGCTTACTGAACACAAAACGAGGTCGGCTGATTAATCACTTTGCCGTGTTTTCATATCAGTCATTTGCTGATTGCAAAATTTATCCTAAAACTGGAACAAATGCCAAGCATTCCAACTAAATTGATTGCTGACTTGTCTTTGTTGCTATGGAAATCGAAAAAGATTCCCTATAAATTCTCTAAGCATCATTTAGATTGGTTCATCTATGCAAAAGGAAAATGCTACAACATGAATTATCACAGCATCCTCCTAAATAAAAAATATATTCAGCTCCTAAGTACCACTTATTTTCTTCAACAGGTATACCTGGATGACAACAATCTTAGTGAACTGTCAACAGACTTGATGCCATGGGACAAACTGGAGATACTGGGTATGACTGGCAACTCCTGGCTGTGCAACTGTGACCTAGCAAATATTGTCACTGCTCAGGGAGCTGGCAAAAAGTTCAAGTTTGGTGAAATACCTTAGTAAGTTCTGAAAAGTTTCAGTAAACAAAACAAGAGAAAACTTATTTTAAGCAACTGTAAATTTCTTAGATAAAATCTTTACCTCTGAGTAAACAAATAAAGCATTCCTTAAATAAAATACACATCAAATGCAAAATCCGAACTATTTACTAACTTTCAACTGGCTTATTTACAACATCTAATGATATAAATAAAATGTAAAGACTAAGAAGTTGCATCAGTTGGTGACTAATCTGATATTTTTAACTGTGTGATTGTGTGTGTAAATAACTAAGGAACTTTACAAGTTTTATCATGCATTCCAATTCAACAATCTTAGTTTTTACAGCAAGACTGCAGTGATAGGAATCATTAATTCATTTTTTTAACAAAAAGTTTGTAATCATTTAATCAAAAATCAACTTGTGACTTTCAGTTGTGCAGCACCAATGAGGCTGAGTGGAGAGTACATTACCAACATAACAGTGTCTTTCTGCCCTACCTTTGACAATACATTCACAAGCAAAAGAAGTTTTCGTATTGGAGATCTGAAACCTAAACATGTACTATGGAGCATCTTTGGGGTCACTGTGGTAGTTGCCATTGGAATGGTACTTGGCTGGATTGTCAAGGCAATGAAAACAGTCTACAAGAAGAAGATTAAGAAGACCCAACCTATTCGGTACATTAACTTGAATGAAGATTCTTCTTTCGCCTAAAGTTGTGATTATTAATTAAAAGAAAATGTATTCAAATCAAAAATATTGTTACATAGATTTAAAATAGGTAGATGTATTATCATTTTTGTATAGTTATTATTAATTTATAATTGTTTGAATTTCAAATATAATCTAATTTAGATGTTACAATCAATGTTTTACTTTAAAAATTATAGCTCACCTCCTTTGGCCCAGCCAGTGAATTGGCATATTGAAGAAATTGTTCTAACAGTCTTTCTGATTTGTGTGAAAGTTCTCTGAATGTGTGAAACTCATCAAGTTTATGTGCACAGCTTCCACACACCACCTGTGGCAGGAGGTCACCAGGATACACCTAGAAAAACATTTACAACATCACACTCAAGCATTTCACAATATCACAGTCATTAAGAGATGATGTGGCCAGTGACCTTTCGCAAGCGTAATCATAGGTGATGACTCATAGGTAAATCTGATAACAAACAACTTCCAAATGTCTAATTCTGTTTACTTCAGTACAGAAGGCACCAGACAAGGGAGACTGTAGTCCCCCTGCAGATTGATATCCTTAAAATATACATCTAAATTTAGAAAATATTGAATTCTCAAAATAGCAGTGTATAATGTGGATAAGCAGGGAGCATCAGATGAGGTGTGCGGCAGGGCGAGGGGCGCGCGGCGAGGGCGCCGAGCTTCGGGAGAGGCGGGGCGACAGATCTCCGCGCGCTCCTTTGTTATCAGCGACACGGCTGCGGCTGAGATATCACTCGCTTGCCACACACACCCGTCTATCACTTCCCCGAATGACATTAGTCATACGCCCGAGCACTCAACGCGTGGGCCGTAATATGATATCACAATGCGAAAATACCCAACACCCGCGAGAAAGTTAATGGCGCTTATCAGCATCCACAATCTCATACGCTTACGCTAAACTTTCACACGAGAAAACGGCATCTTCCTGATGTTCGAAGTAGGAAATAACAAAAGATTATTACCATTATCGATAGATATGACATTATCATATCGGAAAGCCGTGATTTCTCCTTATCACGGTCGAAAATTGGAAGTTTAACATCACTGCAATTATCGCCACAGAATGATAAACAAAGGCGACACACTGAATGGAACTTCGGCGGCAAATTACACATATTTAGAAATCAAAACAGAGAAAGGCGGACACAACGAAAGAAAACATTTAGAACTGAATCGAGTAACTGATATAAAAATTAAAAGGTTTTGATGAAAATATAACTCAGCATGCGATGATAGAATACATCACATCGCGATTGTCAACCAAACGAACGAACAAGCTACGCACACATACAAATAATCCATTGTTTACGCTACGCTGATCATTGCGTCTGTGTTATTGGGGTTTGTTTTCGTTTACATACTGATAAAATGATAACATTATCAGTTTTATCAGCTCAACATTTTTATCGGTAAAATTGTGATGAATTACTTGTTATTGTCAAAACAGATAAGGCTTGGTGAAATACAATAGTAACAGATACGGCACGGGTATTTAAAACAGTTAATTACGATAGAATTATCGTGAATACTATAGAAAAGTTTTTTTTAATTAAAAAATAAATTATTAATCTTCTGAGAATAAGATCACTGGAGTTAATCCTAGAAATTTAAATTGAGAATAAGATTACAAATAAACAATTCGATCAATTTTCAACAAATTAAATAAAATTGTTTTGTGTCGTAAAAGAAAAGTTGTAGAAAAGCCGTCTCACACTCACAGTGGATTACTTTAATAGTCAAAGCTAAAGGCGATTGGATGACAGGGCATAAAATATGAATTTTATTTAAATAAAACTGTTTGAAAAGTGGTTGGTTCGTCGTCAGCATCAAAATGCAAAGCAATCCACTACCTAGTACCCACTAAATAAAATAAATCGCTATCGTTGCTCGTTCAGAAACTTTTATGAAGTAGACGCCATTAAAAACACCTCTAAAGTCATAAAATAAAAATTTTGAAGATTTTTTGAAATTTTTACTCATCAGTTTGTTTTCTATGATCATTATTTTAAAGTTAATAATTTTATCTGGTAACATTACTAATGTCAAAAATGAAGGTTACGTCAAATGGTAGGTACTTTATAATGTCACGATTTACGATTTAATTTTAAGTTAAAAATATTAAATGATTAGACAAAACGAGCATCTTTTTTCAGCATCTTGTGAGTTGTTTTAAGGACGATTTTTAAAATATTTCAGTTTTTTATTATTACGTTTTTACTTACTTATTATGTGTTTTTTTTAATACATTTTTTATCAAATTCTATTTGAAATACTTTTAATGACATTGTAAAGAACTGTTTTTGTGAAGAACGTCAGTGGAGTAAACTTTTTCCTTTCTCTTTCTAACTAATGTCGTTTTCCTTTAAATGAAAAGAGATACAAATAGTAATTAAGCACTTGCAGTTGTCATTTGTGTTTATCATTATTTTTTGGTATTCCACATAATTTAGCGAGAGTAATGGTTATTTTTCATATCAATAAACATGTTTGACTTTTATAACAATTAGTTAACCTATTTATTTATGATGAGGTTCTCTAAAAGTCGATTGTTGGCCCATACTTTTGTTTATATTAATTTTAATGTGCAGTGAATTTAAGTTATCATTTCGTGAAAAACCAAGACAATGAATTCTAATTCTAATTCCTCGTTAACTGTTGAGGCTAGTGAAACTACATCTGATACCGCGCAATTAGTCAACAGTATAGAAGCTACCACTTCAAATTATGGACAACTAAATAATCATGCAGACTCCCAGGTAATACCTACTCAGGTCCTGGCAATGGGTATCTTCCATATTTTTATGTTAATAATACCGAATATTGCATCAATTCACAAGACTGCACAAGATTTGTTGTCATAAAATAACAATGTTTATAGGAGTCAATGGAAGACGATTCGCATGGTAGTCATGGTGTACGAAGAAGGAATCCAGTCCAAAAAATTGAACCTGGATCTATGAACATTCTGTCAGCAAAATATGAAGTAAGTAAAGTACTATACAATGAAATAGTGATAACAATTTACCATCATATCAAAGTAGCTATGTAAAACATGTTATTTTTGTGAACATAATGTTCACCCAATTATTTTCAGAGTTTGGATTATGACACATGTGAAAATCACTTATTACTTGACGAAGAGCGCAAAAGAGGCTACCCATTTGTAGTATGGAAGGACATGGCAAGATGGTTTATTATATTACTCATTGGAATAATCACTGCTTTGATAGCATTTATCATAGATATTTGTATAGAAGAATTTTCAGACATCAAATACAAAGAACTCAAGAAATGTATGTATAAATTCCAACGTTTTATTTGCAGTTAGAAATGAACTAATATTAATTGTTTTAATGGTTTTTCCAGCTGTTGACAAGTATGCTATGATGGACCGATTGTACATTCCGTACCTACTATGGGTGTTATCTAATATTTGTATTGTATTCATTGGATCCATATTGGTCGCATATGTGGAGGTAAACTTATGAATAATTATTAATATACTAAACATACACACAAGTAATATTGCATTGCATCTAAAGGCTAAACACCAAGGATGGTTACGTCAAATTCTAAAAGTTTATTTATTTTATTACTACATTTAAAATAGTGAACTTGCTTTAGTAAATATTAAAGCACTAAACTATATCAATACACTGATCACATGACACGACGCTGTTTCATAGTGGTGATAACACACTTATTTCTCAAACTAGATAAGTAATGAGTAATTACTAACTGTGCAAACTGGTTTAATGACTAATTTTGAATAAGTAACAGATGCATTACAGTCCTTTTGTTGCTACACAATAATGCTACTTATGTATTTAGAATTTTTACTTGATGATATTTTATTTACATTTAACTACTATTAAGCGCAACTGGGCTGACAAGTCTACAATGATATCTTAGGCGATTATCACACTGCGCCGCGCTCCGCCGCGGTACGCGGGACGACAGATTTAATCATTGTATGTATGCAAGTACCTCAGTTTGTATGGAAAACACGCGCGGCACAACACACTGACAACGCGTCTGCGCGCGGGATTTTTTATATGAAATCACGCGGACCGCGGCGGAGCGCGGTGCAGTGTGATAACCGTCTTACAGCTTTTCTAACATGAAAGTTCATATTTTTTGCGTAATGATTACGTTTAGAACTACACTCGACAGCAAATAAATCGCACCACCCGCGACGCGAACTTTAAAGATTTTCTTTTGACACAATAATGGTGCCCCAACAATATTGGTGTTATTTGAAAGCCCAATAAATATCCTTAAAGAAAAACACATTTAATTTCTTAATAAATTATTAACATATACCATAAATGTGACTTGAAAAAAGACCTCACTTTGGGCTCACCTCTGGGATCAATTAGACCAAATTTTATGGTTATAAAACCAAATAATGATCACACGTGTCCTCTTTAACAGATGGATAGCGATTAATCCCAACTTAACAGTTTTATAGCCATAAAAGTTGGCTCAAGCGTAACTATCTATTTTTTGAAGAAGTGACTCTGGATCCTTCTAAAGAAACATTTTTGGGTTAAAAAACCTTTCCTATAATGAAATGAAGTTTAGAACTAGGCTTTTGAATGGTACCAATATTGGTGTGAAGTGGGGATGCATACGTTTGAAAGTGCTTGTCGCGGGTGGTGCGATTTATTTGCTGTCGAGTGTATATCACGCTTCAATAACCGACAAGTTTTTTTATAGAAATATGTTCTAATATTTATACATACATATAAATAGTTACAAATAATATGAAATGTTTCAGCCGGTCGCTGCAGGCAGTGGTATCCCTCAAGTAAAATGCTACTTGAACGGAGTCAAAGTACCGCGAGTGGTTCGCTTCAAAACCTTGGTGGTGAAAGCCATTGGTGTCATTACCGCCGTTGTCGGTGGATTGGCTGGTGGAAAGGTAATGACTGATGCAGATAGCAGAAAACTCATGAAAACTCATTCTATTTTTGCAAGTTTAAAAAGCACTTACACCAGCCCCAGTTAATAGTGTCCAAGTACAACCAAAGTAAAGGATATGCTATTTATGAGCCCATTTTTAAGGCAAGGGCTTCTTATACTATGCAAAGTGCTCCTCCTCCTTTTACCTTTTATTGTGGGGTACCTATGCAATTTACAGTATCCATCTCCTCCAACTCTCATCTAGCTATCATGTCCAAGGCGGAGCGGAGCAGAGCGGAGAATTTTCGGGCTGGACAAAACACTTCTCTGCTCCACTCTGTTCCGCCTTGGTGAAAAACGGGCCTTATTTTACGGGGATTATTTATTTACTTACTTAACTTACAAATTATTTATTTTAGGAAGGCCCAATGATCCACAGCGGGGCTGTGGTGGCGGCCGGGATATCTCAAGGCAAAAGTACCACCTTCAACAGGGACTTCAAAATATTCCAATACTTCCGCGAGGACCACGAGAAAAGGGATTTCGTATCTGCCGGCGCCGCTGCGGGCGTTTCTGCTGCTTTCGGCGCTCCAATAGGTAACTTCAAGTTTTATACATCTTTGTTTCAGCCAATTGACTGAACTTTCAAATTATGAACTTCTATGTTGTTCTAATTAATTTCATTGTGGGTCCAATGACTGTTTAATTTTCCCCTGGGACAAACTTGACCTTCACTGGTTGGGTTTTTATTATCCTGGCTATACAGGAGTGGAGTTGGTGGAAGCGAGAGGTGGAAACAGATAGTCCCGTGATAGACAAAGGCTTCCTCCAATGATATGCCTAACGAACGGTCTTGCGCTGCCCGCATGACCGCATCCAAGTACTTCCCGCGACCTTCACCAGATCGTTGGACCACCTAGTGGTAGTGACTGCTTTTTCATCTAAGCGACTAATCCAGTAGTCAGATGAAGAGCAGTCGCCCGGCAAGCGAAAGGTCGTGTGTTCGATTCCCACTTTAGGCAGGTCGATTTTTTCAGGTTATTTTAAAAATTTAGATCGACAGGCGACTTAACGCCAGATTTTACTTAAACTACTTTAACTAACTATTCAGGGTGTCCCAAAATTAGTACGTCATGCTGACGCAAGAGGTAGAAGACGAATAGAACACCTATAAAGTCCGATTTGCTGTCGATCGTATCTATTAATTGAATTAATTCATGTCATATTCTCATTTTAGGTGGAGTATTATTTTCACTGGAAGAAGGCACAAGTTTCTGGAACCAAGCGTTGACGTGGCGAACGTTCTTTGGGACTGTGGTTTCTACGTTCACTCTGAACTTCGCTCTTTCAGCATACCACGGTCACCCTGGAGAGTTAAGTTACCCAGGTAAAGAAGATCTGACTTACGCCGCGTTATAACGGAATGCCTCTTTATAGCTTTTGCACATAATACTACGCCAGAAGTCTGCAAAAGGGCAGAATAGAACACAGAGGCAAAGAGAAACAGACTTAATTATTAGACTTCATGTAGACTTTTATTGTGCTCGATATACCTAATTATTAGCCACGAAAATTTTACACTCTTCTCATAATATGCATTTTCTTTCAGGTCTGCTAAACTTGGGGAAGATGGACCCGTTTCCATTCCAGTTCTATGAGCTGCCGGTGTTCATGTTTTTCGGGGCCGTTGGCGGAATGCTGGGAGCGCTTTGGAACCACATAAATTATAAGTTGGCTGTGTTTCGAATTAGGTAAGCTTATACGGTCATGTTAATAATAAATTTTGTTAAATAGTTGCCTAATATCTAGCTCAATCAGAGAAGAATCATAGTTTACGTGAGCAGCGTTTTATCAAGTAAGTATACCAACTTTCCGTAAAGTTTAGAAGACATCAAGGTTGCGGGTTTCAAAATTTATATTTTGAGTCGTTAGTAAAGTTTCTAAATACAATATAACCAATTACAATATTTGCCTATAATCAAGTTTCAAGCACCAATCATCATCAACAATCATTTTCTTCCGAACTTGATAATGCCATAATAAGATGATAATTCATACTAGCTTGGCTGCATCTGCCTGCAGTACAATGCATCCCGAAGCAGAAATGACCTGATGACTTTGCACCCGTGCAAGTGTTGGGTAGGCCCTACTAAAGTAATATTGGGACCTGTAAAAGCGCTTTTAGCAGCCTCATCATTATCTCAGCCATAGGTTGCCCACTGCTTAACACAGGCCTCCCCCAATGCTTTCCATGTTGCCCGGTTGGTAGCGGCCTGCGTCCATCGCCTTCCTGATAGGTACCTTTATAATGTCGTTGGTGCATCTTGTGGGTGGACGTCCCACGCTGCGTTTTCCGGTACGCGGCCTCCACTCCAGAAACTTTCTGCTCCATGTGCCAAGTCAATGAGGGCTATCGTTTTAGCGCTCACCAGTTAGCGCCACTATAGAGTAAGGTCCTGTCACTTGCTAGTAGCGAAGACAGTGGCACCAACATGTGAGCGCTAAAGTGGTAGGAGGACTATCGCATTTGCACTCATCAAGATGGCGCCACTGTAGAGTAAGGTCCTGTCAATCGCCAGGGGTGCCAACTGTTAAGTATAAAAACGATAGCCCTCATTGCCACTTTAGCAACTTATTTGCAGATAATAAATGTCTTGTATGTCTTATTCCACCAGGCACATCACTGCGCCGTGGCTGCGCGTGGTAGAGGCGTGTCTGGTTGCAGCGGCCAGTGCTACGTGTGGCTTCCTCATGATGTTCCTGCTCAACGACTGCCGGCCGCTCGGCGAGGACCCTACTAAGGTGCCCCTGCAGGTGAGTCAAGTTATAGAACTTTGGAAACCATTGTGTTGTAGAAGAATAGAAGATTGGACCCTATGTAGACCATTAGTATTAGTATTCATAAAAACTATGACTTTAAAGGTAGCCTTTCGAACTAAGCGTCACAGACGCAGCGTCTTTATCTTTGGTCTTATGCCACCAACGCCGCGTCACTAACTCGCTTTGACAGGCTACCTTTAATATCAAAGCTAAAGACGCTGCGTCTGTGACGCTTAGTTCGAAAGGCTACCTTTAAGACCAAACCTAAAGACACTGCGTCTGTGACGCTTAGTTTGAAAGACTACCTTAAATTATGCGTGAAAAAAAAGATGCTCATTTTAGTTTACTTGTAATCGTATGTGACGCCTAACGTGGTCAAATCGCCAGTGGCCAAGAATATGAAAATCCAAAGAAACTTAGGAAAGATCTTTCGCAGCTCATAAATTATATCTACTCTCTCACTGCTCCACTGCCGCAGGCAGGAACGTATTGTTCGTTCGTTTCAGCCGAAAGACGTCCACAGCTGGACAAAGGCCTCCCCCAAGGATTTCCACAAATACCAGTCCTGCGCCGCTCGCATCCAGGCGCCTCCCGCGACCTTCACCAGATAGTCAGTCCACCTAGTGGGAGGCCTGCCTACGCTACGTCTTCCGGCTCGTGGTCGTCACTCAAGAACTTTCCTGCCCCAGCGGCCGTCAGCTCTACGAGCTATGTGCCCTGCCCACTGCCACTTGATTTTAGCGATTCTGCTGGCCATGTCAGTCGTATTGTTATCACTATAATTTACCATAATCTATTATTTAAACTTTAAAGTATTTTTATTTACCTGACTGCGTCAGAAGGAGGGTTATGTTTTATAAAATATGTAGAAACATTTTAACCTTTCCACCTTCCACAGCTCTTCTGCGCGGACGGCGAATACAACACACTAGCGGCCATCTGGTTCCAAACGCCCGAAGCGTCAGTGCGCTCGTTCCTCCACGACCCCATCGGCTCGTACCGGCCTCTGTCGCTATTGGCGTTTGTGGCGTGCTACTTTTTGCTGTCGGCTTGGACGTTCGGGCTGGCAGTCTCCAGCGGGCTGTTCATTCCCAATCTACTCACTGGTGCAGCCTGGGGCCGATTGCTGGCGATCATTATTCAGCTAGTGGCACCCGCTAACGTGGTGAGTCATTTTCTATTTATCTTCTAGCAGGCGAGAAACCAACCTCTAAGAAAAGTCGTGATCACATCACAAAAAATCCCAAAATTCAGCAAAGCCCGGAAAATGTGACGTCACAAATAGAATAAGGTTGTGAGCATGCTTATCTGTGCAGCCAGTTCAAGTTAACTGCGCACCTGGCAGCCGTGACGTCGCGTCGACGCTCTGATACGAACGGAGCAAACGCGGGGAAAATCGCATTCCAGCGGGGTTCGCAGTTAACTTGACCGGATTGTAGCTTGTAGAGCGTTCGCTAAAACTCCCGTGGGCGAACGCGCGCTAGGGGCTATCTGGTTCTAAACGCCCAAAGCTTCAGTGCGCTGTTCCTCCACGAACTCATTTCTCTCGCTGCTGGCCTTCGTGGCGTGCTACTTCCTACTGTCGGCGTGGACGTTCGGGCTGGCGGTCTCCAGCGGGCTGTTCATTCCCAATCTACTCACTGGGGCAGCCTGGGGCCGATTGCTGGCGATCATTATTCAGCTAGTGGCACCGGCCAACGTGGTAAGTCTGTTTACCCTCTTTGATCCAGCACTAAAAAAAGGTTGTGATCACATTACAGAAAATCTTGAAAATAGGCCATGCCCGGGAAAGAGTATGACGTTAATAAGGTTTACTGGCGATCATCATCCTCGTGGTGAGTCTCTATTTACATTCTACTAGGCGAGGAACCAGCCCTCAAGGAAAGTTGACAAGAAAATCCCGAAAATCAGCCAAGCGCATGAAAGTGTGACCTCACAAATAGAATAAGGTTGTGAGCATGCCTATCTGTAGTATGTAACTTAAAGGGCCTCCGCGTATATTCCAAAGTTTCAAACACCCGAAGCTTGAGTGCGCTCGTTCCTCCACGACCCCATCTCTCTCGCTACTGGCCTTCGTGGCGTGCTACTTCCTACTGTCGGCGTGGACGTTCGGGCCGGTTTTCTCCAGCGGGCTGTTCATTCCCAATCTACTCACTGGGGCAGCCTGGGGCCGATTGCTGGCGATCATTATTCAGCTAGTGGCACCCGCCAACGTGGTAAGTCATTTTCTATTTACCTACTAGCAGGCGAGCAACCAACCCCTAAGAAAAGTCGTGATCACATCACAAAAAATCCCAAAATTCAGCAAAGCCCGGAAAATGTGACGTCACAAATAGGATAAAGTTGTGAGCATGCCTATTGGCGCAAGTACACTATGCGGCGACGCGAGAATGGGGAAGGACAAAGTGATCGAGATGATGTTGACACTATTACGTTTCGACCAATTTCCCGCAGTGTACTGTAGTATGTAGCTTGTTAAGGCCTCCGCTAAAACTCGCGCGAGCGCCCGCGCGCTAACGGCGATATAGTTCCAAACACCCAAAGATTCAGTGCGCTGTTCCTCCACGACCCCATCTCTCTCGTTGCTGGCCTTCGTGGCGTGCTACTTTCTGCTGTCGGCGTGGACGTTCGGGCTGGCAGTGTCCAGCGGGCTGTTCATCCCTAACCTGCTCACTGGTGCAGCCTGGGGCCGCTTGTTGGCGATCATTATTCAGCTAGTGGCACCGGCCAACGTGGTAAGTCTGTTTACCCTCTTTGATCCAGCACTAAAAAAAGGTTGTGATCACATTACAGAAAATCTTGAAAATAGGCCATGCCCGGGAAAGAGTATGACGTTAATAAGGTTTACTGGCGATCATCATCCTCGTGGTGAGTCTCTATTTACATTCTACTAGGCGAGGAACCAGCCCTCAAGGAAAGTTGACAAGAAAATCCCGAAAATCAGCCAAGCGCATGTAAGTGTGACCTCACAAATAGAATAAGGTTGTGAGCATGCCTATCTGTAGTATGTAGCTTAAAGGGCCTCCGCGTATATTCCAAAGTTCCAAACACCCAAAGCTTGAGTGCGCTCGTTCCTCCACGACTTCATCTCTCTCTCACTACTGGCCTTCGTGGCGTGCTACTTCCTACTGTCGGCGTGGACGTTCGGGCTGGCTGTCTCCAGCGGGCTGTTCATCCCTAATCTACTCACTGGTGCAGCCTGGGGCCGCTTGTTGGCGATCATTATTCAGCTAGTGGTACCGGCCAACGTGGTAAGTCGCTATTTACCATCTAGCAGGCACGGATCTAGCCGTCAAGCGTAGGCGTATATAGAGGGCGATTCAAACTGTAATGACGTATCGCACCTTGTCTTATCGACCATTAGAATCCCCTGAAAAATTACCCAAGGTACGCGCCAATGCTTGTGGCAAAAGTTGTGGTCACATCACAGATAACCCTAAAAATCAGCCAAACCCATGAAAGTGTGACATCACAAATATGTAAGGTTGTGAGGTTGTCTATCTGTAATAAGCAGCTTGTTAGGGCTTTCACGGGCCCACGCGATTTTATAGCGGAGGCATTTATACAGTTGATGATATCAAACCTTCCAGCTTATTGTGGAAGTGATAACGTGTTTACTCACGCGCTTATAGCTAGCAGTGCGGTTAATTGTTAATGTCCTCCCTTGATAAGGCAGCAAGCTGTAAGACAAACGCCATAATGAATTTTTCCATCAGAAATGAGTAATTATAACATCTTTGTTTGCCGCAGACGATAAACCCCGCTAAATACGCATTAATCGGTGCGGCGGCGCAGTTGGGCGGCGTGGTGCGCATGACCATATCGCTCACCGTCATCATCATCGAGACCACCGGCCAAATCTCCAACGCGCTGCCGATCATCATCACGCTTGTTGTAGCCAAGTGGATCGGGGACTTCTTCAACGAGGTGATTATTTAAATTTTAAAATGAATGAACGTGAAATAATGACTTTCATTCGTAGATCCGAAACGTAACTCCTTTTATGCTCATAGTTCCATTATATATTTTTTTATTATATCAAATCACGCCAACTAATGCAATTGTACTGCAGTGTAGCTAGCATGTAGACTGCATCCCACTTAACATCAGGTGCGATTGTGGTCAAATACCTGCCTTGCTATACATAAAAAAAAATACGCCCGTATTCACGAATGATGCTTTCTTAAAGCAGCAAATCGAACGAACGCGTTGAATAGTGTGTGACCCTGTGCGTCCACGCGACTGTGCGACCTCATAGTAATGTTTCTGAATACGGGCGTTAGCTACTGAGCCTAAATAGTTTGTTTCGTCCTAAAATTGAAAAAAAAAAAACTCAGGTTTGGTCTCCTGGGCCAAACTGCCCCACACCCGTGGTAGTAGGGGAGGTTTCAGATATAAATGTGTAGTGTGATGTGCCATCGTCAATAATTAAGACTGTCTTGTTCCTGTTTGTTTCCTAACGAGCTGCTTGCTTAGTAACTTGAAGTTTTTGCGTCCCTCAGGGCATATACGACATCCACATCCAACTGGCAGCCGTGCCGCTGCTGCCGTGGGAGCCGCCGCCATTGACGCACAACATCTACGCGTCCGAGGTCATGTCGCACCCGGTGTTCACTCTCCGAACGGTGGAGAACGTCGGCCATATTGTGGAACTGCTCAAAGTGGTCTCATATAATGGCTTCCCGGTCGTCGACCCGCCGCTGGCTGACGATGTGAGTATACACTGTATACATACATAAACCAACATTTACAAGGCACAATTTTCCGTCCGAGGTGACTTCGCATATTCACGCTGCGCGCCGTAGAACGTCGGCCATATTGTGGAACAACTAAAGGTCGTGTTTTATTTCACAGAAACAAAATGTGTGTAAATATTTACGCCTTATGGTGTGTCAGAGAAATAAACCCCTAATTCACCCTGAGATGTGCTAGTAAGAGTAAGAGAGAGAGATAACTGATGTTTATATCTGCAAACATTTTTATGGAATATAACCACTTTAAAATATAGTGCTTACTTATATTCTTTATTTTAGCCTGAAATCACAACATACAAACGTCTCCGCGGCATGATCCTGCGGTCGCAACTGATCGTGCTCCTTCAGAACAAGCTTTACAACGAAAACGCGAACACTGAATGGTCGAACTTCAGCGTCGATATGAACGTCTTCAGGAAGGAGTACCCTCGCTATCCATCTATTGATAAGGTAAGTTATTTATTTGCTTTTTGCAATTACCTATTTTCTTTTTGGATAGAACTAAAAAAATGTGAATATTATAAAGCTTTGGAAGTTGTTGTAAACCTGTACATATTTTTAGACGACAAAACAATCTTGGTTTATAGCCACGTTGTTAAAAAATCAATCAAACTGAAAGCTTCGAGTTGGAATTCAGGAGATACGAATATGACGCGGTTTCTGAATTGTGATTTCCATTTTGAGCATGCTCATTATTGCTCATCCTTCTACTCTAGGATGAATATCATTTATAAACTTGTATAAAAGATGAGCCAAAAATCTCAATTCATAAAAGGCCTTTGACTGTGAGACCCAGGAAAGTTCGAGCGTAATTTTGTAATAACGGACCAATAATAACAACACATCGGTTGCAGCTAGAGATAGCCGAATGGGAGAAGACGTGCACCATCGACCTGCGCCCGTACATGAACCCGTCTCCGTACACGCTGCCGCACCGCGCCTCGCTGCCGCGACTGTTTCGCCTGTTCCGCGCGCTCGGCTTACGACACCTGCCCATCGTCAACGACGTCAATGAGGTACATAAATTCCCAATTTCCCTAAAGGGGGTAAGGCCCCGTTTCCACCAAGGCGGAGCAGAACGAAGCGGAGCGGAAAAGTGTTCTGACCAATCAGATTTCATTATTTCCACGCTCGCCTTGATGGAAACCGGGCCTAACTTGAAATTCATACAAAAATAGCCTATCTCTCCCACTTTGTTTTAAATTAGGTACGAATGAATACCGAATGGAAACCATTTCAATAGTTTTCGAGTTTGTCGCATTTAGACCGCATAAACTGATTTATAATTTTGTTAAATAAATAAATAATAATTATTTATTTGTAGTATCAATCGTGAATTCGTGGCCACTTTTGAACTTGAGTTCATGTAAAGTCCCGTGCTTCGAGCTCTAACAAAACTTTGTAACTGGCTACGTTATTGTTCCCTGTCTCTAGTTGCTAAATAATTAGTTTTTATCGCAGGTGGTGGGCATGGTGACTCGAAAGGACATAGCGCGGTACCGAGTGTGGCGACATCGCGGCCATATGGGCATGGAGGAGTTGCTGCTATCTAGTGAAATTTAACTTGTCATTATTTATCTTTTAGACATAATTTTGACTACAACTATTGACGGGCGGATTTACTGCATTACTCGAATCTTAAGCGCATTACATACTTCACGCGGGTAGTGGGGAATATCTAAGATCAGTAAACGTCAGAATTGGCGGTCATTATGTATTTTACATCGAAATCATTCTAGAAAGTTGTCTTTATAATAACGCTCGACTTCGAACACCGCACGTCAATAGTTAAAGGTAAATGTTTTATGTATAACGACACTTAATTGTAACTGATTGATGTTTTCAATGTTTTTGCCATGTATTTAAACAAAAACGAGTAAATAAGTGCAAACATTTGAAATGATATTGTGCACTTTGGTAGATGAAAGCATAACTTACAATATTAGCACAGTTAGAATGCAGGAATATTTATTATAACTAGCAAAATTTTAGTTTTTAAGACATATTAGTAATTATTAACTCTATGAAAGGAAGTAGTCATCTCTTTAGTAAATAAGCATCCATGTATGACTGTGTTGGGTTTATTCTGTGTATGTGTTCATCTTAATGTGTCATATAGATCATTTTGTTGATTTTTGTACTTATTTATATTAAGATCATGTGGTAATTCTTATTCACATCATGATATTAAAATATTATTATGAATTATGCTTATTGTGATATATTTGCACTCAGAAATCTTGTGAATAAATAATATTATTATGTAGGTCCTGTACTTATTTTGAAATTAAAATAAGCTCAGATGATGTACCTTTCCACTTTAAGACAAGTAATCCAAAGTACATAAATTTAATTTCTTATTTATGAGACATGTAACTATTATAACTATAAATGTGATAATAATTAAGATTAGTGTAATATCTAATTGGTATTATTACTGTTGACAAATATTGTAACATAATTTAAGCTAAACATTATTATAAAAGCTTACATTATGTTACCATAAGTATTGAGAATTTACTATCGATGTTTATTACTTTATTTAAATAAAATGAGAAAATTAAATTACATGTTTTATTTAAAGTCCATAAATCTAAACTTAAAAGTTAATTAATAAACATAGGTTAGGGTAAGCAACAAGTTTCTTCTTGGTCAAAAATGGAATGTATCTCAGTTGTTCACAAACAACTCCCATCCTATGCCAGTCCATAGGTTAATAAACAAGACAACTGGTAAAATAACCAATATCAATAAGATGTAGTTTACGAATTCGTCCATTTTATTCTAAAAATAGATCAAATTGTTGAAAAACATCAACCCCACAGATCAACCCATGACAAAATTTTATCTGTCAATGTCACAATCTGACAACCTTTTTTTTAACTGTAATTGGAGTTTTGTAGTTTGGCCATTGACTTTCGTTCAAAAACCGAAAAAATGTCTGCATTCACCGTATCTTTTTTAATAGGTTAGCGTTTAACTCAGTCAGTGCCCGAGGTATGGGAGCGGCACGGGATGGTTATTTTGTGACGGTCAAACATCAGTGAGACTTCAGACGATTTATACAGGGTGTTAGGTAAATGGGTATATGAGCCGACACTAGCCCATGTTAACATGCGCATAAAAATGGTATGGTGAAGTCAGAAATATGATATCATCCTTTTAATTTTCATACAAAATAAATTTTATAAAATCCGATTTGTATGAAAATTAAAATGATGATATCAATTTTCTGACTTCACCATACCATTTATATGCTCATGTTAACATGGGCTAGTGTCGGCTCATATACCCATTTACCTAACACCCTGTATAATGTGTCAATGGCTCCCTCCTGTTGCTCCCGTACCTCATGCACTGAGTGAAGCCCTAAAGCCTATAGAATAAAAAATTAAAAACCTATAGAATATGTAATCAATAGTCCTGATTCTGGAGATAATGTTATTTATTATTATTTAAAGCACAATTTATTAGTCAATAACATAAATGAAAACAATACATTAATTATAACATAATTAACTAAATCATTATATTTTAGAGTTATTTTACACTGTATCAACTATTTTAAGTCGTAACTAGCCCCTGGTTTCTCAGCTCGATGGAAAAGATTTTGATAGTTATTGTTATTTTAATGTCATATGATTGGTCAAGCCAAGGCGAGCCTCGTTAACCAATGCAGCAGACGGAAAAAGAAGCCAGCGTAAGAACTTGAGAAACCAGGTGTTAATAAAATAAACTGTCGTACTACACATTTACATTCATAAGATTCCCAATCTCCACATAATTTTACAGCTATAACAATAGGCACTTATAACTTATACGTATGGAATAGGCAATTTATGGCTTGTTGTGCGTCCTCAAAGTATCGAGGCTTGTCGGCCCTGACGATGCCGTAATCTGGCTCCAGGGCTGGTTGGAGAACGCTGCTGTTGCTTGCTGAACTACACACGCTCTGGTTCAACGACTGATTACCAGTATGGGACACGAACTTGGAAGGCTGAGGCGTATGGAACTTGTTTCTCGCATTCGTAGCCATCCTTTTCATTCGGTCTACGTTCCCTTTGATGGTAGTCAGCATTTTGTGATTCTCTGGTATGTGCAGAAACTCAGTCAAGTCCTGTGAACAAAAATAGTAATTTATTATTTTAGAATTCATATAAAATGATGTTATAATTCAACACTGATAAAAAGTTTTGGATGTTATTCCAACTCACCTTCTTCACATCGTCATATTTCGAAAAGAGCCAAATATAAGTTGATAAAATGCAAAACAGATGTGTTTCACTGTTACTAAATCTCCACATAAATTTCAAAATTGGCGGAATGCGATCTCTCTGCAACAAAAAGAAACTTAGATTAAGAACTTAGATTATAAAGAATTGTTTCTACAAAAATAAATAGTTACCGCGTATATTTTCGGACCAGTGACTTTATATCTGGTCAAGTTTACGAGGACGGAGGCGGCAGACTTGAGGACTTCGATGCTGGAAATCGATCTGTTGGTCACCGACATGTAGATGTAGACCCGGCGGACAATGGACGACGCATTGTCGTGGTACATCATTGGGAATACTTCGGTCAGCAGTTCTGTAAGAATAAAAGCCTTAATTAGATAGGTCAAGTCAATTACAACGATTTGTGTAGTTGTTTGTCATAGATAGCGACGTGATTTTAGACGTCTTTACAGGAGATTGAATTACGATTCGCCGGTTTTCACAGTATCCATAGTTCGTTTTTTTCATACCACAAAGTACATACATATGATCAAAGAAGAAAGAAATCTAATAGCAAGCTTCATCGGCTGTTAGACTTTGAATATCTTCGATATGTTGCCATATTAAAGAAAAAATATAATATTTAAATGCAACCGAAACTTAATTAGATGATATTATGGTGTTTCCTAAATACTTACCAAGAGATCTAAAGGCGCGAATCACTGTTTCTATATCAGACATGTTTCGGAGCACCTCCATCGCCTCCTCGTTCCGTTCCTTCAGAGATTCCTGATTCGACTCCAGCGCACCGGCGCGCCATCGCCGCCGCAACTCGGCGACGCGCTTGTCAGCTTGCACGTGAACGCGAGCCTTGTGCCCACGGAATAGAGCCTAAAATCATTTGTCACATTCTTTAGTAAGCCAGGATAAGTTCGATTTTTGAACGTTATTGAAAAAAACAAAGAAGAAAATAAAAGCGAAATACATAGTTATCACAGGAAAAAACGTTATTTACCTGAATTTTAGAAGCAGCCCAGTATTGTTTTTGCTCTTCTCTGGCTTTTATTAAATTCTCTTTTTGCAGCTCCACCGTTTTCCTCACTAGATACCCTCGGATGACTGATTGCAACCTTATAACAATATTTCTCTTCTGCAAATATTCACATCGCAGTAATCTTGTCACAAGTTTTCCCTTCCACAATCTTTGCATGAACACAGCGGCCTTCCGATATTGTAAATATCGTGATTGCACAATATATCGGCGGACATATTTCTGTATACATATTGCAGCAGCTTCTCTCTTAGCCCTAAGGAGATCTCTCTCTTTCTTAAACTTATATGCTGCTTGTATCACCAAGACAGCTCTTCGGATTCTAATGTATCTCATCCGCGCTATATAACATCTGACATACGCTTGGAGTGCGATAATAGCATTCCTTGTTTGGACGTATTCTTGTCTCTTAGTTGAACCTAGCTTATAAGACCGGTAGTATCTTTGTATGGTCAGCGAGGCATGTCTTATCGCAACATATTTTTTCCGTAAAATGTGCATACGGAAAATAGACTGTATTGTAATGGCGCTGACTCTCATTTTCAGATAATTGTGTCGGCAGACATTTCGCTGTTGCAGAGATCTATACCATGCTTGTACTTTGCTAGCTGCTTGGATTCTGCGTACTTCGCGAACCATCATCTTATACCTAAATCGCAGTTGTATATAAACAACAGCTTTTTTCAAAGTTAGGTAATTGGCTCGGATTCTTCTGGTTTCGCTAACATATCTATAATATCTTTGAATTTTGATGGCGGCTGATTTCATTTCAATGAATTTTGCTCTTTGTCTTTTGCCAGCAATATAAGCTCTGAATGTCCTTTGAATGGTAACGCATGCCTTCAAAATATTTATATAATTTGATCGTTCTTTCATCATTAAACAACGAGCTCTATATCTTCTTTGAATACAGACAGTAGCTTGTCGTAACTTCAAATAAAATGTTCGGTCCCTCCTCATTGCTAACAATGCTCTGTATTTCTGTTGTACAACAAGAACAGACTTCTTTAGTTTTGAATACTCCTCTAGTTGTTTCTTAGCAGCCAAACATGCGCGGTAAAACCTTTGAATGACTACACATGCCTTGAGAGTAGAAACGAATTTGCGTCTTTCCTGTTTCATTAGGCATTGAGCTCTGAATCTCCTCTGTATAACAAGCGTAGAAGAAACTAGCTTGTTGTATGATTTCCTTTCTTTTCTCATTGCTAGCAATGCTCTGTATCTTTGCTGAATGGTCAATACAGACTGTCTGAGATTCAAATACTCTTGTCGGTCGCGTCGCATTGCACATAGATTGCGGTAACGATCCTGTATTAGTCTTGCAGCCTTTTGCAACTCAAGGTAGCGTTGTCTCGTTTGTTGACTCTCTTTGTATCTTCTATAATAATCTTCAATGAACCTCGCCGCCGCTTTCATTTTCAAGTAGTTTTGTCTTTGATTCTTGGTCATCAAATGCGATTTGTAGTACTTCTGTATAGTGACGGTAGCTGTTTTAAGTTGGATGTATTGTTGCCTAACTACCTTCATTTCGATATAGGATCTATAATAATTTTGAATGCGAACTGTAGCCGTTTTGATTCTAAGATATTCTTGTCTTTGAATTCTGCCAATGACGTAGGCTCTGTAAATTCTTTGTATAACGACACACGCTTTCTTTGATTGTTCATATTGAACTTGAACTTCCTTGCCCTTTTTGCAATTTCTAAACCACCTTTGTATTTTGACGACAGCGTCTTTCAAATTTAAGTAACGGCGTCTTTGCTCTCTTCCTTGAATCTTGGCCCTGTATAAGCTTTGTATATTTACACTTGCAGATTTCAATTGCAAATAGTATGTTCTATCTCTGCGCATTTGGATCAATGCCTTATATCTCTGTTGGATTGTTCTAGCCGCACTAAGCAATGATAAGTATTCAGTTTGGCACTTTTTCTTCATGATGTATGCTCTGTAATGCTGCTGAATAGACACGGTTGCCTTCCTTTTATTTTGGAAAGCATTCCTTTCGTTGCGCATAACTAATACACTTCTGTAGTATCTTTGAATCTTTATAACAGCTTCACGCAATTTCAAATACTCAGTGCGACGGGACTTAGTGAGAACATAAGATCGGAAATATTTTTGGATAGCAACTGCCGAGTTGCGTTTTGAGACGAAAATATTTCTCTCTCTCTTCATAGCCAAATATGCTCTGATGTGATTTTGAAGAACCGTTGCAGCCTTTTTCTTCTGTAAAAAGACTGCTCGATATTTTCGCATGAGTAAGTGTGCCCTGAACTTTCTTTGTAATAGTATTATTTGTGTTCTTTGTCTCAGGTACTCGTTTCGAACACTTTTGCCTCTAATGATTGACTGTAGGATAATTGTATGTTTCTTCAAATTCAAATATTGTTTCCTCTCATTTCTCATTTCAATCAACGCTCTGAAGCGTTTCTGGATAAGTATAACGGAGTTTTTGAGTTTATTAAAACGCCTGCGTTCTTGGATCATCCTTATGTAGCTTTGTACGACTATAATATTTTTCTTCATATTTTGGAAATGTTGCATTTCCTTTCTTATGAGGATTTTGTTTCTGTACTTTTGCTGTATTGAAATTGTGTGCTTTTTCAATGTTAGGTACTGTTTTCTAATGAGATACTGACGTATTAATGATTGTACGAATACAATCTTCTTTACTGTCTTTTTGAATTGGGTCATGCATAGCCACCGTCTTACATAGCTCTGGATAACACAGGCTGAATATGAGCGCAGCTGTTCTCTTTCCGCTCTGAGCCTTGCCAGAATCTCTTTCGATTCTCTTATTCTTACTACAGACTTATACCATTTCTCTAATATCAAAACGCTTGTTTTCATTCTTCGATACTGAGTGCGACAGAGCCACATGCGGCAGTATTTCTGTATTGTCACAGTGGCAGTTGTCACTTGCTGCATTTGCCACTCGACCAAGCGATTGTACTGGATGCGTCGCCACCAACGTTGTATGACGCTCGCGGAAGAGTTCAGCTTTCGTTGAACCCTCTCCTCCTCTTTTCGTTGTGCCACAATAACTTCATATTTCTTCCTCCACCACGTCTGTATAACGTTTGCGGCCTTTTCAAATAGTGGAGCTCGGAAAACATGAATCAACTGCCAAAGCAAGGACAGTGTCTTTTCTCTGTGTCCATCAGCTATATCCTGGGCGGAGATGTCACCGACGATCACAAAGTTGGCCTCTTTCAGAGCGTTCAATGCCACTTGAACATTGTGAATCTTTTGTAGTCGCGAAATAGCCGGCGTTCGTAACTGATGCATCAGTCCATTCTTCATCAAAATTATCTCCATAACTTTGGTTATGCGAACTCCGTCTCTAATGTCCAGAGCAATGTTATGTACAGCGTATTTGTACTCGTCCAAAAAAGATTGTTTGTGGCTGACTACATATCCGAGTGGACGTAAGTGTTTCGTAATGTCACCTATACCAGCTATTAGTTCCCTTGTGAATCGAATGATTATTTCTCGACTTTCTTTGCAAATAGCGTTTCTGCAAAATAGACAAGGATCATGGGATATAAGTTTTCGTTGTTTAGCCTGATCCAAAAAGAACACAAGCATGAAAAACTTTTTCAAAGTAAACTTTTTAATGGCTTCCATGTAAGCGGGTAGGAGCATATTTGGCGCATTCGATTTCGAATGCTTGTTTTTCAGGTGAGGGTTTTTGAACATCCTTTGTATTATAAAAGTGGTAAGGCCTTCGATGTCGCTGTTAGACCTTAACGGTAAGACAATCCCATAAATCGCCTCAAGCCCCAATCGAAGCCACAGTGGGTTGTATGATAACAACAACTCCATGATAACTTTCTGAAGTCCGACATCCAAATGGAGATTTCGATCGGTTCGAATGGCGATCAATTTTTTTTCAATTTGAACATTTAATTTTTGGAAGACCTGAGCAATTTCAGGGCTCATCAACAGAGCTCTCGCCGATCTTCGAAGACTCTCCAACCGATGGCTGTTATGATAAACGCTGCTGACCTGCTCCTTGGTTGGAGCTAAGGGCACTTCTTTGTTGCGGTTTTCGAGCCACGTTTTACCGACATCTATTTTTTGCTCGATGTTACTGTCGAGATCGGCTGGAGGAGTAAGTACGCAATTTAACCACCTTTTAAATTCTTTTTCAAATTTATCTACAGCTTCTTCGTCATAAAAGTAGGTAGACGACAGAAATGGATCCACTGTGTGAGATTGTGAGTAGACATTGCCTATGTGATTGAGAATAGACATACTTTGTTGGGTGGTGTTGTTAGCATCAAAAGTATCATTTGTTATCTTGCCACTCAATGATTCTTTGCCTTTAAGGCTTACTTTAGGTTTCATTGATTTCTTTGCAAATGATGTGGGTACTTTCCAAAGTTCTGGTTCAACGCGCACTGATTTCTTAGACCACGACTGTCTATTGTTCATCATTGAAGGTCTCCCAGAGTCCTTATCAAAGGTGCGGTTGATTGTGAATGTTGACATTTTATCGGTTTTATCTAAATTATGAGTATCCGATAACTGCAAGCTTTCCTCTGGAATAGATTGCAAGGGAGGCGTGATAGATCTTGGCGGTGATTTGACATCAACTCTCAAATCGTTTTGCATCTGAAGAAATTCGGATGAACCAAAAAAGTTTCTGTCTCTCATTTCTCGCATTTGATATTCCTTGAATAGGGATTGCCTGCACAATTTTGGTTGTTGATCTCTGTTAAAATAGTGCGGAGGCTTCGACTCCATCGTGTACATTTGAAAGTCGACGGGAGTGTTAGGAGAATCTTTCGTGTATGTGTCAGAACTAAGTTTTGCATTAGCATCTTCAAGTAAATCATGCGTTTCGTTATTGATTCTAGGAATTCCTTTTCGTTCTGTTGAAAATCTTTGTGGAAAAAATGAGAGTTCACTGATGCGTGAGAAGTCAGTGTTTATAGAAAAGTTTGGACTGTTAAGTTCTTTAGGGGATGAAGTATTAGGTATCTTTTTATTTTGCAAATTTGGAGTTTCAATATGGCTATCCAGCTGTGCATGGTGATTAACGGTGAGCCATTTGTTTGGTTGAGTTGATGTGATGCTCAAAATTGAATGAGTTTCATTCTCTTTATTTGACTGCTTCATATCAAGGCTATCATCAAAATCACTTTCAGAATTCATACTCATAATTATTTTAGGTCCCTTATCAAGTTTTTCAGTTTTTGCAGGAAGACTTTTCAGAGGTGTAAAAGTTAAGTTGTCAAACATATCTGAAGCTGATAAATTACAGGTCTGGTTGTTGGAAGGTTTTAAAGTGTTTTGTTTTTGTGGCATAGTTGTGTATGATTTATCATAAGTCTTTTGGAGAAATGTTTCCGAATTAGGTTTCCTCATGTTTGAAAATACTTCAGAGGTGTCAAAATTAAAATCAATGCTTGATTGAGAGTCAAAGGGACATTTATCAATTTGTGAATTGTAGTCATTGAAAGTCATGATATTTTCTTTGTTTGAGGGTCGCAGCACTCGGTGCTGAGTTGTTTGAACAACATTAACGGTCTTCTTTACCATTGTGGTATTGTAAATCATTTCAGCTTTTTTCTTGTAAATGGCAACAGGAGACTTTTTAGTTGGTTTCTTTTTAATTTTACCTGGAGAAATTTTAAATCCTTTCCCCTTCACTTTGATGTTCTGAAATAAATTATTTTATTTTTTTTAAAACATTTATCTTAAAATATCTACATTTCCACAAAATAATTATTTGCTTGGTTGATATGTGTATATCCTAATGATAATAGATATATAATTTTAACATGAATTTGTATTGAAATGCTTAGCATATTACAACTGAAAGAAAATGTGATCAATATTTGAAGTTGACTATGTTTTATTGTTATTCATATACCTAAATACATTTAAGTTCCTCATACCAATAATAGAAGCATAATATTGTATGGTAAATTGCTACTTGTGATTATTTCCTATGAGCTATGAATGTAAGTATAAATAAATTATGCCTTGTGTAACATAATTATGTATTTGAAATAAATTATTCAACTAATAACTAATGAATAGTAAGGAAGACAGTGTTCTTGCCTCCTAAACCAGCTGTTGAGTAAGAAATTATTAAATTTTAAAATTACCATTCCAGTCTTCAGCACCACTATTACGTCATATCTTCCTCTGTTCTCATTAGTGAAGCGTATGGTGTCCCTCAAAGCTGTCGGTTGCATCGGAGTCCACAGCATGGATAGGCAGTAGCATGTTTCCGGCTCAAGTTCCAGCCACTCCTCCGGCAATTGTATTACAAGACCAGCAGGTAAGGCACGGCCTAGAGTGATCTGGAGATTGAAACATTATTATGGTATGTAATAACACTAGTATTGTGTGATAGGATCAACAAATGCTTCACACATAATACCAACTGGAATCAATAGATATTTTTAGGACAATCAATGGGTAGAATTATGTAAATAGTAGAAGTGGCTTACTGGCTTCTTCAAAACATAAAATAATAAGATGTACAGACAATAGCATGTCAAGTTATTTCTTTTGATGCATTCATTCATTGAGGCGACTTTGCACAGTCTGATGTGCTATGTTATACCATAAATACTTCAACAAAAACATTTCATTGATGTTCTTACCTGTTGCACTTGTTTAGATGGATTTAATATTTCTAACGTCCTTTCACAAGTGGTTCCAATAGTAACATTTTCAAATACAACTTGAGGAGGTCTCGAAAAGGGAGCCAAGGTGAGACGCGGGCATTCTTCAACGGGGTTTCTTTTCTGAACCGGTTCAGCTCTCCGCGCCTTTCTGATATGCTCGGGAGTGTTCTCAATCTTCAATAACAAAATAAAGTTAACAGAAAAACAGTTACTCCAACGCAAAGTAAAATCTTTTGTTTTATCACAAACTTACCTCGAAATACATTTTCTCGAGATGGCGTCTTTCCACACATCAGTTATAAAACAGTCACAACACAAAATAAATCATAATCCACACCAAATCAAACATAAAACTATAGCAATTATTTAAAAACAAGACACCTTGTTGAACAAACTGAATGATTTTTTGAACTACAATCAAAAATCAAAACCAAACCGTCAAATCGGGTGGGTGGTTCTGCCAACCTGCCAACATAAAAAAAGGGTTAACCATAGAGTAGAAGATAACTCCATATAATGCTATGTATATGTTCCAGACTTTTCAGTAAATAAAAAGAACGGTCAACATGAGTTGAGGCAATAAGATTTTCTGTCTGTGTACCACAGAGCCTGTTTTGTCTGCTGCGCTGACATCTTCACATACAATAACTTTATTGACATAAAATTGCAAAGTTACTATAGGAGTCAAAATTATGAGAATATGCAAGACGTTAAAGCGACAAGTGTAATTATATGGGCAAATTTTGAGCTTGTGTTGATCATGTTAAGTTCTCAACTCTCTTTGCGCGACCAATACTGTTTTATATTTTAGGGAAATCCCGTTCATAAATCCGTTTGTGGACCATGTATAATCATTCCACTCTTGTCTACTTTATTTAAAAAAAAGTTTGATTTCTGTGCAAAATTCCAACACCTGTCAAATACTGTCAATTTGTCAGAGTGTCGAGAAATTTTCGTCCTTCGTTTTTCTCTTACGTATGATAATTAATTTAAGCTCTCTACAACGTTTAAATCGCTATTTGCTCAAAACTAAACTAAGTATTTTCTTTCAGAGCCCCTCAGCGTAACAGTTGAAAACATGGCCGATTCCCAGGCGAATGATAACACTACTTGCGTAGTGTGTTTCAAGAACGTCCTGTATTACTCTATTGGGGAGTGCGACCATCCCGTATGTTTTGAGTGTTCTACACGTATGCGGGTGCTCTGCCTCCAAAATGAGTGCCCTATATGCCGCCAGGATCTTTCTAGGGTAAGTTTCTGCACTACTCATAATATAAGGTAGGACAGATAAATATTGGTGTAAGGTCCAATTCCTTGATAATTTTTGGAAAGTATGAGACATAAACCTTTCTCTAAACATAATTTAGTCTAAGTAAACATATCCCGGGATGATAACCTTGGTAATTAGTATTGTCAAGTCATAATAATAACTGGTCATGAAAAAAAAATTAAATACTTTTAGTCCATTTTGTTGCCTGTAGTAGCCATAATTTGTGAGAGTCGACCATTTCAACTGAATTTAATAAATGTGTCATTTTTAAATACATATTGCAATAGTAAAACTAAAACAAAATAATTGAAATCACATACACATTAATAATAAAAGTGATTGCACAATATTGGCAATACAAATAATGTTTTACTATTTGAGCCCATAAAAGACATTTCATGAATTAAAAAAGGTTCAATTAAAGGTAATTCTATTTTATTTGAGTAAGGTTTCCAATTGGAACATTACAAATACAAATACATCACTACCTTCATTGTTTACATAATTTTGCTCAACAAATGATAACTTCCTGCAACTGCAATTACCCAGATTTTCCCCACCACTTGTCGTTTTCATTTTATCATCCAACTTAAATTTTTTGCTTTTACAGGTTGTCTTTACTGATTCCATCCAACCTTATAAAGAGCTTCGTAATCAAGTGTTCACTGATCGACTGTTTGAGAGACAATTCAAGATTGGATTTTGCAGTCAACAGATAAAAACAGCTTATGAACAACTCTTGGAAAATCGCTGTAAACTGTGTGATAATATACCGCCGTTCAGGACATTCAGCATGCTCAGCGACCACATGAGAAAAGCTCATGAAAGATATTTCTGTGATTTATGCGTTAAACATTTGAGGGTATGTTAACTATCCCAACTAATATTATAAATGCAAAAGTAACTCTGTCTGTCTGTTACGCTTTCCCGCTTAAACCTCGCAACCGATTTTGATGAAATTTGGCATAGAGATAGTTTGAGTCCCGGGAAAGAACATATGATAGTTTTTATCCCGGTTTTTGAAACAGGGACGCGCGCGATAAAGTTTTTCTGTGACAGACAAAATTCCACGCGGGCGAAGCCGCGGGCGGAAAGCTAGTAATTTATATCACCATATTTTAAATTATAACTAGATGTTAATTCTAATTGAATTCCATTTGCTTTTAGATTTTTACTGGTGAAAGAAAGTGCTACACTCGTCAAGAATTAGCACACCATAGACGTAAAGGTGACTTAGACGATACATCACATCGGTAAGAAATTACTCTGATCTTTACAGCCTTCATAAAGGTTCCGGAGTTGTACACTCACATTTTATCCAATTAGAAACTAAATTGATTTTTAATTATTTTTAGTGGTCACCCATTGTGTGAATTCTGCGAAGAACGCTTCATGGATGCCGACGAGCTGTATCGTCACTTACGGAAGGAGCACCTTTACTGCCACTTGTGTGACGCCGACGGCCGCAACTTGTATTACGCGTCGCACTCTGCGCTCGCGCAACATTTCCGCAGCGATCACTACCTTTGTGAGGATGGGGAGTGCGCTGGACAACATCTCACTGCTGTTTTCCGAAGTGAAATTGATCTTAAAGGTATGTTTTAAGAAAGATTCAACTTTAGTTAATTCAAAATTGATTTCAAGTCATTCATTATGGATTTTATTTGTATTATGGATAGATGAGAAAAACGATCAATTAGTATTTTAGTTCGTCACCATATTAATGACATTTTCTATTGCATATTCATAACTTTATTGACAAACATTTTTCAGCTAGCCTAGGATGCCCGCCATTATGTCGTATTTTCTACGCATTTTCTCGATTTTAGACGATCAACCCATACATTTGTCATTTAGATGAACGATAAGATTATATCGTGGCGCGCATCCTAGGCCGGCTTCCAGAATATAGGAAACACGTCAGCAATTAGCAATTGCATATACATAACTTTATTGATACACATTTTTCATCTAGCCTTGAATGCCCGCCATTATATCGTCTTATCGATAAAATCGATTTTAGACGATAAACCCATACACTCGTCTTAAAGTAACCAATATATTTGTCGTCTTAAAGAAACGATAAGATCATATCGTGGCGCGTATCCTAGGCCGGCGTCCAGACTATAGAAAACACGTCAGATCGTCAGCAGTTACCGTTACTTACCATGTTAACGGTTGCACACAGCGCACAAAGCGACGGTGCACGGGCGAAACATGCCTCGAGGCGCGGCGCGTCAAGCTCGCACTCTTGAGCTGCAGTTCAACATTACGCCGCATCCTAGCGTCGGCCGCATGCCCAGGTAACCCCGCCCATTTGCAGCCTCCGCTACTGGAATGATAGGAAGAAGGAAGCTCCGCCCACTATCTAACTGCTACTGAAGCATGAAGTCCCGCCTACTCGCTGTGACAACTAACTGCTGCAATGAATGAATGAAACGAAAGAGGCAAGTAACCCCACACATTTGTTGCCAGCTACTACAGAACTAAAACTAGTAATCATGCCCTCTCGCCGCCGGGTGCCACTGTTCTGGAGAAAGTTTATGTAGCCCCACCCTAGCAGGGCACCTCAAGATTGCCCACTCGTTAGCAAGCTGCTACTGTATACCCTATGTACAGAAGTCTGAACGTCGACCATAATTTCGAATGTTTCTTCTCACGCAAAGCGAAGGACTGATACATGAGCGAAGGTGACATAAATCAGACCGAAACTATGTTAGAGAGCTTAGTTTAATTGTTATTATAATCTTTATTCATTTACATATTTGCTTCTTTTAAAACAAATATCTAGCCCTACCTACTGATTACTTAACATTGTCGTACCTACGCATGAGACAATGAGCGAAGGTGACATAAATCAAACCGAAACTATGTTAGAGAGCTTAGTTTAATTGTTATTATAACCTTTATTTATTTATTTGCTTCTTTTATAACAAATATTTATCCCTACTGATTACTTAACATTGTCGTACCTATTATGCAACACTGTTTCTAAAGTTTATTTTAGATACATTACATTCCTTATCAATATTTCACTAGAGACAAAGTCTAGTAAAATTACTTAAAAGGGGAATCCCTGCATTAGAATGAATAATAAAAATTAGCAACATTGTTATACAGTAAGTTCCAAGAACTATAAAAATATTAATTGGAATACATGTGCAAGCAGCTTATTTCACGTTCTGTAGACTCTGCAACAATAACATTACATTCTGTATAATCAATACCTACTTACTTGTTTATGGTCTAAGAATGATTATATTTTATGGTCCAATTTACAGCATATAAGTCGAACGTATCGATAAATTGATAACTGAGAAATTAAAAATACCGTAAAATAAAAATGGTGATCAGATTGAAGATACGAAAATAAAGGTGTTTTAGAAGCCATGTGATGTGGTAGATAGTCTTTTAATCGGCATTTTTTATGGACCACTGATAGTAGGTATACCCAGCGGTACCTGGTGCGGCAGGTGGAATTTTTGTAATATTCCAGTTGCTATGCCACACAGAAACTGCGGTGGCGTAGCTGCACATACAATCTTTTCCCACCTGCTAACGGACCGCTCACTGCCTCGGTGGGTTCTGCTTAAGTAGATCTTTAATGTTTCCTTGCATTACAAGTAGTGATGTGTCTTCAGGGAACGTGAGCGGGAGCGGGAGCGTGAGCGAGAGCGGGAGAGGGAGCGGGAGCGGGATGCCCCGCCGGCCGCGGCCGCCATCGACACGCGCAATGACGAGCAATTCCCGCGCCTCGCCGCGGCGGATGGAGGCATGCACCCCTGCCTTGTGCTCAATGCGCCTTCCCGCGCGTATAGAGGTACGGGACATGACCTTATATCTCTTAGAGGGAGCGGGAGCGGGACGCCCCGGCTGCCGCCGCCATCGACACGCGCAACGACGAGCAGTTCCCGCGCCTCGCCGCGGCGGATGGAGGGATGCACCCCTGCCTTGTGCTCAATGCGCCCTCGCGCGCGTATAGAGGTACGGGACATTTAGCTGAAAATTGTCAGGGAGGTAGTTTAAAGCCAGGAGAAGGACATAGGATACTTTTTATCCCGTTCGAAATAAAAAAGTCTGCTTATTTATTGCCATTAAGGCGGAACAAAGTTCGCCGGGTCAGCTAGTAATACATAAACAACTGGGTACAGACGACGGAACATCAAGACAGAAACCAGTTCCCGCGCCTCGTACGGGACATAACCACACTACTGAGTACCGACGATGGCACATCGAGCTAAAAACTGACTTCATCATTATTATTTCAGCCATAGGACGTCCACTGCTGAACATAGGCCTCCCCCAATGATTTCCATGTTGATCCATTGGTAGCGGCCTGCGTTTAGCGCCTTCTTACTGTTATGACACACGCAACGACGAGCAGTTCCCGCGCCTCGCCGCGGCGGATGGAGGGATGCACCCCTGCCTTGTGCTCAATGCGCCCTCCCGCGCGTATAGAGGTACGGGACATAATACATAAACAACTGGGTACAGACGACGGAATATCAAGACAGAAACCAGTTCCCGCGTCTCGTACGAGACATAACCACACTACTGAGTACCGACGATGGCACATCAAGCTAAAAACTGACTTCATCATCATCATCATATTTCAGCCGTAGGACGTCCACTGCTGAACATAGGCCTCCCCCAATGATTTCCATGTTGATTGGTAGCGGCCTGCATTCAGCGCCTTCTTACTGTTATGACACGCGCAACGACGAGCAGTTCCCGCGCCTCGCCGCGGCGGATGGAGGGATGCACCCCTGCCTTGTGCTCAATGCGCCCTCGCGCGCGTATAGAGGTACGCGTTCGTTGCTACACAATAAAAAATAAATACAGATGACGGCACATCAAACTAAAAACTGGCTTCGTTCGTTTCAGCCAAATGACGTCCACTGCTGGACAAAGGCCTCCCCCATTGATTTCCGCAACGGCCGGTCCTGCGTCGCCCACATCCCTTTTGGCTGAAAAACTGGCTTATGTAGTTGCAATAGGTGCGAATTTGAAAGATCATTTTGGCCAAACACATCATCTGCTAGACGGAAGTGTCCTACAAGGAAGGAACGACACAAAGCAGGATCTCCCGCGTGTTTCAACCAGCTATTTCCACCTTAGATCTTCTGCCCATTGAGCTGCTGGCCGTCCTACACTACATTTTTTTCTGAGACATGGTTGTGGCGTTTAGAGCTAATGGAAAGTGATTAGGTCATGTGACAGTGTGATTACCCAGCCATTTAGTGGTGACACGTGGTCAGCTCATGTATCCGTCGACGTAACGTTATGACGTGTCGTGTCGTGCGCAGGTCGCGACGGGCTGCTGCGCAACGAGCAGAACTTCCCCGCGCTGGACGGCGGCGCGCCGCGCTCCACGCCCGCGCCCGCGGCCCCGCCCACAGCCATCGTACGGAACACTTGTAAGTGCACTCTATTGGGAACGTGCACGACATTAGCGCCATCTGCCAACGAAACTTTAAGGGGCATATGTCAAAAAATAAATAACAACAGCTTTCTTATTTTTATTGATTAGAGTAAATAAAATAAACTTTAAAAGACAATAAATGGTACGTTGAATGGAATTTGATAAAAACTGTTTATGGAGAAATGGACGTCATTATAAAAACTGGTTTTGAGTGTGTAAAACACACAATAAGTTTCCAACCCCAAACTCAGCTAAAAGGAAAAAAATTGGTGCTAGCAGAGCATGTGAGGAATGTATAAGAGCTGAGAACTAATGGCAATAGTTATTTATTGAGCCACCATCATTCGTCAAACATCGGTGACCTCGACACCCTATAAAACAAGTTTAAACGTAAGTAATCTCCTAACCTAAAAATATGACTAAAGATTTAGAGAAAGTTATAAAATTAATATTCATTGCATTTATTACAGATCGATCATGCTAGGGTTATCACAGGAGTAAAATGCAGCTGCGTTTATAACCAGAGCGGCAAGTGCAAACATGTTGCTGCTTTAATATGTTACATTAACAACAAAGTTAGTAATTTAAAAACGAGCATCGAACAACAATGAGGAGAACCCATTATTCGTCAATTTGTAGCTTGTAAATATTCCAAAGGGAGCTATTTTCAAGATAATGTATGGATCAGTATCTAAGACTGACTGGTTGTGAACCAAAATCTATATTACGTCAAATATCTCCAATTTATGCTAACTTCTTATGTTTGGATGTGTTGCAGTAATGATACTGAAAAGAAAGTGTTAATTTAATATTATAATGATAATAATATAAGTGCAGAACTTTATAAAATAAAAAACAGTTATGTTTTTCAAAAGTTGAATTTTATTTACCTTTTACAACAGCATTACTCTTGGAAAAGATTGGAGGCTGTAAATTAACTAAAACACAACATACATGTACAATATCATCAATACAATTGAATAAGTTAACACAATCACATTAAAATCAAAACAACATTGACAATGACAAGACAAGTTTGTTTGCTTCCCTTGCCCATAATGTTACACATTTGTGCCGCGACGAGCGCAGCGATCGTTTTCTTTACCCCTTCCACCCACTTCGCACGTTCCCAATTGCTATCACTCTACGGTCTGATATTGACCGTTGGTCGATTGATAAAATATATGGTCATATATTTTATCAATATTTATGTTGGAATTTGGGCTGGCAAATGAAATGCTTGTTCAAATAAAATGAAGTTTACGCCAGTTTTATCGATGTACACATAACGATGCGACAATATGGCGGCTTATCCTGAGAGAACACACACGTGCGTTTAGATCGACGTCGTCCGGGCGTTAGGCGGAGATTGACGCGGGAATTGGCGGGTTGAAACTGCGCGCGCACCGTCCCCCTGAGCTAGGGATGTGCGTGAACAATTTACACGTGACGTCACAACAACCATCCTAAATAATTATTTTAAAATTTCAGCTAAGCCAAGCTTCGCGATCCAAGTGCACAGCCAGCCGGCCAGCGCGAGCAACTTCAGGCTGACGCAGACCAGCGGGCGCGTCACGCTCCCGCCGCGCGCGCCGCTCGCCGACGACGACTTCCCGTCGCTGGCCGCGCGCGACGACCACCCCAGCCTCGGCTCCGCCACCGTGCAGCAGCCCAAGGTGACGTCACAGTTACAGTCACAGACCAGCGGCCGCTCGCCGACGACGACTTCCCGTCGCTGGCCGCGCGCGACGACCACCCCAGCCTCGGCTCCGCCACCGTGCAGCAGCCCAAGGTGACGTCACAGTTACAGTCACAGACCAGGCCGCTCGCCGACGACGACTTCCCGTCGCTGGCCGCGCGCGACGACCACCCCAGCCTCGGCTCCGCCACCGTGCAGCAGCCCAAGGTGACGTCACAGTTACAGTCACAGACCATAGATACTGAAAGGGGATGTGACAAGGGGGCGGGGTCGGTGTAGCAGCAATATGCCCAGAAATTGAACACATTGCTCGTGAGAGCATTGAAGACAGTAGCGACGTCATAATGTAAACAGTTTACATTGCTTGCGTAGTACTAAAGATTATTCGGACGTTGAGTACTGATACCGCAGTGGATAATAAGCAAATATTTTGATTACTTTGTGTGTGTGAATTTCTAATATAGTTCCAAAATAGTGAACTGTCCTATCGATGACATTGACAGTGGGGCGCCACCGTCAATACCAGATCGCTGGTTCCGATTTTTGCCATGTTGGAAACCATATAGTTGAACGGTAGTAGCGCCCCCCTGTCATTGAGTTTGGTGGGACAGTTCAGCGTGGGTCATCTATACGACATTGAGTTTCGAACTCAGCGCATTAGTTGGCATCTCTCTATATCTCTATGGCTCGGACATTCCTTCACCTAGAATCTTAACTTTTCACCTGCTCCTAAATTAACAATCTGTGTATTTGTTCATTTTTAGGTCGCCCTTATCAACAGCCAGGAAATGAACGCGCTGTCCAAGTCTCAGAGCAGCGGCGGCGGCCAGTCGCAGCCCAAGCGGCCGCCGCTCAGCAGCGACTTCCCCGCGCTGCCCGCCGCCGCCGCCGCGCCGTCCGCGCCTCCTCAATGGATCACCGTCTCCAAGGGCAAGGACAAGCCCCGCCCCGCGCGCGCCGACCCGCCCCCACCCCCCCGCCAGCCCAGCTTCAACGCCGTCGCAGACTTTCCCACGCTCCCCGTCGCGAAGGCGAAACCCAAGAAAACACCCCAGCCGCCCCCGCAACCTAACCCCCAGCCGCCCCACTCGGACCCGCTCAAGCCGAGCAAGAAGGACAAGAAGAAGCAGAACAACGCAAAAAAGGAGAACATCTCGGAGCTCGCGTACGTGAACGGCGTCGTCGACAAGAAGATCGCGCGGGAGCTGTCGTACGCCGCCAGCGCCGACGCCGCGCCCGCCGTCGACAGCAAGATCAAGACCGTCGAGAGCGCCGCCGCAAGCGAGCGGAGCCGGAACGGCGGCAACGGCGACTTCAAGATGTCCGCGCGGGATTATCCGCCGCTGAACCCACGCAGCGATAACGCGCCGCCGCAGCCGAAGAAGACTCCCAACGGAAAAATCGCGAGCGTGCCGCCCGGATTCAAGGCGCGGCCGGCGTGCGACGGCATGACGTTCACGAACTCGGCGGGGCAGACGTTCCCGGCGCCGGTGCACGCCTACATCCCGCCGCCGGAGTTCGAGCGCCGCAACCGTGCGCTGGTCAAGCGGTTCGCGCTGGCGCTGGGCGGCGCGGCGGCCGTCGAGGACTTCAAGGTGGCCTCGCGCGCCTTCCGCGACAACATCATCAGCGCCGAGGAGTTCTACCAGCACTGCCGGGCCGCGGTTGGCGAGCAGCTGGACACCGTGTTCCCGGAACTTGTCGCTTTGCTACCAGATATTGGGAAACAGCAGGAGCTGGTCGTGGGCAGGAACATGGGCTCATCTCTAGAAGTGTGCGCCACGTGCGGGCAACTAGTGTCGCCGCGTGATTCTGTGGCCCATGACACGGCGCACTGGCCCGCACTGCGCTAAACATATCGTCCGTTCCTGCATTGCGAGACGTGTTCGTAACGTGCACTCGACCTATGTGATTCAAGACTATTAGTTCCGGAACGTGTGGGATTGTCACGCGATGACCGTAAACCGACTTACTATTTATGTTCACTCGAAATATGTTAGTGTATACGGATGCGTACGTAGTGTATGCTGTAGTTTATATATTATTATGCAGGGTGGAGACGACAATAAGTCGATAAATGTAAACAGGCTATACTAGTTTTTTAGTAGCTCTTGAGCCCAAGCTTAAAAATCGGTATCTAAAATGCACTAAAACGGATATCAATTGTTACAACCTTTACAAATATCAGACTCATTTGAATGCATAATGAAACTTACTATCTTGTGTTTTAGAATCTTGGTTAAATTGTATTTCATACATATTGGGACTTGGAGCGACATTACAATCATATACGTAAACAATTTACTGTCGTATTGTCGTTTCCGCTTTGTAGCTCTATACTAGCGACGTTTATGTCCGATTAAAAAAACGCATTCTTCTAATCAGATGGCGTGCCTATAGGCAACTAGTGTCTACCTGATAAAATCTTGTCTGAAGTACGTGTACGTACATTGTTTTATTGTTGAAATCAGTGTCTAGAAATTTGCGAGTACCTACTGCCTACATAGAAGTTAAACTGGACTAGCTCAGTGTGTATACGTTTCCGTAAAAAGTAATGCTTATTGCCCATGCTTTCCACATACGATAGAATATTATAGAAACTGGTTTGCTCAGGGGTTCTCTTATAGTTGGTTCCATATATTATTGAATGTGCGAGTCACCTTTAAATGTTGACCCCACCGGTTGTAACTGATCTCATTACGAGAACTGTGAAATACTTAGTTCTACAACTATCCACTAATTTCTATTGTAATAGATATAATCGTATTTATTCAACAAACATGATGCATGTTGCTCTTTTCTACTTAATACTTTATTTACAGGGTCAGAGCTTGCCAGTTTTTATTTTGCCATGAAACATTCAATTGTTGGAACTGATTTCTTTAAGGTCACTGTGACTATGCAACGTTTGGTTGCATTATAATATACAATTTACATAAAGTATCGCGAGTCTAAGCCAAAAGTGATTAAAGGCGTATTGCGTAGAAATAACGCTATGTGAAATAATTATAATTGTTTCAGATTTTATCGAAATTTATAATATTTTTGTACTTTCAAATAATAGAACAACAATAATTAAGTTGTGTAAAAATATTTTTTTGTTAAATACATGTTATCGGTTTTATTATAAAATTTGGTGTACATAATTAAGAACGCTGTGTTTATTTTCGACCCAACTCAAAAAGCAATTTTTAACATAACTCAAGAGGTGAGAGTATGATTGTATAATAAATTATAATTTAATAAACTGTGTATATAGATAGATATATTTGAATCTTTAAATCCGCAAACAAACAGTAAATGATCGCATCGCAACGTATCCCCCGATAAAATAACTATTCGATTGCAGTAAAAAGTTCCAGCTATGTACAATATAAAAATTCACTTGTCACTTTTACCCCATCCCAGAAACCCTTTGACGAGGCCCGTGAGGCCTGCGCCTTGCTTCTTGCCGTCGGCGCCGGTCTTATCATCCAGGTTCGGGAATTCCACGAAGTTGCAAGCCAAGTCGAAGAACAAAGGTTTGCAAGGAATGGCTTCCATCGGCGGCGGCAATTTGAACACGTTCGGATTCTTGGTCAGAACCTGTGTATCCTCGCGATACTCGTCCAAACGCTCCACGAGAGGCTTCTTCTCTTTATACTTGCTAGAGGAGTATTTACTATCCTCATCCTGCTCATCGTCGTCTTCCAGAACGGAATCGGCATGCACTTCAAATTTGCAGCTTTCTATCTCTTTCTTGAGCACTTGCAGCTTATCCTTCAGTTGTTTCTCGACGAGTTTGCTCGCCAGTGAATCCGCAGCGTAGTTGTCGCTTCTCTCAAGCATAGCAAGCGCTTCGCGGAAGCGGCGTAGGCCGGTTAACACCTGGGCGATGTAGTAGCAGCGGAAAGCGCGGTGCGCTTGCATCTGGATTTCGATCTCCTTCTGGTAGGCGGCGTCGGTCTCGAAGCCAGGCAGTTGTTGGAGCTCAGAGTAGTTCTGGAGGATGATCTCGTGCAGGCGAGTCAGGTCGTGCGGCCTCACCTATACGTAAAAAGAAGGGAATTTTAAAAAATGGGAAGTGACATAGTGTAAAATGTTATCTTGCCTTGCGTTTTGTTTTAGACTGGTCATTGGTTTTTAATCAATGTTTTGTCCTGGAATTCTACAAATGTCACATCTGAAAGAGTGAATTTCTCTACAGTCGAAAGGCTTATTTCACTATTCCCCATTGACAATCCCCGTCAACGGGGATTAGTGAACTTTTTGTTCACTATTCCCCGTTATATTAGGATTTTATTTTTAACATTATAAGCTCCAATTGCGTTAACGGGGAATAGTGAACAAAAAGTTCACTAATCCCCGTTGACGGGGATTGTCAATGGGGAATAGTTGAATAAGCCAGTCGAAAGCACATGATGCGCTTCAGCGGCATTTCGACGCCGGAGCGGTGTCGCTGCGATATCTGAGGCGAGCACACGAGCGTTGCGCGATACTGCGAAATCGCAACGCATCTTGCGTTTTAGGTGTCATACAATTTACTAAAACATAAAGAGAGGAATCCTCAAAAAAATAGTTACAAAACTTAAATAAAATATTTTCTATTTATATTACCTTTTTCCCGTCCAGCTGCACGCCGCCACGGCGCGCGTCCTCGGCTTGTTGCACGAGCAAGTTGTTCCTCTCAATGGTACGCATGAGACGCAGATACATCAGGTACGACAGCAGATAGTTGATGCCGGACAGCTGCGGCTCCTCGGCAGACGCCGTCTTCAGCTTCGGGTCGTTTTTGATCTCGTCCTTAAAATAGAATATCCCACATGAAATACTTTATTCAGTACATAGGCCCTTTCCAGGGCACTTATACACGTCATATCCATCTCGAGCGTCCATAATAAGAAAAATAAACAGGCCCTTTGACTACACTGAAATTCAAACCCCATCACTACGACCAATAGGCGCAGACCATCAAGAAAATGGCAAACTATTTTCACGCGTACGAAGTCCTGGACACAGCTCTAGCGGCACAGGAGGCTGTTTATGTGACGTCAAGCGTCACAGACTTATATGCTCAGTCACGTCATACGTTATTAATGTCACCTCTACCGTGCTCCCATACCTCAGGCACCAACTAGCTCAACTAAAATATAAAGACACGGGTCTTAACGCGACATTTATGACCGAGTTACATTATGTACTCACGGCTTGACGTTTCGGCTGCTGACGCCGCGAGCCGCCAATCTGCTTGTGACCACGGCTGCACCATAGCAGCCGAAACGTCAAGCCGTGAGTACATAATGTAACTCATTACTAAATGTCGCGATAAGACCCGTGTCTTTCTATTTCAGTTGAAATGGAACGCAAACGTTTAAAATCATTACAACTAGCTCAGCTAACTGACTCAGTTATGCGCTAGAGTCTTACGGCCGAATACTGAAACACTACTCAAATCTGTCACTCAGCTGACGGGCTCCTAAATTTAAGTATCCTTCAATTTTAAATGGTATTCTCAAACGCTACTCAACAGATTTGAAGCCGTGATCAGCTAAGCAGCTCTCAAATGTTTACATAATGGCAACATTTACCAAAAAAAGTATGTTTTCATTTACACAAATGATAACTTTACGTCTTTTATCCATTACACGCAGCATCGTTTGGTTATGTATTGTCTTTTATCGAAATATACTCAATCAACTTAACATAGAACAGTTTATTTTTAGTTTCTATTATATATAAATCTCGTTTTATCATATAAAAAAATTAATGCTTGCATTTTTATTTAATTAAAAAAATAATTTTAAAGGTGATACTTTTTATTGTTGAAATCTATTAAGTGGCGATCGTGGACCGAAACGTAACCACAATTGACATTTATCATTGTTGACTGACAGAGCATCAAATTGACAAATCAACAACTCTTGGAAATGCTGCTATGCGATGTCCCCTTAATCCTCAGAAATAGGCATGTTTATGTAAAGCGATTTCATAGCAGCTATTTTGGTTGTTACTTCGTGCACTATACGATGCACAGTTGGCTGTTAGATTTGGAAGATATCACCTAGTACACGTTCATAACTTCCCGTTGCCTAGAATAGTAGGGTTATAATAAATATTTGGTCCACTGGTTGTATGGCATTTGGTGAGGGGTTTTAAAGAGCTTCCAAATTATGAATCCAGAAACAACACCGTTTCTTTAGGGACGCGGAACCTCGCTCGGAATTGCATGTCATTATAATAATATTTTTCAATAGCGTTCAGCCTTATTGCGTTCCTGCGATTAGATCTAGGTATTTCCTCGAGCCTCGAAAGAAATGATAACGATGAAACACATTATTTACCACTATTTAGGTCGATTTAGGTAAAAATAGGATTTAAGATACCGCGCAAGCACTCTCAAATTTAACAGCTGCTTAAGACGATTTGACAGTTGTTTGACTAATGCTTAGCGTTGAATGGCGTTTCAGTATGCGAAAATTCATTTAAGTGGCATTTGAGTGCAACTTAATTTGAGAGGTGCTTAAAAATTGAGAACTGCTCAGATATTGTTTTGAGTATGCGAAATGTAAGTTTAGGAGCTGCTTAACTATTTGAGAAGCCGTCAAATATTTAAATGGCGTTTCAGTATTCGGCCGTTAGAGCTATACCAAAAGTGTATGTTTGAGTGGCATACCTTGATGGCGAAAATGGCATCCTTAGCATCCAAGGCAGAAACTAGATGGCAAGACGTAGATATGAGGTCTAACTGCTACGTGATTGGTGAATTTTGACAAATCTGTCAATGTCATGAAAAAATAAACAAACATGCAGCATTTAGACCTCACGTCAACGTGTTGCCATCTAGCAGATTTTTCATACGCGAAAACCCTCAGTCCTGCAGCGCGATGAGGAACAGGCGAGCCTTCTCCGTGCGATTGCCACGCGGCGCCGTGTGTGTTGCTAGTCTTTTATTATTATTACCTTGATGGCGGAGATGGCGTCCTTAGCGTCCATAAGACAGTTTTCAAGCACTTCGATACGAGCCTCGACTGTGGGCGCGGCGGCGGCGGAGCGGTCGAAGTCCTGCAGCGCGATGAGGAACAGGCGAGCCTTCTCCGGGCGACTGTCACGTGACGCCGTGTGTGTTGCTAGTCTTTTATTATTATTATAGTCTGGTCTGTGAGCACGTAGAATTTTGTCCAATGACCCCAAGCTACCACTCACTGCGGGCGTCCGTCGCACAGTCGCGACAGCAATATAATTACGCGCGAGCGATAAGGATGGGTAGCTTGGGGTCATTGGACGAAATTCTACGTACTCGGCGACCAGACCATAGTCTTTTATTGTTATTACCTTGATAGCGGAGATGGCGTCCTTAGCGTCCATAAGACAGTTTTCAAGCACTTCGATGCGAGCCTCGAGTGTGGGCGCGGCGGCGGCGGAGCGGTCGAAGTCCTGCAGCGCGATGAGGAACAGGCGAGCCTTCTCCGGGCGGACGGTCACGCGGCGCCCGCGCCATTCTACCTCATGCATTACGCCGGAACGCGACTCCCTAGAAAGCAAGTTTAATGTTTATTTTTATGTACAGAACGACACGGCAACGTAACCACTGTGGGTTCTTGTGCAGTTGTGATAGGGGCGAGTTTGCAACAAAAATGGGTAGCCTGATGTGCTGTTGTGTGTACAACTAAAATTCATGAGCAACGCAGTATGGCGCGGATGCGTGCGATGGGTTTCCATCCGCGCGATGGTGAATTTCCAGGCATTAGGCCCGTTTCCATCAAGGCGGAGAGAAGAGGGGACGAGAAAAGATTTGAATAACCGCACATCCCTTCACTTCGCTGGAAATGGATCGAGCGGAAAGGAGAGTTTTGTCGGGTGGCCTAATTTTTCTATAGAATTTGAGCGAGGCACACAGCGGGCACCCGCTCCGTACACCCGCGTAAGTTTTAGCGGAGGTCCTAAGCTGTTGTAGCACTGTTTTTATATTTATGAATGTAAAAATCACGACAAAATAGTGCACTTCGATTAAAAATATACGTTCAAAAACAGTTCTTACTTAGCTTGAGCCATGAGCGAATCCAGGTTGTCGATGAGCCCTTGGCTTCGCATGGCCACAAGGTCGCCGGCCGCCGACTCGTCGCCGATGTTGTACGCGCAGTACCGGAGGCTGGGCTTCAGCTCTTCCGACTGGAAATTAAAAGTATATTAGTTGCCAGATGTATAAATGACTTGGAAGATCTCGGAGCAGCCCGTGGCTGGAGTTAATAACTTTTCTGGTATGGTATGTGGTGTGTAGGTAACAAGTACTAGGGTTTACGAGCTGCAAAACCGGCGCGTTTGTAGCTCACACGCGCCGGTTTTGCAGCTCGTAAACCGGCGCGTGTGAGCTACAAACAGGGGTGTGTGAGTTATAAACAGGCGCGCGTGAGCTACAAACACAGGCGTGTGTGAGCTACAATACTCGCTCGCAATCTAAGTTAGGCGGTTATCACACTGCGCCGCGCTCCGCCGCGGTACGCGGGAAGACAGATTTAATCATTGTATGCAAGTACCTCAGTTTGTATAGAAAACACGCGCGGCACAACACACTGACAACGCGTCTGCGCGCGGGATTTTTTTATATGAAATCACGCGGTCCGCGGCGGAGCGCGGCGCAGTGTGATAACCGCCTTACAGATACTGAATCACCCGAGCTGCAAATACCACAGCATCTGATCAACTGACATTCACTGTTGCATGTGAGCTACAAACACTATCGCGTGTGAGCTACAAAGTTTGTACCTCACACAAACACCGGCGCGTGTGAGGTACAAGTATTGGCACGCATGAGCAACAGATCCTGATTCAAGCAACAGACACAGCCTAGTCTATTTCACTACCTTCTGCCGGTACACGTGGCGCTCGTCGATGGGCAGCGCGGCGCACAGCTTGTCCAGCACGAGGCTGGCGCGCTGCAGGCTCTCGGCGGCCGCGCGCCACTGCTGCAGCTCGACCAGCAGCACGCCGCCCAGCCACGCTGCGTACGCGCCGGCTTCAAGCTGCGTGCGCGCGTCACACACGCCGCTTTGCTGAACACAGAAAGGTTATACTTTATACATCTGTATCCTACTAATATTATAAATACGAAAGTTTGGATGTCTGGATGTTTGTTACTCTTTCACGCAAAAACTACTGAACGGATTTTGATGAAACTTTACAGTACTATTGTTTATAACCCAGAATAACATATAGGCTATAATTTATGACGATCTGTGACAAACGAAATTTCACGCGGGTGAAGCAAAAGCTAGTATCCCTATGAACATTTTGGTAACAGGCAAGGCCTGACGCCCCGCTCTGTTGCTTTACTTGTTCAATAAAAACGTTGCACTGGCGCCGCGCGGACTCTATGCCAGCGCTGCGTAGATCCGGCCTTCTGCAGCCACTTAGCATTGAACAGATTTTGGAATCATAACTGTCACATTTGCAACTTTGGCATCACAGACTTAATACCGAAACTGCTACTCTCGGCGGCCGACTGATTTTTGAGAAATTTCCTAGCACTTGTCGTTTCTGAGTTTTCGTGTGTCGTGGTCGCTTACTATTGGCCTCATAAGAAGGCTCAAGGTCACCTAAACGGCAATGGAGCGTGCTATGCTCGGAGTTTTCCTACGTGATCGAATCAGAAATGAGGAGATCCGTAGAAGAACCAAAAGAGCTGATGGTCGCTGGGGCAGGAAAGTTCTTGAGTGGCGACCACGAACCGGAATCGTGGCGTGGGCAGGCCTCCAGCTAGGTGGATCGACGATCTGGTGAAGGTCGCGGGAGGTGCCTGGATGCGAGCCACGGCCTTCTTGAGCCGCGAGACGAGGTGGAACTTCTTGCGGGGCTCCGTGTTGGCCTCCTGCCGCAGCTGCATGGCGTGCGCCCACGCGCGCTCGGCCTGCAGTAGCGGCACGCAGAGCAGACGGCTCTCGGGGCACGACGCGAATTAAGAGACTCCTAGCACTTTTGTAGTTTCTGAGCTTTCGTAATGAGTGAGTCAGTGACCTTTCGCTTTCATATGGATTACCTCGCAAAGCTGCAGCAAGGTCTGCGAATGAGCCACGGCCTTCTTGAGCCGCGAGACGAGGTGGAACTTCTTGCGGGGCTCCGTGTTGGCCTCCTGCCGCAGCTGCATGGCGTGCGCCCACGCGCGCTCGGCCTGCAGTAGCGGCACGCAGAGCAGACGGTTCTCGGGGCACGACGCGAATTAAGAGACTCCTAGCACTTTTGTAGTTTCTGAGCTTCGGTGATGAGTGCGTTAGTAAGTAACCTTTCGCTTTAATTTAGATTACCTCGCAAAGCAGCAGCAAGGTCTGCGAATGAGCCACAGCCTTCTTGAGCCCGGCTCAAGAAGGCTTTGAGACTACTAGCACTTGTAGTTTCTGAGCTTTCGTGATGAGTAATTCAGTCAGTAACCTTTCGTTTTCATATGGCTTACCTCGCAAAGCTGCAGCAAGGTCTGCGCATGAGCCACGGCCTTCTTGAGCCGCGAGACGAGGTGGAACTTCTTGCGGGGCTCCGTGTTGGCCTCCTGCCGCAGCTGCATGGCGTGCGCCCACGCGCGCTCGGCCTGCAGTAGCGGCACGCAGAGCAGACGGTTCTCGGCGCCCGACGCAGATAAGTGGGTGGTCGTCACGTCCCGCCGGCGGTAGTGGCGCCTGTCGCCCTGGGAGAGATAACCAGTTAAGTTATCCTACTAATATTATAAATGCGAAAGTTTGGCTGTCAGGATGTCTGGATGTTTGTTACTCTTTCATGCAAAAACTACTGAACGGATTATTACTGAACTTCTATACAGTATTATTGTTTATAACCCAGAATAACTTATAGGCTATAATTTATGACAATCTGTGACAAACGAAATTTCACGCGGGCGAAGCCGCGGGCGGAAAGCTAGTATCTAATAAGATGCAGGTAGTTGCTGATACTAATCTAGGGCAGATTGAAAACATCACATACAAAATATCAACAGATTATTGAATAACTAAGTTTTTTTTAATGAACAAAATTTTATTGACAGAACTAAAATAAATAATATATTAACTAGTTATATTTTAAAATTACATAATCTGCCAATTTTAGCATTACTTATTTATAAACGTCATTCTTACCTGGGGAATTTTGAGCACTTTACGCAATCGTCGAATACGACGAGAGCAATAGCCACGGTATCGCTGGTAGTCCCCATGACGTAGACCGTGCTGCTGCTGCGCATCCTTTGTGATGCGGAAGACTGAACCAAAGCTTAAGGATATGTATTGGTAAATAAAAAACTGAAACTTTACACAGCACAACCAAATATTTGCATACTTAGGAATGAATATGTAAACTTGTGGAAATTATAGATCACGTTTTCGCTTCTGATACAAAATTTACAGAAAAAATATTAAAATAAAATTGATGTTCACTTGATAAAGAACCAAGATAAGACTGAAGAGTTCTAACTTCAGACTTGTTTTAAGCTGTCTAGTAGCTCACGGATGGTTAGACGGAACATGATTTAAACAGAGTGAAGAGTAGATATAAAGATCAAAGTTAATTAAAAGGTAAAAAGGTCAACCTGTAAAATAAAAAGCATGTAAAAGCAGTGCCGGATTAAGCCAGCGCGGGGCCTGTAGCAAATTTCTATCAAGGGGCCCTTGGTTTGCTTTAGGTTCTCAAGTTTAGGGTATTAAATGAAACAAAACTGTTATCTACAAATGAACTTTTCTTGATTTAATGTGGGCAAATTTAGAGATAACACTTTCAATATCAACTTCTTTAAGGAAATCATGCTCTACGAGTATATTCAACAAAGTAAGATGATTATGACGTTCTTGTCCCATCGTGTTCCTTAATTAATTTTTAATACGTTTTAATGTTGAAAAAGAACGTTTGCCACTTCAGTTAGTGATCATGAGAGACATGTAAATGCGCAAGGCAATTTCTAAGTTTGGAAAGACGATTCTAAAGAATTATTTATTAAAAGTTTATAAAATTGCTGCTCCAGAGGCTCCTGTTTCTTGCTGTAAATAAGAGTAGCCACATCTGTTTTAAGATCAAGTAAGTCAAGAAATCTGTTTTCAGAAGCTCTGCAAACTGCACTAATTCGCCACCTAGGCTGTTCTCCAAATCAATTAACATACTGACAGTAGTTTCACAGTTCATTTATGAAAACCTTTTATATTATGTTCACAAAAATATAGAGCAATTCACGAAAAAGAGCGTTCCAAATTTCTAGGCCAGTAGAATTAGATTTTGAATCGGAAATAATTCCTACAAAAGATTTTATTGCTTTAATGGCTTCATTGGTTGCCCATTAAGACTCTACTAGGTTTTCGACTGCGACGGAGTTGTGCTTAAGTGGTGGGGGCCTCCGAAAGGGGCGTTTTTTCGGTTTTCCGGTTATACCGCGTAAAGGACTTACCGTATCGAAAAGTGGTCTTCAGGACGGTTAAAGGGCACTTAATTCTGCATTGAATAAGACCAAATTCATATGTTTCGGACAAACCGTTCTCGTGCTTATCTTCGACAAAGTAGAAAATGTACGTATAATTAATAACCCTCTCTATGTCCAATAGCTCGTCACCCGCAGGTCCCCAAGCCTTGTAAAGGGCCGCCTTAACCAGCTTATCCCTGTCAAGGCTCGCGAGTTGGATTCGCTTATCCTTGTTCGTCCCAGCCGATCCTTAACTGCGGTTGCTGCACCTCTTCCTTGCACTCTCCTGAACGACTCTGTGTTATCTACTATGGCTGCCCCTCTTCCTTGTACCCTCCTGTACGACTGTATTGCTTAGCCGTATGCCTGGTCCAAGGTTTCCGATTTAATTCATTTTTGTGTTTAATTCTACTGGCCTATTCAGACTGCATAAAATTGGTGATTCATTTATGGGAAAATGTATTAAATTCTTTAATATTAAACTGTTGTAGAACTACCCATTGACCATTCATAAATTCAAAGCACATATTAAAAGTACCTTAATGAAAAAGGGCTACTATAAAGTCGATGATTATTTAAAAGATAAAAATGTTTGGGATGCGTTAAGTACTGCCTAGCTCGCATAAATATTTATAGTTAACTTTTTAAATTTTAAAGCCTGACAATAGTGACTGAGTTTCTTGCGCTGCTTCTTCTCAGCACTGGCCCATTTATTGTCCTGAAGCAGTGGTAGGGTTAATACTGGGACGTGTAAAAGTGCTTTTTTAAGCCTATTTACAGTAATAAATAAGTTTTATCGATTATAATTAAACATTAGAACATTCACGTTAAAAAGTACGTAAAATACCTACCTACTTATTTTTATGATTTTTTAACGTGATGAAATAGAGTTTTAGATTTTCAAGTGAAAGTAAAGCATAGCCTAAGCGCTTCGCGTTTAAGGCATGCAAGATATTTTATGCTCCTATCTAAATTAATCTTTTTTTATTTCGGTCAGACAGGCGTTGGAGCGCGGGGCCCCCAAATTCGCGGGGCCCGTAGCATTTGCTACTCTTGCTACGTGGCTAATCCGGCACTGTGTAAAAGGATACTTTCTAAACTTAGTGGTGATGAGGTTTTGGTCTCTTCTTTATCAGTCTCTTCAGATGACATTGGTTTAGCATCACCTGCTTCGCCTTCTAAAACAACCATGGCTATGTATGAGTAAAGAACAACTTTATCTTTTAGTTAATTTTAATAAAATTAGTCCACGAATCCCGTTCCTCAACAAATCACAAATCCACGAAACGTCATTTCAGGTTACACGTCAGGTGGTTGACGTTGTTGACATTAGTTTTTTTTAGTTAATTTGGTATACGTAGGTAATAGTAAACATGATGCTTTTAAACACATCTTAAGGTATAGCCTGACCAGGAACATAAAAACCCTGGCATAGAGGCGCGTCAATTGCATTTGATAGTGCAACACTGAGTACAGTCGTACCTGTGTTAAATTAATAGGCTAACTTTATGTATCAGGATTCAGGATTACGGGCTAATTTGATATTTTCATGAATTAACGAAAAAATATTATTATAGGTAACCTGGTTTAAATAAATTAAATGAAAACATCAATCGAGCTAGTAGGATTTATTTTATTATTCATCAATAATCAAATTCAGAACTTGAATATTCAACTGCAATGTCTGCTCATGAACGCTTCAAACTCGGTACTTCTTTCCCAATTCCATAAAATTCAACACTTAGAAAGTGACAAAAAACTTTAAAATAGGTAGTTGAAACAAACCACAGCTAATTTTCATAGTGGACTGTACTATACGATAAACATGTCAGTCAATTTGACAACCTTTGTCGGAAACATTATTCAATGAAAATATTGTCCGAACCCTTAGTATTTCTCTTCGACAAATACTTTAACACATTGTGAACCACTTTTCTTTCACGACTATAAAAAGATTTTAGCTATGTAATTCACAAAATCAATTGCGCACATTTAAAATAAAGTTTGTTTACACTTTGACAGCAATAGACTGACATGCAAGGTGACATGTCAATGAAGTTTTCAGACTTTTCAGTTACTGTTGCCATTAAAAGAAATTAGTACCATTAGTTTTCCGCAACATGGCGAGGGTTTTTATGTTCCTGGTCAGGCTATAAAATAATTTTCAAACAATTTTTCAACCCAATATGGGTCGCGCAAGGAAAATTGAGGCGAACGTACTCACTGATGTTGTTGTTGTACCTACTTCAATACACAACACAATACAAAAGTTCAAGCATCGAATACTTCACTACACTAGCAACCTGTCTTTCTGTCTTGATAAATGTCTGCAAGCTGCAAGTGAGACAGAAAGACGTCAGTCAGCCAGCGCAGATAGCATTTTGTTTACAGATACAAATCTTTGCTTGCGTTGACGGTCTCAACTCAACTCACTTTGCGCGACCTATAATTTTAACGTGGTTGGTATTGGCTGTTTAGTTACACATTTCCAAGCACAAATGTATAAAAAAAATTCACTGACAGTAGTGACAGTTGACAGCAGTCGTCAAAATCGAATTGATTCTTTTTGGTTTTCTTCCCTGTGAATTAGGTTCGTGTTCATGTTTACAAATTTATTTTCCAGATAAATCTAAAGAATCATTAGATAGCTATTTTATTTTGTATGCTAATTGTGAACTCCAGTGGTGTGACATAATAATTATTCAGTTATTTCGTGTTACAGGAAAGATAATTAAATACAATGGCGAAGTCAAAGAACCACACAAATCATAACCAAAGTAAGTAAAAACATTCGAATTTTATATTTTACGTGATAAATAAATAGACATTCTGTGTTTCCCCATAGTTGAGTGTCTGCTACACTCAAACTCCTTGTTGGTGTTTTCAAGTGTAAATACGCCGGTTTTTAAATTTTACATTTATTTTCCAGACCGCAAAGCCCACAGAAATGGCATCAAGAAACCCAAGAAGTTCAGACACGAATCTACCCTTGGTGTGAGTATTAATCTATTTTCCTTCTAATTCATTTGAGGTTATCTTGCTATTAGCAAATGACATGTAAACATATGTGAACTATAAACCTTATAAATGCTTCTACATCAATGCAAAACAGATTTTAATTGGTGAAACACTGGATTTAAGCTTGTATTTAGTCCATACTATGTGGGAGGTTGTTGATAGGGGCTTGATTCAAAACAGGATAATTTAACATTGGAGTTGACATAACATTATTCAATAGGAAAGACTGTGTCTTGTCCTGATTAGTAAAAGATTAATTCACGTCAAATTTTATAATTTTACCAACCCTATAAAATAGGTAAAACTTGGCCATGTTTGCAATACACTGACCAACTGTGCTGCGCTGAAAAGTTTGATGCAACAATGAACTGCATACCTAACGTGTTCAGCAATCATTTTGGTAATAATTTGCTTATTTATTACAGATGGACCCCAAATTCTTGAGGAACCAGCGTTTTAGTAAGAAGGGCAACTTGAAGCCAGCCAAACAACTAGCCAGGGCAGCAGAGAGGAAAGCTACGCGAGAAGCTAAGGCTAAGAAATGATCATCTAGTTCTAAGACAATAAAAACACAAAAACTCTAAAATATTTTTTTTATTCCATAAACCTATAAATATTCTATACAAATCAACAGAGCTTGGTTTTTGAAATGAGATTTTAACATAACATGATAAGTTACATACTTCAATAAAAAATGAGCATGCTCGAAATCTCAATTCTGAAACCAGGCAGGGGACTAAATTTATACTACAAATACCTAGTTTGTGAGATTCTTACAAATGGATTTGAATTAGATTGAAAGCACGCTTTCCATTCCATTCATTTTAGCACCCAACAGACAATAATAACTTATTACACATACAATAAATTACACTTAAAAAACAAATACAAAAGTGCTTACAATATTTCATTTTGTTGGAATTAGTTATGATTTTGATGAAATAAATTCATTTATTCTTGTCAATTTCCGTCAACACCAACTGTATCTTTTTGACTGCATGTTTCAGGTCATAGTCATTCACATCATGGTGCAGAACAAATCTCACTGTTTTTGAATCTGGTTTAGCACTTGCTAGCACCACAATGCCAAGACCATCAGCGGTTTTACAGCTTGTTTCAGACTGACTGACGAGTGCTAGTCTCTCAGTAACTTTGCGACTTGTGATGTCACCCTTACCATTTATTTTAACATGCACTATGTTAGTGGTTTGAGAAGCGTCCATGTCCTCCACTGTGAATGTTGAAAGTTTGAGATTCTTGATTTCTGTAATTAAAGGTGATGTGGTTGTATTGAATTTACTATTAATTTGTGCATTTACTAGATCAACACCCTGGACCACATACATCACTATAACCCGAAGATTTACGCTTTCGCGATGTGTGAGCAAAAAATATTCGAGTTTTTATCCATAGTTGCAAAATTTCGCTAATGTTAACGTGATGTATGTGGCCCAGGGGTAAGAAACATTAATCACGTATACTGCAAAACATAACATACGTTCAGCGATATAATGTGCGCGGCCATGATCTCGGGACAAAAAGGGTACCGATTCTTCCAGCGCGACCATACCAGCGGCGGCGAGGACTCCCGCCTGCCGCATCCCTCCACCTAGCATCTTGCGATAGCGGCGAGCTCTGAAACAGTCGTAGAATATTACGAGTGAAATATAAACCACATAATGTAGAGATCATTATTAAAGTTCAGTCCAAATTAATGTCCAAAATGGGACCACACACAGATATAGATATACCTGTATATATCTATATCTGTGGGACCACATGCATAATACAGATCTTATTGGTTTGCTAATTTTATGGTAAAAAATAGTAATGCAACTGCAATGCCACCCAATGACAGGTTGTGCTAGTCTCCACTTAGTAGCAAATTAGCAACTGGTTGTTATGATCTGTAAAAACCACATAGGATACACTTGTGTGTTCTATCCAATATCACATTTGCAATGCTTTAACAGCGAAACACATACCCATGGACCTATAAAAAGAGGTCCACGCACATACCTACTTCTTTTTCAACTTACTGATCAATGAACCTCCTAGTGCCAGCCAGTACAGAGCCGACAGGGGCGCCCAGGCCCTTGCTGAGGCAAATAGATACGCTGTCGCAGTCACGCGCTAGCCGTGACGGCGGCAAACCTAGCTGCTCCGACGCGTTGAACAGTCGTGCTCCGTCCATGTGGACAACCACAGAACGCTTCTTGGCAATTTCTGACAGCTTCTGAATCCATTCGAGGGGAATAACCTAAAAAGCAACAAGTAGTCACTTGAAGTCAGCAAGTTATAAGTAGGGTGAAAGTTTAACATCCAACTTTTAGTTGGTTATTCTCAGTTGTCCCCTCTGGGGACCTCCTCCGCCTGGTTCCGCTAGGGGCAACTGGGAATTTTTCTTTTTAAATTAATTCCCACTTGCCTCAGAAGGGAGTAATGCAGTGATAACAACTGGGAATAATAACTTTAGTGGCCTAGCTTATCTTCTATTAGAAGACTTCTAATTTATGTAGAAGCTGTAGCCCATTCAAACAAGACCATAAAGTTGAGATTTAGGGAACATAAGTATTTTATAGACTAACACTAGTTAGTGAGATGCTTCAGTTTAATCTTGATAATTAATTATGCTTACTTTTCCTCCACAGTATGAATGTGTATTCTCTATAGACACCATCATAGTAATGGGCTCATGATCATCGGAGCCTCGAACGTGTTTCTCAAAGTCGTCCAACTCAAAGGTGCCATCAGGCAGATTTTTAAGTCCAGTAACATAAACTCCAGCTAAATCAGCAATACCACCTGCGAAAGTAGTAAAGGGAATATATATAGTAATAGTACATGAGTAATTTTAGGTATAAATAACTACAAAAAAGGCAGTCTTCAAAAATATTGTCTTTACTTAAGTTTAAAGATAGCAAATGTTTATGAACTAAGCTGTAAGAAACTGCCTTTTTTGATTTGATAGAAGATTAAAATGTACCTTCTCTTTTAAAGACGTGCGACTGATCACCACACAACATCTCTGAGCCCCTTTTGAAACAGTGCACCATTGCTGAAAATGATTTCATTACATACTTAGTTATGTTCTTATGAATTCTTATACACTTCACTCATATAACTTAGTTTTCATTTGATATTACAAAAACAATTGCCATTAATAAGCTAGCCACACTTTTCCAGATTTGGAGTCAGTCACTTACCAGCAATTAAGTTGGCCATAGTGCCCGAGGGTACCAAAAGAGCAGCCTCTTTATCGAGTATATCCGCCACTTTGGCCTGCAGAGCGTTCACAGTTGGATCTTCGCCGAAGACATCGTCTCCCAAGGAAGCCGTGATCATAGCTTCTTTCATAGATTCCGTGGGTTTTGTTACGGTATCTGACCGAAGGTCTATTACGATTGACTGGGTCGACATTTTGTACACAAATTACACGGACTTAAATAATAATTTTAACCAAACAACAAGTCAAAATAGTTAAATTAACTTGTTGTTTGTAAACAATGACACGTCAACTTTCAGGACTTCATTCATCTGTCACATCTCATCTTCAATACACGCAATGGGATAACAAAAAAAATATTATCACAATTATTTTTATTTCATTTATCACGAAATCCAATTTATTCATTAATGAGAAGTCGTAAAAGAAATCAATTTATAGAAAAAATACTTTATTTTGTACTAGATAATGGCATTGGATCGGCAATAAAAAAAATGTTCGTTTCCGGTTCCGGTACTGTGAACTTTGATACTTTGATGGAAGTTTTGATGTCGATAGATTTTAACCACGGCACGGTTTTACTTTGTTTTCTCGATGCCGTTGGAACAAGAATATTAAAGGCGTAAACTATTACACTAAATACCTTACTGGAAGTCAATTTATAACCTTAAATTAAATATAAATAGGATCAATAATAAATAAAAAACCATTTTTGTAATAATCATTTTTTTTAAGTAGGTACCTACATACTATTTAAAATTACAATATGTTTTTAAAGGTATCTTAGCTAAGCTATAAGAACTTTATGAACTACATAATGAAAGAGTAAGTTAAAAATATAAAAAAATTAAACAACTACACAAGACCGTTCAAGTTGGTTCAAGTCTTACGTAAGCCGATTTATTACTACCCCCTAACCTATATCAGCAAAATAAGAAGTAAGCAAAGTTTATTGATTTGACACAGTATTCAAGAAAGAAACAATTATTATAATTGTTACTGTAAAAGCTCGAACTATGGTTAATCTTAAGATTTAAGTGGAAGTCTTAGGATTTACCGACATCAATTGGTAAATGTAAGTATTTCTGAAAATACGACGATTTTTTCGAGCTTTTACCATTCGAATTCAGTATATGCTAGGTTTTACCTCCGTCAGCTGGTAGATGTTGGTTTTAGGAATAAAACAATGAGTAATTATTAATTACTTACTTTTAATCAATTATTAGACAAAACAGGTACATAGTATTATGAAGGTATCATATGATTTGATTTGATTTGATAGTAATAAGTAAAAACTAATACCAACTTCTTATATTCGTTTTGTGTTGTTATTGTTTATAACACTGGGGAACAGTCATTTTGCGGCATGGTAGTTTAGAGTCAATTCTGTATGCGACTAGTGTGCTGAATACTAGAAAAATATTAGATTTGTCAAATTGACTCTAGATCTTGATATAAATACTATTAACTATTTATATGAAAAAAACCAAAATAAAAACACCAATCTGTATAAAAAAATATTTACACTAAGATCCTATTTAAGAACGGTATAAAAATTAAAAATATATTTGCTTTTCATCAAATAATAGAAAAAAAATCTACAAAAAGCTTTTTCTGTAAGCTTTTATGTTATGGTTTTGGTCAGGAAAATTCCATAATTATGGCAACAGTAATCAGCCATCATCTGGCGGTCCCATTGACCGTAGATATCATTCTTCCACTATCCTGATGTTCTGGTAGAACCGTTCTGCTTATTCCTCACTGTAATCACCCAGATTATGGGAGAACCTGTCAAAATGGCTATTGTTAAAAAAAAAATAATGCTCAAATTAGATCCTTATGTGTTAAATTTTTAAAACAATTTAGCAACCAATTCTAAAAAGTCTGGTGCTCTATGACTCCCCAAATATTGTGTGACTACTAAAACAAAGCTTAGCCATGCTTCAGATTCAATTTGTGTTATGTGGTTTACAAATACAGTGTCTTAATAAGAGTACGGATTTGCGGTCAAACGAATTTATTTTTTCCGTATTCAAACGGATGTTTCAGGACGTAAAGGACTTTAATTTGGCTGACTTTTGATCATTTTAGTGATTAGAAAGCTCAGTTCATATCTTTGGCCTTCCAAATTGAAGTCCTTTACGTCCAGCTTGACTCCAGTATGGCAAAGAGTCTTCACGAGTCTTGCAGACGATATTGGACCCCCAATATTTATTATTTTATGGAAGTTTTATAAGAAAGTATGCTTGGTAGGTTTTTATCACTACCTCCGTGATCTTATTTCTTTGCTTTTGTAAGTTTAGAAGCCAAATATTAACAAAAACTGTTGGGATTGTAAAAGCAAGGTTTTCATAATGAACTCATATTTTTGAGACAAAAAAGCTCTTTAAAAATTAATTTAAAAGACACAAAATGTTAATTTCAAGGTCTAATAGCTGATTACTAAATTGTTGTAACTACAACTACACTAATACATGAGTAGAAAATAAAACTTAGTGGGTATAATCAAATTAATATAAGTTTAGGGAGGGTGGGTCGTTTAATTTTTTTCATTGATTTCTTGTGTCTCGTTTATCTCAAGAACCAGAGTCAATCCAAAGAAAGTAAATGCACACCATTTATGTCTAATACAAGTATTTACAAAATCCATTAACAAAATAGATGCCGCAGATTTTTTTATTTTTTTTGTTCCGCAGTGTAATTTGTGCTTACTGTGTTCAATGAATTATATTTCTTCCTTTCTTTCTAACTTCTTTAAATTATTTTGAAAAACCGGCCAAGTGCGTGTCGGACTCACGCACAAAGGGTTCCGTACCATTGATTTATGAAATTATTATTTTTTTATTTAAGTTATTTGTATGAAAGATTACGCGGTAATAAGCGGATTACGATTTACGAGGTATTAAAAAAAAAACTACTTACTAGATCTCGTTCAAAACAATTTTCGTTGGTAGTTTTTATAGTAATGTACAGTCACGGAATGAAAAGGTTCGTCAGTTTTCAAATTGATTCCTTCAACGAATCGCGAGCACATATTACCTTTTGAAACTATGTTACAGAATAATCTCGAGTTAGAGAAACTAATCTTTAACTGTTCGTCAGTAAAGTTCAAAATTATTCAGATCAAAGTTGTTTGACGATTTATCTTGTCAAGAAGATTGTTATGATTGATAAACTAAAACCTTCTTATTGATTCAACCTGCCATTATTATTTCTATTAAATAAAAAAAAAACTATTGTCAATTGGTCAATGTCATCATTGCATTGCACTGATGAGATAGAAAAATAAACAAGCAAAACCTTAATCGTTAGCAAACGTCATATTTATTTAAATGTTAGCAGCACTGTTTCTTGCACTGCTATGTTGGCAGGTTTGACTCTTACAGTACCTAGTGCAAGCGAAAACCGACACTAAGGTGACGAACCTTTTCATTCCGCGACTGTGTACATCAAATGTTTTTTTTTAGATTTTTCATTTTCTTATTTTGGATTTGGAGGGGGGGACCAATTTTTTTCCACTTTGGAAGCGTCTGTCACGCAAACTGTTCGGTTTAGAAAAAAAATATTTTAGAAACCTCGATATCATTTTTGAAGACCTATCCATAGATACGCCCCACGTATGTGTTTGATGAAAAATAATTTTTGAGTTTCAGTTCTAAGTATAGGGAGCCCCCAATATTTTTTTAATTTTTGCATCAAAATCTTAATGCGGTTCACAGAAAACATCTACCTACCAAGATTCAACAGTATAGCTCTTATAGTTTCGGAAAAAAATGCCGGTGACATACTGACGGACAGACAGACAATGACATGACGAATCTATAAAGGTTCCGTTTTTTGCCATTTGGCTACGGAACCCTAAAAATACATAACAAATCTCTGAATATCTCAATCTCTATCATATCAATTAGCTTTTCTTCGCCGCCTATAGTCAAAATATCATAGCATTTTATACGCCTGTATGAACAGCTTCCTTCTTTTTAATGTTATTTGCAGTTTTTACATCTTCTAAACGGCTGACATGTTTTGTTTTTCAACATTTACCGTGCCATTAATGTAAATCCTAAGATTTACCAACGAAATGGTGGTAAGAGTTCGAATCACATACCTTTTGGGACATTTACCATTAGGAATTGGTAAATCTTAGGTTTTACTGGAATATCTTAGGATTTACTGCAATTCGAGCTTTTACAGTAACATAATCATAATTATTTTCTAAGTAGTAATATTACGAATCAAACTATAAAATGAAATACTATTGACTGAAGAAATTAGGCCAATCGAATAGATTTACGGGAATCCCCGGAAATGAAAAAGTACCTACTGCTAACATAATCACCGTTTAGACCATGTACCTACATAATTATGCAAAAGTATAATCTGTTTGTGTTAAGTTTATAATAATGGCTATAACATTCATTTTTTGTACATGTACTCAGGATCTCAAGATCCGTGCTTCGGGCGCGGGCGTAGCGAATTGCCTTTAGCACGATAGGGTTGTTTTTCCGGATTCGTACCTCGAGTCAAATGTTGGCCTCGACATTAAATCCGTTGTCAGTCACCTATAACGGAATGACCAACAAAAATGACGAATTTCCAAATGCATATAAACTTTGAGGGAAATTCAATAACCTGTGTATTGTATTGTACATAATCAGGAATATTATGCCGCTTATTTTAACTTAAACTTTCAAACAGTCTCATACTGTGCGAATTATTTACTAATAGCTGACCGACGACGACATGGACATCACTAGGGTAAATGTACCTAAACACCACCAAGTCAGAACCATCGCTTCTTAGGTCTCATCTCAGATTAAACACGAATGTTGTTGAATTGAATGACACCAGTCAAAACAAGATGTATTGTGATTCTTGTTCATAAAGACCGCAGTTAGATAAGTAATTCAATTAATATTTCAATCATGTGAAGTAGTTACATGAATATACGTAACTAATTCTAAAATATCGAACTCAATACAACTATTTAACGTTAGGCCTGAGTTTTATTGGGTTTTGGTCCTTTATTAGGTCCAGGTCCCTTATTAGGTCCAGGTCCTTTATTAGGTCCTGGCCCCTTATGGCCGGGGCCTTTAGGGTTTGGTGCAAAAGGTCCCGGATTTTTCGGACCCGGCTTCTTAGCAGAATCTTTGTTTTCTGTTTTGTCGTTATTTGCATTCTTATTGACCGGGGGAATTCGTTTCACAAAGAACCTGAAGGATGCTTTTTTGTTGTTAATGAAGTGTCTAAAGGCATCTAGCGGCAAGACAGCACATTTGGCTTGTCTGAATATCTCATCTGCTTTTATAGCATCATTAAAACAATGTTCAATAAAAACGACCTTTCGCCTATTGTCTTTTTTGCTCGTTACATGAATTTCATAAATATGTTGCCTGGCGGTATTTTTTCCTCCAATATGCTGAACTGTCCAGTAAGCCATTTTTTGAAGAGTATCAATCTTCATTGTGATTATAAAGAGCATTTTGCCTTGTGCAAACAAATAGACAAAACGCTCGTCTTCATTGGCATCTATATTAACCAGTTCTATTTCAGCATCGCTGGTGACGTTGCAGTGTGTTGCGTGGCGTTCCTTAAAGTGATCCATCATCTCCTTCAGTTTACCTGTGTAAAACAATTCATTGTTAAAAGGTTGTACAATGTAGTGAATATTCTGCGTATTATTAGTTCGAAATCAAGTTAACTGTGTGCTTATTGCCGTTTACTAGGTACACATACCATTCCATGAGCACCGCCCAAAAACTGCACCAAGTGGACAGTCCATCACTCGAAATATGCATTCCTTTAGATGGTCCTCCATGTCTTGGGCCATCAACGTGTAAACGCATCCTTCAGACTTGTTAGGACATGGCACCTTGGCCTGTAATTAATATTAAAGTGATGTTAAAAATCTTTTAAAAGGAAATTGTTATTCGGCATCTACTTACCGGTTTTACCTATGTATTTTATAGTATACTAGCTTTCCGCCCGCGGCTTCGCGCGCGTGGACTAGGGTGCATCGTTGAACAGTGAACCGGCCTTTTTTCTAAATGCTCTAATTAGCTGGAAAATGAAGCTAACAATGTCATTATGGTCTTATCAGTCAGGTAATTTAATAAGGTTTCTAATTTTTAGGCTTAAAATTAGCCTCAGCCATAAAACGGTAACTTAAATTAGGTTTTAAAAAAAATGAAATTTGGCTCACTGTGTACTACGGGTAGTTTTCACTGAACCACCCATATTTCAACAGTGAACCATAAAGTTCATTACGAGTAAAAATTATAATTTTGGAAAATAAACAATATAATTTTAGATAATCAGCTTTTATTTTTACAACACAAAAATCAAATAGAAATAAAAATGCTTATTTCAACAAAAAGTCTTCATTTAAAAATCACAGAATCCAAAAATAACAACGAAACTCACACAAAACCCAAATGAAAAGAAAAATGCTTCTTTGAACAAAAATAACTAAACATTGTCTAATAAAGCCTTCAAGTAATCAATAATCAACCTTTTTGGTGGTAAACAAACAGTCTTCATTTAAATAATCACAGAAAACAAAAATAACACAAGAAACAATTGAAAAGAAAAATCCTCATTTAAACAAAAATAACTGAAAATTGCCTCTTAAAGCCTTTAGGTAATTAATCAACCGTTTGGTGGTTAAATAAAAAACAGTCAACCGGTTCACTGTGTACTTTGAAAACCTGGTTCACTGTTCAAAACATACACTATTCAACTTATGAGTTCACAAACAATAAGAAGTACCTACGCGGAATGGTCATCACGGAATGTGCTCATTAAACAGATAAAACTACAATAATTTTGATACCAAATAGATTTCGTACTTAATATAAATAGCAAAATATACAAAAATCGTAAGGCTTATCTGAAAAAACTATCTTTTGTCGTCGAGAAACAAAGAATTCGCAGCCACACGTCACACCTTAGCCACAGTCGCCGGCGCACTACGGGAGAGGGGAAGGGCGTCCACGAGACACGTAGTGACTCGTTCGGTGGAACTGGCAACGTCATACTTTTTGAAATATGGCGGTGGTTCAGCGTATCTGGTTGGTTCACTGTTCGACTACCCACCCTACATTATCTACATATTTTACGGAACCCTATTTTTTCCCAAAATAAAATTTAGCCTATGTTACTCGTGGATAATGTAGCTTTCGAATGGTGAAAGAATTTTTAAAAACGGTCCAGTAGTTTTTGAGCCTATTCATTACAACCAAACAAATAAACAAACAAAAAAGTTTTCCTCTTTATAATATTAGTGTAGAATGGTGTAGAATACATAGGTATTATTATGAAGTTGTTTTAGAATTAAAACTATGTAGTATGTGCGTCACTACGCACACACTCACATCCCTTACATAGTATATAAGGCAATGCACGTCAATAAACGCACGCTTAATAGCTCTTAATACGCAGTCAGTCTACTTATTTAATCGTCCCAACGCCCAACGTTGCATGGCGACCCTGCCAGTGCTGCTCACGCAGCATTGCGCAGATGGTTTAGTAGAAAATTAATGTTAATTAAAATAATCCCAACTAATATTATAAATGCGAAAGTAACTCTGTCTGTCTGTCTGTCTGTTACGCTTTCCCGCTTAAACCTCGCAACCGATTTCGATGAAATTTGGCAGGGACATAGTTTGAGTCCCGGGAATGGACATAGGATAGTTTTTATCCCGGTTTTTGAAACAGGGACGCGCGCGATAAAGTTTTTCTGTGACAGACAAAATTCCACGCGGGCGAAGCCGCGGGCAGAAAGCTAGTATTAAATAAACTTGAAAATGTAGTGAAAAGTGGACTCATAAAAATGGACTAAAATTGAACTTAATAAAAATTCAATAAAAATATCGAATATGAACGTGAAATAGTAATATCAAGTGCCAAAAATCAAGAATTTCCTGATCCTGATGAAGATGTTAGCAGACAACGGACCGAGATGATGGAGTCAGATGTGGTAACAACAGAGTGCTGGGTGCCGGGCGATGATGGAGCCAGATGTGGTAACAACAGTGTGCTGGGTGCCGGGCGATGATGGAGCCAGATGAGGTTAACAGCAGGTAGCAGGGGTGCCGGGAGTGTTCGAGTCGGAAGTGGTCGCAGCCGGGAGAACCCATAAGTCCCCGTGCTGTAGTATTCTCAGTCCCCATGTGCCCCATGAAGAAAAGTCCTCTTGCCCTCTTAAAAATTTGGTCATCATTCTACGGTATTTTTTTTTCTCATTTATTATTATCATTTAAATTTTGGAGATTAATTTAATTTTTGAAATGTTAATTTATTGGTTTCATTTGATGATATTTTTTTTAATAATTTCGTAATTTTGTAAAGTAAATTATTTTGTGAGAATATTTTTATGGATATAAATTGAATGTACTAATTTAATTTAAACTTAATTCACAAAATTGCAATTTTATATACTTAAAGGAATAAATATAGAATTCGATATTTTTATTGAAGATGTAAAATGTTTATTACTAGGTAATTTGAATATTTTTATTGTGTAATTGTTTTACATTTTATAATAACGTTTGTTGACGACTTAGTAAATTTACTGATAACATAATAATATTGAACAATATAGTAATACTGGATAATAAGAAAGAATAATAATTTGCATAATAATTTTATTTCATGATATTTTTTTTTTAAGATTTTATTTATATTTTGATTATTAAGTTATGTAGTTTTACACCAGTGATATTTTACAGTCTCATTTTTTTACATTTTATTTGATTAGGAATTATTTACATTAATATTATTACAACAATTTTTAAAATAATTTGATTGTCTAAAAGTAGGTCAATAATTTTGTTACTCAGTCATGTCATTGCACTCAACGCATACGACTTATTGCAAATCGGCAAAACGTGATTTAGCATCACACACGTTATGATGACATGTAGGTATTTTCTAGCGTATCGACACAATACTTCGCTGTAATTAAGATCTTTACATTTTAAACAATAATTGTATTTGGTATGCAAGTAAATATTTTAAATCAGTGTCATATTTGTAGACTTTTAAGACCACCAAGATCACATTTCTAAATATGGATCTTTAACAAAATCATTAATTAGGATTATTGATTGGATTTAACTTTGAAGTACATAAAATAATCTTTTGACATTTTTTTTCACGGTCAAGTAATGTAATATTTATGATATGATGAAATAAAGAATTTGATGATTGCTATGTTGAAAAATATTTTGCAAAATGTAGGTAAAATATCACTTGGCTGACTTATCGATTGCTGATTTATTTGGGTCAACACACAACAGATTATTGCACAATGATTTACTGTAAGTGTAATGTAAGTTCTTGACTATGAACGTAATAATTTAACACAAATGCTATTTGTTTTGTTTCAACTATGATTTTATAACGGTATATTCAGTATAGTAAATGACTTATTATGTAACTAGAAATTATGTTATAACTATGAACTTATAATTGCACGGATAAGACGATGATAATAAGAATAATTTTGATTCTATGACATGAATATAATTTATACAATGTATAAAGTTAATAATAAAAAAAAAACTTATTGTGAGTTTAGAAAACTGTAGGCATAGGAATGTACGTTAATGTTATTAAATGATGAAGGCTAAGAGATAAAGGTTTGTTGTAATAAGGCAGGTTTTGGTTTGAAATTAAGATAGGAAAAGTTATAAAATAGTTGGATATTGTTTGTAAAGGTGGGCTAAAAGTTAGACATGCATTCATTACATAGGATACTTTCAATTATTTTGGATTGATCACCCAAAAGTTTTAAGATATTCTTGTGCATTGATTGCGTAGGTTTGTGAGATTGTAAAGTATTTTGTTAGATATTGAATGAATATTGAAATATTATATGAATGTTATGTTAACATGGTACTAAAATAAATAATATTAAGGGGAATTATCCTTCGTTCGATCATGGTGCATACTAGATATCTCTGTGAGAATAGTTGGAGACATTATAAGTCTTAAAATTATCCCTTAATTTAAATGATTATTATAAATAAATAAATATTATTATAAAGTGCGCGCACATGTTATAAAAGTACCATGATTAAAATATGATAAAATGAATTAAGTCGACTATAAATAAATAAAAAAAAATGACTTGTACAATGTAGTAGATCTACTAACTATTAAAACATGAAGGTGGCCACCTCATAAGAATTGATGATGTATCTCGGATATGGGAACTTTAATGGATATGACTTGGGTACTAGTACGAAATACTTTGATGTGACTTTATTATGAATGAATACTATTTTTTTAATATGAATGAATATTACATAAAAATAATATTGTTGAAACATTTTAAATAGTCGTCAACAACACGTTTAGATAAGTTATTTTTATTTTTATTTTTAATATTATTAAATTGTTATGGATATTTGACACCACTAATTTTAAATCAAATTTTGCAATGTGTTAAATTGTCATTTATGTTTATTTTTAATAGAGCATTATTTTACCCAATATCACGTATTTAAAAATCATTATTGAATGGTGTCAAGTACCCAATTTTGTAGTCTTATTTTTTTTTTCTCATTATCTTTTTTGTATGTAAAAAAAAACACACAAAAAAAAACGGGGGAGGTGTAGGTAGTATGTGCGTCACTACGCACACACTCACATCCCTTACATAGTATAAGGCAATGCACGTCAATAAACGCACGCTTAATAGCTCTTAATACGCAGTCAGTCTACTTATTTAATCGTCCCAACGCCCAACGTTGCAACTATCACATAAGTACAACCTAGTTACTTTGGTGTGGGAAAGTGGTTATAGTCAAGAAAAATGACACGATCAATATAATTTTTTTGATGTCAAACATTTTGCCTACTAGGTAGGTACCTACTTGAACCGATCATCAATTAATTCGAGAAGAACAGACTAGGTAGACAAAGTAGGTTTACAAAATCAAAAACCCTTATCTACTAACTACTCTAACCTCGGTTGTCACAAGTCACACGACTCGGGTTAAAAATGTAAATACCTACGCATTATCTCATATGCAGTACCTACTTAGATGCAAAATTATCTTGGTCGATTAGATATCGAAAGGTTCTGAATCGTATTCCTAACTCTCAGCTCTGAGTACCGTAATAAAATGGAATCGTTCGTTCGTTTCAGCCGAAAGACGTCCACTGCTGGACAAAGGCCTCCCACAAGGATTTCCACGAAGACCGATCCTGCGCCGCTCGCATCCAGGCACCTCCCGCGACCTTCACCAGATCGTCGGTCCACCTAGTTCGAGGCCTGCCCACGCTACGTCGGCGTAAAATGGAATACTGCATTGCAAATCACCTTGATTTTTTAAACGCAATAGGTTGAATCACAAAGCTTTTAGGCACCATTATTGCTAATAGTACCTTATTAAAGGCGAACTTAATGCTGATCTACTATTACCTGCCTACCAGTCAATCTTAGCGCCAAACAGAAATTAGAGTAAGCAGTGCATAAAACAATTAGCAAAACCCATACCTTAGCAACAATTTCCTCTAGCTGCCAGTTCCTCATCTGGGTCATCGGCTGCCGGCAGATGGGGCAGGTCGGCGGGCACAGGTTGTTGGTGCAAGTGTTGCACAGGCTGTGCCCAGATTGGCACTGGTATATCGGCGCAGACATGGTGTCCAGGCACACGGGACATTCTGGCAGCTCCACTGCGACAGTCGCTGCCCTTTGAAGTGATTGACAATGTTAAAAACGTTTCTTGTATGTAATAAGGAATATACTTACTTACGCGGTGGTGATTCTTCTACAGCAACAGTTATGGTTGAGTAAATAATTTAACATTATCATCACAAGTAGGTAACTAGGTACTCCTCAACATTATTTTAAACGTATGTATTTAGGTACATTATCATGCGTAGTTTTCGGTTTGAAAAATCCTTTTTTAGTGTAACACTAGGAAGGTAGGAAGGGAAGTGTGCCCAAAGCGGGCATTGGCACCTTAAATTTTAGTGTGGTGTGTGTGAGGACCCCATTTATTAAAACTCTTTAAAATGTACACGAAAGTAGTTGATGTTGGTCCTATCTATTATGATTCGCAGTTTTATTGTAATTCCTATTAGATTTAGTTTCAAATTTCAATATAACACCACTTTTTAGTGTGTAAGATACATGCGTGGCACCATAAGCTTATGCGAGAAAAAATTGTAAGATAGATAGAAATTCTAGTAGATATCTACTATATAAAAATAAGTCGGGTTTTCCTCCCTGACGCTATAACTCCAGAACGCACGAACCGATTTCCACGGTTTTGCATTCGTTGGAAAGGTCTCAGTCTCCGTGAGGTTTATAGCAAAGAAAATTCGGGAAAAGGGGGTAAAACGGGATCCACGCGTACGAAGTCGCGGGCGGCCGCTAGTTACCCGATAGAAATATAAAGGAAATAAGCAACTCACTTTTTATTCGCCTGTGCATACGCCATCTGCAATTAAGTAAACAACTTATCACCTTAGTCACCTTAATCAATTCAATTTATTATCAATGCTTAGATTTCGCACATAGAACTATGTAACTAAGTATTACAAGAAAGATTACTTAAATCATATTAAATGTGTAACCGTAGTAGGTACTTACCGTAGATTGTTGGGTTGACGAACAGTTAAACAATGCGTTATCTGACACCACTTGGCCTGCGGCGAGCCGGGGACTGAGGACTGAGGAGAGATATCAATGTGGACGAACATAGAGTTATTACTCTATGTGGACGAACGAGTGCGAACTGCGAAGAAAGGTTATGGACGGATTGGCACCTATTTATGTACTAGTGTACGAAATGAATTAGTACAGAAAATAAAGCCTTATCACCATAGCTTAAATACAATATTATATTGTGCAATGAAATTTCTAAATTAAGATGAGGGTATTCCCCGTTCGTGACAGAAAAAAATAATGATTCTGAGTCTATGGTGTTTCTGCCGACCAATTAAAAACTTGCTCAGTGGTGAATAAAACACATTTATTTACCTTTTTTTATAAATAATCATGAATGGTAAAAAAGCTCAGCGAACGATAAAAGTGCCCACAAGCCAGCACTCCACGGCCAAGATAAAAAAAGGACGGAAGATGTCAATGTCATACGCAGTGTTGCCAGAAGGTTACTTTTGTAACCTTTTTGGTTACTTTTGAACTGCTGTGGTTACTTTTAGGTTACACTAATGAAAAGGTTACTTTTAGGTGATTTTTCAGAAATTGTAGAATTAACTTTGCAGGTTATTCAGTATTTTATACGACTGGTCACTTTTCGTATTTAGATGATCAATTGTATTCATTTTCCATCCATGAACAACCTTTTACACAATCATCACTCAGCACNTAAAGGTTACTTTTTGTTCAAAAAGGTTACTTTTTTTTATATTTCTGGTAATTTCTGACTAGACCCGACTGGCAACACTGGTCATACGTGTCAAATCCATCAATGTTTTATTTACTTGCCGACCTTTCGTGTTTTACAATTTTGTATTCAATAAAATAAAATAATTGATTTTATGCCAGTTAGATTTATGCCTATAAATATTTAGGAAATTTTCCTCTCGAGCTTTTACACCACACGTGTTGTATTGTTACACTATTAGCAATGGAAAATAGTAACGGAGAAATTTACAATTTTAATGGGCTAAAAGAAAAGCCAGAAGAATTACTTTTACTTGTTGATAAATATGTTAGAGTTCAACTCATTAAAAATTCAACATTCACAGGATTTATGCATTCTATTGACCCTATATCGTATAGGTATGTTCCTACTTACATTAATCTAAGCTTGCAACTTGAAATATCAAAATAATTGTAGCTACCAAAAATATTACTAAAACTATCTTGTTTCCAGTATGATCTTGTCTGTGCCTCAAGAGAATAATGAATTCAAGACTATTTTAATACCAGGACATGCAATATTGGATATAATGGAGGTAGAAGCAATTCCAGATAGAAGTCCACCCATTAGAAAATCTTTAGAGTCTTCAAAGGAAGAAACATCTAAGAAAAAAGACAAAATTATAGCATGGTTGAAATGGAATATGTTGCCTGCATCAGAAAGCGGGGACAAAATTATATTTGGGAATGCTAGTCTGTTACCTCCTTACAGCGACAGAGATATTTGCACAGATAACCCAATAGTAGCTATGCAAATGAGAAAAATGATTAAATCAATGCCGCAAAATTTTGGAGCGCCTGAAAATTAAAAATATTAAATAAAACTTCTGTTACATTTATAGATTAAGTCTAGTTAAAGATATTGTACTCATAAGATATTTCAATTACTTAATAAAGACTGAATTTTTAAAATTATGTATGTGTTTTCTTTGATCTTCCCAAAATTTTTACATCATCCACAAATATTAATTAATAATAACAACTTACATTCAGAATTGACACTTGTTGTTTATTAAAATATTATCAAAATAATTAATAACTATTTGTTGCAAATCTAGCCATGCATTATTAACTTGTTAAGGGCCCTGTCATCAAAATAAAAACATAGGGGGATGTTTTTTTAAATGGTCATGGCAAAATTCGATTTTGCAACTGTTATTAATCCGGCCCTGGGGGCCCTGTAATCTACCTACCTACTAGACTTTTTTGGAATCAGTAAAGGTAAGATAAACTAAAAAAATGACATTTCAAAATTATAGAACTTTCATGTCGTTAGGTTGCGTAGGTATTTCAAAAAACCGGCACTGGGGCCTCGTATCATTGCTACTGCCGGCTTTTACCCGTGGTCTCCCCAACATGTCCCCAATATCTTTATAATATCTTCACATCACACACTTAGTGCGGTGGGACCATGGTTAAAATAAATTATCCGTAGACCCACTGGCAAACACTGTTCAGAACGGTGGGACAACGGGTAAAAAAAATTACCCGTGGACCCACCAGGGGGACATGTTGGGGGGACCACGGGTAAACGCCGGCCGGTAGCCACGCCCCAGAATATAATCCACAATCATACCAAAGGAAGAATAATCCTTTTAATTAAATAAGTAGACAGTAGTTTTATCGGTGACTGCTACTAATAAACTAGACCTACACTAAACTCGAGCTTTCAGTGTGAAGTAGGTATGCACACACCCTGTATGTGTCTACCTACGTAATCTTCTCTTCGTTCGTCATTTCCCAGATTACAAATAAAATTTTAGATAGTGTAGCCTTGTCATTAGTTGTCTCGCTAGATGTTGACTTGGTAACTCGTCTGTAATTTTACAGCGAGAGTAGTTCTTGAAGTTACCGTATTACTCGATATTTTTTCTGGATATCGTTTATTAATTTAGATAACCTGAAATTTAGAGCTGGTAATTATAAAAATGACGGAAAGGAATAGTCGAAAAATACAATATTTCGCCGGATTATGTGGTAAGATCAAAGACCTTTGTTTGGTATTGTTATCAGTAGTTGGATTGGCGGGAATATTTGATTGTTTTAGCGTCGCTAAGTTTCATGTTCACGGGCGCCACGCTGTCTTGGCCGTCCCCAGCAATTCCTAAGTTCAAAAGTGGGGCAGCCGGCTTCGAAATATCGAATGTGAGTATTTTTAATACCTACCTAATCTGGCCTAGTAGAACCACACCTTGCAGAAGAGTGCTTGTATGTAGTAGACAATGTAACATTAATGACATTCAATATCGTGATCTCTTCGTTAACTCTATTCCTTTTTCCGTAATTAAGAGTAGGTAGACGTAGCGAAGTGATTTACGATAGAGTTTGAAGCTTTTCTTGAGGCTAGGTCTTTTATTAGTAAACCAGTTGTACCGTTTTACATATTTTTGGACTCTAAAAAGAATGTCTGGCATGGGCGGCGACGAGACCCGAAAATACTGAAGCTCTTGTATTTTTTTCAGGAACAAACATCATGGGTGGTTTCCCTGCTGTCGGCGGGAGCCATGCCGGGCTGCTACCTTGGCCAGGTGCTAAGCGAGCGAGTCGGTCGCCGCAGAACGTTTCTGCTCTCCTCTCTACCGGGCCTCTTAGGTGCGGTACGTTAGATGCATAATATGCATATACAGCCTGCATGCATGCATGTACCTACTCAAAAACAATACAGTATGTGAAAGGATGATTCCAAATGCAACCACTTTTCGTAAGGGAAATAAACATTAGAACTTTTCGTTTTTAAATATTCGATCAAAAATAAACGATAGTCATCTAAATGTTGTATTTTAGCACCATAATCACCCCTTTCGAATCTTGAAAGGCTTTTTTACTTGGTTTATATTTTAAATTATTTTACAAGAGTATTCTCTACACTTAAATCTTATTTGAGTTAAAATCTTATTAATGTATTATTTTTCAGTGTATAATTTTATTCACCAAAACACCAATATTGATGTGTGTGGCGCGATTCATGATCGGTTTGACCACAGGATCTGTGGCAGTGGTGAGTGTTATCTTGAATACTATTTTTATTTATTTTTTAAAAAGATTATTACTCCCGTTAGCCCCTCGTACTAAGCTAAATATGCTTGTGTTACGAGTGAGCTCACCACAATAGTCAAGCGAGGGCGGGGACCGAACCCGCGTTCCCCGGATCACGAGTCGGCCAGTCCGACCCCTTCCCTTCATCGTTCGGCTATGTGGCTTTGAGTTTTAAAAATGTATTACATAGTTTGATACTTACTTTAAAACACAGGTGTTTCATTTTACAAGGCAATTTATGACATGATAAGGAACTACATAATTAAATAATGATACCAAATAGATAAGCTTCACCTAGTTTGATCACACACTGCGTCTGATTACTGGCAATAATTTATTTTAGGTTGCAATGATATACATCACAGAAATCGCCGACAAGGAAGTGCGTGGAGCATTAGGGATGTTGGTTCAAGTGATGAACAACTTGGGTAGTCTGTTGATATATGGAATCGGACCCTTCGTGTCTTATACAATGCTGAATACCATAATCGTCACGATTCCCGTCGTGTATGCGGTCTGCTGCCTGTGGTTACCAGAGTCGCCGTACTATCATTTGAAGGACGGCAGAGTGGATGAAGCTAGAAAAGAATTTAAATTGTTGAAGGGAAGCGATGATGAGAAGGTAAATAAATAAACAATAAATCTTTGGACAATTTCACACAGCGCCAGCTATCCCCAAAGTAAGCAACTTAATGCTTGTGTTATGGGTGCTAGCTTAACGGATATACTACTTCTACACTTTTTTTTTAATTACATACATATTATACATAGTAACACCCAGACCCGTCACAGAAATTAAAATTCATCATTTCAATTTCTGCCCGGCCGGGATTCGAACCCGGGACCTCTCGGCATAGTAGTCCGCTCTGAACCACTACACCAAACGGCCGTCCGAAGGTAAACCGGACCAATTTATCTTGTTGTGTGAAATAATTAAAATTATTTTTTCGCTCGAACGAGAGAATACTTGGTCGATCCACATTATTATGTACTTACTATAATAGGATCTAATTAAATAGTTATTTGTACTATTCCAGTGGATTGACGACCAGCTCAGCGTTATACGTGCACATGTAAAAGAAAGTATGGAAAATAAATCAACAGCAAAGGAACTATTCACCAACGTTAAGTATAGGAAGGCAATATACATAGTAGCAGGTAATTAACAAGTTTCTGTATTTAAATAGAACAATCAAGCCTTATACTTTGAGCCTTTACCAGAATCACCTGTTGTGTCTACGCCGCCATCCTGTATAATATAATTATGTAGACCCCGTACTACCAGTACCTCTAGCACGAAAAAACTCGTCTTCGAATCGTTTGCGTATTCAACCTTCTCACTAAAACATTGACGATAAAACAAAATTCGATACCCAGCCTTCGAGATCAACGATAACGTGCCGATCTCGATTGTCAAAATTAGTTTCGTGTTAACATTTCTCATAGTTCTCATACAGAGTTCACTTTACGTCATATTGTTCACTATTCGATCTCAATACGAAAACAAATATCACAATTTTAAGTTTTCAAATCTTTGGAAGGCGATTCGAATACGCAAACGATTCTAAGACGTAAGTTTTTCGTGCTAAGTACAGTTAACTTATCAATTTATGCTATTTACCAAACTACAGACAATATTTAGCATGTGAATAGACGTTACACGCATTACATTGTTACCTTGCTTGTTATCTCCGATATAAAAGCAAGGTCACTATGATTTTTGTTAGTGGAGGTAATAATGAATAATTTAAACACGTGGAAATACTACGATAATTTAAAAAAAATCCTGTATGGGTAACGTAAACAGGTCGATTTGTTACAAAATTAATAAAAAAACTTTATTACTTAGATTATTTCTGAAACGTAACTGCACAATTATCTACTACAGTTAAGATAAAGTTTATTAACATTGCTGCTAATTTATTATCATTATATCTAAATGAGTAAAAAAGATTAAAACAGTAAAAATAAACTATAAATCGTCCAAGTTTCAATTTAGCAATGATTTGTTTAAAGACAAAATAAAATAAAATAATTTTTTAAAGGTTTAATAAATTTTTAATCGTGTCTGATAAATATTATCTATTTATTATTTTATGTACTATAAAATAAAATAATTACTGTCTACTAGGAATATTGACAAGATATACAAACTTTATAATTTACAGGTTTGAAGACGGTACAGTACATGACTGGTATTCTATTGATCCAGTCGTACTTGGAGGTGATATTCAGACAGAGCAGCTCCGTGTCAGGTCCCCGAGCGAGTATTGTCTATGGAGTCGTCCAGCTTTTTGCAGGTATAGATCGTTTCATCCACGAAGACGCGCCCCACCTTTTTTCCGCTAATGTTTGAGTGTTATCGGTACACGCTAAATCCATGAGTGCCACACGCACTACAATAATGACGCTCGGATTGCTCGGATCAAACTCCCCGCACCCCGCGCTTCCCTCGACCAGTAATTTGTTTAAAGTGGCGTTACATGTTAGGATGAAATTTTCGAACATTTTGGACTAAGGCTACGGTCTCATAAACGCTGTACGTGGCTTACGACTGTCAGCGTCAAACGTTCCCAATCCCATCGACGTCAACGTCTGAAAGAAGATACCAAAAACTCACTGGACGTACGACGTAGGAAGTAGACTGTACGGCGTTTAAAAGAGACCACAGCCTAACAAAGTACTTATTATATCGTTTCACGCTTCTATTCTATTTTAACTTGAATAAATTGAAAGACTGGCGCATCTTGTGGTTGTTTAATCGTGCAAGAATTCTTAGAATTTGTTCAGTAGTTGTCTTCATATTTTAACGGTGCATGTTTCTTAGCGATACGAAAATTATAAACCAGCTGCCAAGCTGACCTTGTAACTCGCATTTTAATACCAAGAAAGCAAGACATGCGAATATCTGAATTATGTCCTTTATCGCGTAGACCATAAACTGACAAAAATAATAATACGTTTGCACTTTTGCAGGTATCGGCGCGACGTTTTTAACTCGCTGGTGTCGCCGCCGGTTTCTACTGCTGACGTCGTGTCTGGGAGTGTCCATTGCGATGACAACCGTCGGCGTTTATTTCTACCTACAGGAGAAGCTGCAAGTCAGCCAGGAAACACTCAACTCTATCTCGATATTGCCCCTCGCAGGCCTCATAGGCTTCAACATTCTATACGCGATAGGAGCGGGCAACTTGCCTTACATTTTCCAGGCCGAGCTATTCCCGGTAAATGTCAAAGCCGTGGCCTCGAGCGCTGCCACACAGTTTGCTTGCATTCTCAGTTTCCTCGTGCAGAAATTTTATCAAAGCTGTAAAGAGATTTTCGGCAATTACACCGTGTTTTGGTCGTTCGCCTGCATAGGCTACTTAGGAGTGGTCTTCATATACTTCTGTGTGCCCGAGACGGGGAACAAAACATTGGAAGAAGTGCAAGATAATGTTGTGGACGCTTCAGAGGGTGTGCCTTTGCAAAGTTTTAGAAATGGTCATGAGACTGCTGAAAAACTTAAAGCTTAGCTGTCGAAACTTATTAAGTATACAAATAAAGTCAAACTGTTCAAAGAATTTACTATGCAACTAATGAAGAATGATCGATTTATGAATGTTTTACTGCCAAATATTTTTTACCAGTCCTCTCGAATATGAAACGGTACGTCCCAAGTACTCTCTGTATGAAGAAGAGAATAATATCTTTTAAATGTGATATTAGAGGCTGTGAGTTAGTATTTTTTACCAAAAATATACATATGTTATAGTTCGGATATGTTATTTAAATAATCGTTTGTTATACTGTTATGTAATACAAATTTTAATTTTAATATAAATAAATGTCATAAACCAATTTCATTTTCTTTTCAATAAAACACAGAATGTGACAGTAAAATTGTATTCTGCTGAATATGAATATACAATACATTGATTATCTTCAACTATGGAAAACTTAAAGGCCTACACTTTACCAAATACCGACCTGTATTAAAATTCTCGCTACACAAAATACATAGAAATATAACGAAAATATTACACCCGGCGCTGTATAGGTGTTATAAAATATTGTCACGTGTTACCAGAGCTTAAGCTTTAAATCCTTTAGACGTTGCTGTCGTAAAAAAAACAGAAGTAATCGTGTTACTCAATACTGAGACGTATTCCCGTGGCGTAAGCTCAAATTCTAGAATGTTTCCGTTCGTTCGAATTCAGTAGTAACCGCGTGATACAATATTGGTACGTGTTACCGGGGCGTAGGGTCTAAATCCTCTTAGCGTTCCCGTAGGCGTAGAGGGGCGCGAAGGGCGTGTCCGCGGGCTCGTCCCCGCTCTCTTCGGACGCGTCCGACTCGAACGTGTTGTCCGGGATGTCGTACAGACGGATCAGCGGCTTGTTGGGGTCCTTCATGATCAGGTATTTGCCTGAAACGCATTCGGACGGTGTTAACAAACTGTGGTGCGATTGTGTAAGGCAATCGTATTCATTTGAAAGTTCATAACGTACGTTATGATATGTCAAACGGCTAATTCTAATTGTGTGCGGAGTTCATAAAACGATAACGATTTGATCGTTAATTTATACGATGGTTTGGGTTTCAAAGAACTAACACAGATTTGAGTTGGCTATGATTTTTATTGGTCAGGCCGTTCCGCGCTGTAAGCTTGTATTATTCACAAAATAAGAGTAGACCAAAAAATACTGACGTATCTGGTCGATACAAGAAATCGATCCCAATAAATCGAAAAGGGTGTGATATAAGACTCCATTGAATTACATTAGCCAATAAAAATACTGTAGTAACATTTTAAATTCCATTTTTCTTCTTTAGAGCCTTTGCTAAAACTTTTAAAGCAGCGCTTGCGTGTGACATATTATTATGTTCGCACGTTCCGTGCATCTACGCAAGTTTTAGCGTAGGCCCTTAGGGTTATTCTAAAACGAGGTCTTAGGGTCTAGACAAAGTGCACATTTTGAAACCAGTCGAAAAGCTTTTTTTTGTATGGAGTTTTGACGGATTCGATTTTCGACTCGATCAAAAAGTACATTTTGTCCAGGAGGGACTACATACATAAGGGGACACTCACCGTCCTTCTGCTTCATGCATATGTCGATGATGCAGCGCAGGATGCCCCAGGCGTTGTCCATGGACAGGTTGATCTGCGCCGCGAACTCGTGCGGCTTGAACTGCTGCGTGCCCAGGATCACGTGGCGCGAGTTGTCGCGCACTTGCGCGCGGGACACGTAGCCGAACTTGATCTGGTCGGAGCCGGCTAGCAGGGCCTGGGGAATTCGGATGCGATTAAAGTTGATGAATGATTATTTTTATTTTATTTTCTTTATTAGGAAAACATACAGCTTATATTATGATACAAGTAGCATAAAAATTATAAGTTTTACACAAGCCTATGAGTTTTTCGCTGATAATTTAAAATTGAAAAGACAAATTCACAATACTTACAGCTAACTTAAACATTTAAAACATTTCAAACCATGCGCAAATCTTATTTATAAGGTGTATTAATACACATTTTATGCCTTTATTAGGCCACGGAACCGCATAGGCTTCTCGTGAAATATGTCAATGTGACCATAATCACAGTCATACTTTTCGCAGGCTCTAATGACAAAACAGTTATTTCTATAATAATAGTTCTACATAGTGGCGTCATAAAAGTTTTCCCGTGTCTTGCGTATTATGCTGTTTCTGTACTAGAGCTCAATAACGAGATAAGAAGGTTCAAGGTCACCGATGTAGCGGGCTATGCTCGGAGCTTCCCTGCGTGATCGAATCAGAAATGAAGAGATCCACAGGAGAACCAAAATGACCGACATAGCTCGCAGAATTACTAAAATCAAGTGGCAGTGGGCGGGGCACATAGCTCGCAGAAATGATGGCCGTCGGGGCAGAAAAGTTCTCAAGTGGTGACCACGGGCTGGAAGACGTAGCGAAGGGAAGGCCTACTACTAGGTGGTCCGACGATCTGGTAAAGGTCACGGGAAGAACCTGGATGCGGGCAGCGCAAAACCGTGGAAAACCTTGCGGGAGGCCTTTGTCCAGCAGTGGATGTCATTTGGCTAAAACGAGAGCACAATATCACCATTAGGGTGGGTCAAAAAAATTTTTTTTGAGTAATCGATTTCTAATAGCGAAAATATGTTGTAGTTAGGTATCATTATAAACCCTTTAAAATATTATTGAATTATTTTAAGTGGAACAGCCCGCGCAACGTCATTGAAGTTTTGAAAAAAAAAGTTTCAGTATCAACTTTTACACCCTAAGTTACACGTTTGAAGTTGGGCATAGTTTAATGTTGTAATTAATATCCATTGAAATACACGTTACTTCTGTTAGAAACCGTGTTGTTTATTAAAAGACAATTTTTTGAGGTAAGTACATTCAGGCTAGTTTCTTCTGAAATCATGTGAAATTATAAATTTTGTAATTTTTGTTTTATGCTTTGGAAGTTAAATTTTTCTATCATGTCAGATAATAGACAGTCATACAAGTGTCCTATATTAGTAACTTTAGAAGATATAAAANAATCACCATATTTACCTGCACAGTCCACTTGGCCAGCTTGCACGAGTTGTTCCTAAGCTCGTTGGCCAGCACTGCACCGCGCTGAGTGTCGAGTTTCTGGCGCCACTCTTACAGTTGTCGTAGCTCTAATGCCTGCGTACTAGAGTTCAATATCACCACATTTACCTGCACAGTCCACTTGGCCAGCTTGCACGAGTTGTTCCTAAGCTCGTTCGCCAGCACTGCACCGCGCTGCGTGTCGAGTTTCTGGCGCCACTCCACGCCGACGGCCAGTTTTGAGTCCCATTCGTTCAGCGCCTTGATCGACAGGAACTGGGTCTCGCCTTGAGGCCCTTGCATCACGGCATCGTGCTCGCAACGCGCTACTAGCACCTGGTTGATGGAATACATAAATTATTACACATAAACAAGTGTTTATAAACTAAGTAAAGATTGTAATGCCCATAGCATTACAATCTTTACTTAGGGAACTGAGGGAAGTCGAACCTTAATTTCGAACTCCTCCTATGTTCTGATTAATTTCATTGCGTCTCCAATGACAGTTTAACTTTCCCCCGGGACAAACTTGACCTTCATTGGTTGGGTTTTTGTGGCGGTCAAGCTGTAGATCCTGGCTACACAGGAGTTGCAGTGGTGGGAACGAGAGGTGGGAATAGTCCCGTTATAGGGAACTGACTGTTTGCGACTTATTTGTAGTCTTCGCGCGTCACCTTTGGTCTTCCAACAGGTGCATAACTGCATAATTTTGATTTTTATACGATTACGCCTTTTCTTACAAAGGTCGCGTCTAATCTTGATGATGATAGAAATGCCGTTTTATAAAAGTTAAAGATAGTCGCGGCTTCTCATATTGTCGAATTTTTAAGAAGCAATCGAAAGGGGGAATAATCTCACCATGATATTAACACATAAATCCTGAATTCATATTATTTTTCATCGAACGACATACAAAGTGGACAGACGACCTCATGAAGGGAGCAGGAAGGCTCAGCATGTAGGCCGTTAAGAACCGGTCAATCTCGAAATCATTAGGGAAGGCCTGTTCAGCAGTGGACGTTATGTGGCTGAAATGATGATGATAGTAAGTAACATAGCAAAGTAATACATACCACGCCATTATTGAGGTTCCACTTGCGGTAGCGGTAGCCCACCGAGGCGACCTCGCCCTCCTCCTCCTCCGACACGAATGGGTTGGACTCCGGGAATTTGTATTTGGGCTCTGCGGTGCCAGATTTCAGCACCTGACAGAACAAATAAATATTTGAAATAATTAGGCATAAGTAGGATAATTTTCACTCAAATTGAGTAGAAAACTTTATCACTCAAATTGTGGGCTTACTATAAAAATAAACATGTCACTAAAATAAAAACTATTAACCTCTTTCTTGAACTTAGCTTTATACTGAAAAAACTAATGTCCATCACTTACTCAAGGGAGATAGTGTTTCATAATAACTTGTTGTTTGTGCCCATGGGGATTAAAATAAAAAAAAAAACAAGCTTAATAATTTTATTTTTGAAAGAATGAAAGTAAATAACTTTATTTTGGCAACAACAAATTCAGGCAACAAAGACATACACAAAAAAAATTATAACTAAGTTGCCAAAAAAGGTCACCCACTCAGTAACATCTTCGTTTTTGAGGACACAGCGTCTTCAGATAATTATATTGATTTACTAAAGTGGTTTAGGTAATTCTCAATCAGACAAACGCAGTGCAGGTTACATGATATTATCCTGCCACTAATTAGACTACTTCTTGGCTCAAAATACTGACCTGCTGGCTGAAGTTATGGTTGATGAACGTGGCTTCCAGCGCCAGGTTGCGCGGAGAGTTGATGGAATTGCCGTCGTCTGCCGGAGGCTCCACAGACGTCTCGTTCACGGTCAGCAAGTCGAACTCAGTGTTGTCACGCTTGTCCAGGAAGAGCTTGTCACCTGAAAAAAGTATTGAAGGTGTTATTATGCAACTAAAGCCTGGTCCGTGAGCACGTAGAATTTTGTCCAATGACCCCAAGCTACCCATCCTTATCGCTCGCACACTCACTGCGGGCGCCCGTCGCACAGTCGCGACAGCAATATAATTACGCGCGAGCGATAAGGATGGGTAGCTTGGGGTCATTGGACAAAATTCTACGTGATCACGGACCAGGCTTTAGTGGTGCATGTGACTTGATTAAAACTAGAGGTTTGCACCGGAGCAGTGAGTACCGGAGAATAACCGGTGATTTACCGGTAAAAGTAATCGATTGAAATAATCGGTATTTAACCGATTGATCTCCGGTGATCGTCGCATCTATTTTTTATATAATAAAGTAACACAAATAAAAGACACATTCAACAATATTTTGTTTTATACAATTATTTAACAAGTGGCATGTTAAATAATATAATTAGAAAGAAACAAGGTTGTAAATAAGTGTATTTACAACCTTGTTTCTTTCTAATTATATTATTTTTTCAGTCATTAATTCAAAACGGTCTTGTCCGTTTATGTGATTCATTTCACTAGCAACTAACTGGCCAAATAATTTGTTGCAATGTTCGTGATTATTTTTGTAATTTTCTGTTTGCATTCCTTTTTCATTGCTCATTACTATGGGTTGCTTTTTTGGTATATTTCTAGCACAATCACCTTCTGGTTCTTCGTCAAAAAATGTCATCCTTTGCGCATATTCTTCAAATAAATCTAAATAGAATAAAAAATAGGTAAATAAAAAAAATAAAATAAATAAATAATAAAATAAAATAAGTAAAATAAAAATAAATAAATACTAAACGATAGAAGAAACATGTTACGCTATGATGCTGTTGACATGTTGTGTTTCTTAAGAGCGTTTACGCCGTTTGGCGCAAAAACAGTACTTTTTCAACTCGTTACAATCATTAACCAGTAATACTACAAATATGTTATAGGCATAAATAGTTAGGCAATTTCGTCGTCTANTCAAAATCAGCATTTGCTAACAATATAAAACGTTTTTTTTTCTTAATAAATGATTATATAAAGTATATCAATCGCTTATTCTTATTTCATCATTTTGAATGTATAATTAAAAAATAGAAACAAAATTTCTTTATTCTCCGGTGATCTCCGGTTTTTCACCGGAGATTGCCCGATCACCGGTGAATTCAATCGGTTGTTAAAATCTCGCTCCGGTGCAAACCTCTAATTAAAACCGAGTATTTATTGCGACTTATAAATGTCACGATGTTAAAGGCTACAATGCTGTGACTAATTTAAAACTGAGGATTTGGCTGTATAGCTAATGTCTCTGCCTGAAAAAGGAAAGAAAAGAACCAGTTGAAGAAGTGAAATTCTTCCGGTTTAATGCACACTTTTTTCAGATCACTTCTTTTATTAAGCAGGAAAAGGTGTTAACATTTAAAAAGGAGTAAATATGTAGCTGTAGAAATGTTAAAATCTTCAGCATCGCTACTAACGCTCGTTAGTCGTTAGTAGCACGTTAGCATCGCTTCTGTAGTGCGTTGCAAATGCGACTAAGGCGCGTTAATATTGATGCTGTCGCTCGTTAACGAAACACGCGACAGCATAGCTACAAAAAGTCGCCGTGGGCGAGGGCCCTTAGAGATGTAAAGAAGTTTTGTTGCTTACCAATCTTCTCAATGACAATGTCCCATGAGTAGTTGGAGCGAGTGCAGCACATAATAGTGGCCAGGATGGCATCCGTGGCATACACGGTGCCAGTAGTCTTACTCAGTCTTCGAATGACAGGGTCGTCAGTAGTTGTCACCTAGTAAAATTAAAATAATAGAAGGTAAATAAAAAAATTATGAGAACCCTATAGTATTTCAGTACATTTCTTGTGATAACATACCGTATGGAAGATACGATCAATGCGTTGCAGTGGCTTCTCATGCTTGACATTAACACGGTCATAAGCCTTATCATAGTATTCCAAGGTGCCGCAGCATACAATGTCTTCCCCTGAAATACATAAATAAATAATAAATATAAATAATAATAATAAATATTTATTCACTTAAACAACCCAGTAATTTACAATATAAAGTAATCAGTAAAACTACGTTACTCTAGGGTTAGTTTTAATTTTTAGTGTCACAAAAACTTGGAACCCTGACCCGGAAACTAGTAAAAAACTGTATTATCAGGGTCAGTGATTCCTCAAACGGATTTAATTTAAAAAAAAACACAGGACAGTGTTTAAACAACCAGGAAGTGGGTTACTGAGTTACATAAAAATTATTAAGATAAATGTTTTAAGATCGTGCAGAGATATTTTAAAAGTAATTTTTACATTTTTAAGTAATATTGAAATTTTCAAATTACCTTCCTTGATGCCAGGCAAAGACAACTTCGCAAGACGTGGGAAGTCCATGTCTTCAATGGTAACCCAAGTGGGTCGTACAGTCACAGAAGCATCTCGGATCTTCATGGGAGCACCACGCTGGCCCCATCTCTTTCCTAGTTTACGGTCACGTTGCTGTAAAAAGTTTTATCATTAAAAATCACATTCATTACAACCTACAATTCATTGCAAACTTCTGTGATACTATTATAAACAAAATACTGCATTTATTACACAATCACAATTTTGAATACACAAACAATATCTAGTTTATAAGTGTTTATGATCTCTAGTGTAATAGAACTTAAGTTTGTTTAGACACAACACTACACAAACATTGTTAAAAGAAATTGTTTGTTTTGCTTCCTAAACTCTAGGCAATGTGTAGGGTGTCTGTCAATTTAGAAAAGATATGCTCCCGGAGAGGAGACCAAAAAAAATGCCTAGAATATTGGAGTTTGTACAGACGACGGCACGTCAACGTAACCACTGTGGGTTATTGTGCAGTTGTAATAGGGGCGAGTTTGCAACAAAATTGGGTACCTTGTTCAGCGTAGTCATGCCGCCAGGAGTCCTAGCGCCGCGAGCGCCACGGCCGCGCTGACCACGGGCGCGCCCGCGCTGGTACGGCGGCTTCTGCACGCGCGTCGTGTCCACCAAGTGGAAGGTGCTCTCGTCTTCATCGTGGAAGTACGCGTACGACGAACCAGCGCCGAATTGGGACGCGTATTTGTCTGATTATACAAAAAAATCTTTCTAAAACCTTGATTATGATAAGATGGTATACTAAAGTTACAGCTGGCTGTAGTAATGAAACAAGTTTCCTTGCAAGTTGGAAGGGTAAACGAAACGTCACTATAACCTCAAAACCCCATGTTTTCAACTTTCTTCTGACATAATTAAATACAAGTGGATAGTTGTTGCACTTACTCTGGTATTTTTTGTCCTGTACAACGGTCCAATCACTGATTTTCCCTAAACGATCGCCTTTGCTAAAGGGTTGGTAAGGCATGTCCCGAAATTGCTCCGGCATTTCGCAAGGCCCCCATCCTGTTGGATTATCTTGTATTACTGGCGCTACGAATCTTATCGGCTCTTCGGCCGGTAACACATGTTCTGACATCACGGTTTTATTGATAGTTGATGCTATTTTTTAATTATTTTACACTAAAAATCAACATTGATGCCACACGACACTTTCCCAAAAGCAAGGAATAGACTAAAGAGTTTTTTAAGTTTGACAGCTGCCACACCACAGACGACAAGCATTGAGTCTATGATAATAATAATGCAACGGCTTTATAGACTCAAGCGTGCATGCAAAAATAAAATGGCGATATTTTTGGGAACCGGCGCCGGCATGCAGCGCGGCAGGCACTTCCTTATTTTTTTATTAAAGGAAGTAACTACTATCCGTTTGCTTTAAGTTTGCCGCTGGCGATATGACGTCACTCGAAGGGAAGCGTCTATAACTATATCAAACTATATTTAAAATATTTTTTATTTATTATTATTGATAAAAATTGTGTAAAATTGCGTAAAATAAGACATATTAATTGCGTTTAATCGCGGTTGGGGGAGGGGACGCGCATTCCACGGACCGGCAAACTTAGCGCAAACGGGTAGTACCTACCCCATTACTCGCATAGCTTGCTGTTTTTCTGAACGGTAAGGAAATGGGCAGTGACATGCGATAAAAAATGTCCTACTCGATCTTCGAATGCACCATGCTCTACCTACTTTTGTAGGGTTTAGAGGAGTAGGTAGAGTATTTTTTCATTAAATGTGTTTCATTGATTTGCTATGTTTACATAACGCAAAGGTGGTCAAGGCAGGCGTCTTCTAGTTGCCATGTAGGTAGGTATGTGGACTTGACTTGCATGCTCAGATAAGTGCATGAGTGTAAAAAACTTCCCCCACTTAAGTAGGTATTTTACTGCGAATGGAATTGGCTTACGATCGGTAGGTACTTTTTAAAAGACCCTCTTTTATAAAGGGCCCTTATTAAAACCGAATGACGGAGTTCCCCTAAAATGACCATGATAAATGGCCAAAGGGCATGATGATAACGATGTATGGTAGGGTAGTAGGTATCTACATGAAAACATCGCTAAAAATATCACAGTGTTTATTATTGTCAGTTTACTCGTACAACGTTTCCAAGAATGTGCAATTTTTCTAAGAAGTTAGTATATTTATGTGGTATCCTTCCGTTTGGCCAAATTACTTTTCGCCAAATTTCACTTCGCAAACAACTTATCGCCAAAGTTTCATTTCCCAAATGAACTTTTAGCAACTGTACTTTTCGCAACTGATTCATTTGGTCAAATTATCATTTGGCCAAATTTTACTTGGCAAATGTTTATATAGCAAATGTTTTATGTTGCCAAATATTATATCCCAAATAATTTGTTTGGTCAAATTGACACTTCACATACTTACCCACCGTTACCCACAAATCAAAGCATAAGGCACATGATCATGGTTTTCACAATAATTTTATGTAAAACATTGCAGAAAATAGTATGGTTGCAAAAAGTAGGTATTGCAGAAAATAGTAGGTTAGGTTAGGTTAGAACAGTGACCCTTAATGCGCGAAGGCGAGCGAAGCGTGCCGCGGCAGCGGCCGCCGAGCGCTAGAATCACCTCTATTGTTAATGAATCATTTGGAAATTTCGATACAAAGAATGAAATAAGGAAATTAATGTAGAACAAATTTTATATTAACTCCTCACTAAACAAAATAATAACCATAAGCTAATTTGTATACCATTCTATGCACCAATCAAATTATTTTGTAAATAGTTTATCGTGAAATATTTTTGCCTAATGAAACATTTGGCAAACCATACTTTGCCAAACAATAATTTGCTAAACAATAATATGCCAAAAAAAACATTTGCGAATTAAAAGTTTGCAATAAGTTGCTTTGCCAAATGAGAATTTGCCAAATGAAAATTTGCGAAACGTTGTTTGCGATGTGATAATTTGGGAAACGTTTTTTGGCCAAACATTAGTAATCCTATTTATGTAGATAGGTACGTATATAAAATTACCTACTTACATACCTAATTAGTTTACATATCTACACCACACGATGCTTTAAGAAAAGGACAGTGATTATTATGTAACAAAATCAAATAAAGTTGACTGTGTGCTGCTGAGAATTCCATATGGCATTAAGTTTGCCTTTTACAAGGCGCAATAGCTTTAAATAAAACATTTGCGACTGCGTTCATTTTCTTTTAATGTATCTCTCAAACTAAATAAACTTTGCTTTGCTTGTAGTAAAAATCTAGTTTCGAACCGGCTACAACGGGAACTGTGAGGCCATCTACTAATCCCAATTTCTTCTAACAACACATAAGTAGGTAATGTGTAAAAATCCAGTAAGTCGTCGTCGTCGCGTATTGTATTGTTTCGTCGTCGTCGTCGCGTATTGGAATTTCTTAATTACCTATATTAGAAGAACCTTTAAATATTTAGAGGTGTCTAAGAAACCAAAATTCTTGCATACTTAGTATCCCTGAAGTGCTAGCCCAGAGATAAGTCAGTACCGTACAGGATTTTTATTAAGTTCTAATAAAATATATTTTAAGATTACCTTGTTATCACCTCGGTTCTTGCTATTTGCTGATAAAAACAGAATATTTTGCCAAACCGATTAGATTATTGGACTCTGTACATAGAGTCGATAATAATATGCTTCGGAATCCCCAAAGGAAAAATCACTTAAGGGTTCTATTTAAACAGGTAGTAGCGGATTATGGGGTACAATCTAGTTTAATTAGTTCGCCACGAAAAACGCAGAATCAGAGACTTTATGAGATCGTAAGTGTACCTAAGTTGAATTATTAATTTCCATAATTTTTGTTTCATTTGGGTTCGTTCGTTCGTTCGTTTCAGCCGAAAGACGTCCACTGCTGGACATTTAAGTATTTAGTACAAGAAACTTTATGCGTGAGTGAGATTGTGCTGTGAGTGTTAGTGACTCTAGTTCCCAACTTGGGAACCATGAATCTTTATTTTTAGGGTAAATAGGAGCCGAGTGTCCCCATGAAGGGAACGTATGTTACAATCTATTTATTTTAAACGTCCAATGTAACATTACATACTTAGTTAGTAGTTAGTATTTATTTAACTATGTAAATAGTCGCTAGCGCTACACTCTCTCCTACTCTACTAAGAAGATACTTACTTAAATATATTTTTATATTTTGTTTATTGATTAAAAAGCCTACATTGATTGCAACATTAAATTAAATATGCAACAAAGTTAAGATAGCTAATTAATTACAATGTTAACTGTAAGAATTGCTGTCAATGCGTAGCGAGCGAGTTAGTGAAACACAGGCCAACGTAGTGCACTTAGGTACCTACATACACTAGATACCTACTTAGGTATGTATGAATGAATATACCCACTCAGTCGGGCACACGAGAGACGAGACGAAAAATCGTTCTGTCAGTTTCGCGCAACGCGTTGGGACTTCGACACGTTTTGCGTTCGGTTGCGACTCCATATCTGTGGTTGCGACAATGTTTGGTTTTAACAAATCGTGATGTCCCTTTAGTTTGAATGAACCTGTCAGTTTTTTAACCAAATATTACGCGACCTGTTCATTATTTTTATTATTCTTGAATCGGTTTGTTTGTGTTTATGGGTAAAGAGTAGAGCGAGAGTTATTGGTGAGTAATCTTGGTATAATTGGAATAATAAGTACTAATAATTTATTCTTAGTAAAGAAATAATGCATGTTAATGATAAGGGGTTATTGTTAGCAAATGCAGTTTCTGTTAAAAACAAATTCAACGTTTTTCACGATTTCAGTCGTAGAGTAGGCAACCTAAAATGTAAACAATGTAGGTACCTACATACGTGTAAACTAAAGTAAATAAATTCCTGCGTCCGTTCTAATGTCGTGTTCTTGAAATTTTCGTTTTATTATTTACCTACTGCTTTATTTTGAAATTTTGTTTGATGTTTAAGTACCTATAAAAAGTTGGTATCAGAATAATTACCTAACTACTTATCACTTAGTAGAAAATTACCTACGCAATTTGAAGTTACCTATTTTAAAACAATTTTCTTTTATATACAAAGCTAACACAAATGAGGCCCCCGTTCTTACAACCTAAGTAGGGCGACTAGATAACGGATAAACACTAATAAACATAATTAAATAGATTACGTATTAAACATTATTTATTTACTAGCGGCCGCCCGCGACTTCGTACGCGTGGATCCCGTTTTACACCCTTCATCTATCTTACGCGGTTTAGATTTTTTCATACAAATGTTTTTTCCCGCTAACTCCCGTTCCCGTGGGAATTGTGCAATATCCTGTTGTAACTAAGCTTTAAGTTTACTAAGTTACCTGCATGCCAAATTTCAAGCGTCTAACTTAAGCGGTTTAGATTTTTCATACAAAAGGATTTTCCCGCTAATTCCCGTTCCCGTGGGAATTCCTAAGTATACTATAACCTGCCCAGGAGTATGAAGAATAATGGTACCAAGTTTTGTTAAAATCCGTTGAGTAGTTTTTGTTTCTATAAGGAACATACAGACAGACAGACAGACAGACAGACAGACAGACAGACAGACAGACAGACAAAAATTTTACTGATTGCATTTTTGGCATCAGTATCGACACAGTAGATAAATCATATACAATACTGTGGTATCGATCACTAATCACCCCCTGATAGTTATTTTGAAAATATATTTCATGTACAGAATTGACCTCTCTACAGATTTATTATAAGTATAGATTTAGGGATAATAAAACACTACATTCATGAATCTGACAAATAAATGCATTTGGCCCTCTGCAGGATTTAACCGTGCCTTTTTCCTGTAATGCGGTTTTCGGCATGCATGCGGACCAAATCCGGGTTTATTCCCGTTGTCCCCAAAAGTGGAAACAAATTAAATAATTAAATTCCCATCAGTGGGGACGGGTTATTCCCAAAGGTCCGACTCTATAGTTCTTATTTCCTACCGGGTCTATGAAATCTTAAAATGTTAATAGACAATGCTTTTTTATTTTTGCTGTCGTGGACCCGTTGGGAATCAAAGTATGAGCTAAACAGTAGAACTGTGGACCTTTGGGAATAAGTCGTGGGGACTAGCCTGGTGTGGACTACGGGAATAAACCCCAGATCCGCACACGGCGATGCGGATTTTCGCATCACAGGAAAAAGGCTTTAGTTAGTCCTAGACAGTAGTAGTACTTACATACTAAATGTAAATAATACTTTAACATGGGATTGGTCTATAATAAATGACATTAATCAATTTTTTAATTCCATATGAAGACGTTTTTGCGTGATCTGCGTGGAATTTCGTAAATGGTAAATGATCATTCACATAAAATCGTTAAAAATTTAACTTCACGCAAACGATATTTTTCATGAGTAACCAATTGCCGGACACCGGACGATCTGATGAGGGTTTGAAGAACCATCACATTAGACTAGAATTATTATTGCTTATTGCATAAAATGTTAAGCTTGGTGCTGTCGTTTGTATAATAATACTAGCGGCCGCCCGCGACTTCGTACGCGTGGATCCCGTTTTACCCCCGTAGGGGTGGAGTTTCGTAAAATCCTTTCTTAGCGGATGCCTACGTAATACCTATCTACCTGCATGTCAAATTTCAGCCCGATCCGTCCAGTGGTTTGGGCTCTGCGTTGATAGATCACTATGTCAGTCAGTCACCTTTGAGTATAGATAATGGAATCGACATCCTATTCACTCCTATTATTTACACTAATTAATGCCACAACTAATGCTCTAAAGCGCAATAGTTAGTTAAAGGTAGGTAGGTACCTACCTACCTTTGTGACATTTCTGTGCCGGTAGTTAAGTAGAATTTAAGCCGTATCAACAGCAAAAAGCCGTTATTATGCTGAGGCAATGTCTAGGTAACAAAAAGGGCTTATTTAACGACTCATTCATTTTAATGTTTGGGCGTAGCCTAAACAATGCCGTAACTGTGTGATAAGAATAACGAAATACCAATTTGAGTTGGTCTCCTTCATCACCTTCATGTTGCCCCCAACAGAATGTTAGTTCATCTTTATTTGTTTTTAAGCATTATCATTGTCACTACATAATAAAAAAACTTCCCGCATCTGTCTATCACTTCGTGATAAGCTCTTTTACGAGCTGAGTAAGCTGAGTTTGTTGCGGCGGTTCTTCTCAGCACTTGCCAAATGTTTGTCTCGAAGCGCTGGTAGGGCAAAAAAAGAATGAGACATGTATAGGCTCCTTAAGAGCATTTGACGATTTGCAAGAACTAATTTAATTAGTCTAAACAAATAAAGATAATTTTGATTTTGATTTTACGGATTTTCCTGCAGTTTACATGAATAGAGTAAAGCTAAAATTTTAGTTTAGTAAACCATAGCCAAAAGTGCTTGTAATCAACAAAATCAAGGCTTAAATTAGAATACTTACTCGTATAATAAGTCTTACCGTAACTCCTTATGGACTCGAATGTAGAGATGCCGTGGCGGGCTGTAATAATAATACTTAGGTATAGAAATTAAGTAAGGCTCTATTTTTTCTCTATGCTGATATTCTTTGTCAGTTTCGCTTGTGTTATTATTTACTTATTCGTAAAGTTAGTCTAGGTTAACGAGTTTTTTACATAGTTGCACCTATTGACATCTTTTAGCCATGGTCAAACAAGGAAATGATAAGCAAATTGGCTGGTCGGTCACGTACTATTGTACTAAACTTATTGGTGAGATCTCCTGAGTAGATTGGAGTTTTGGCAAAAACAGAATAGACTGGAGAGAGAAAAGTTGATAGATAGATATATATTTATTTGCAAACACTTTCTAACACACACAATAAGTATACCTAGTTGCAAGTTGCTAGCTAGGAAAGTAGAGAACATTTTGTATCATTATGGATTTTTGATTTAACGAATTCATATTTCATTTCAGAAAATGGAGCACCGTAGCAGAATAGTACAATATCTGGTGGCAGCCTCAGGTGAGTTTCCTATTACACAATACCTGCCTCTCTTTCTTCCTCCTGGTACTCCTGTGAAGCCAAGATTTACAGCTTGGCTGTCTATTGACATAGTGTTCCATGTATTTTAAGCTTCTGATATTAGTCAAAATTCAAGAAGATTTATTTCATTTCAGTGTCCTTGGCGTCCCTAACTCTTGGAGTATCGTCAGCCTGGCCCACACCTGTTCTACCGAAGTTCCATGCCAATGAGACGGGTGTAGAAATAACTGATGTAAGTTATAGACTTATTTTAAACTAGCTTTCCGCCCGCGGCTTCGCCGGCGTGGAATTTTGTCTGTTACAGAAAAACTTTATCGCGCGCATTTCTGTTTCAAAAACCGGGATAATAACTATCCTATGTCCTTTCCCGGGACTCAAACTAGGTATCTCTATGCCAAATTTAATCAAAATCGGTGAAGTGGTTTAGGGCTTAGGCGTGAAACCAAGACAGACAGACAGAGTTACTTTCACATTTATAATTATGAATATAGATAGTGTACCTACTTACCTACTTGTCTCAGTCATACTCGTACAATAAAATAGATTTGTTATAGTCAAAGATAGTAATATCTTGATGGATAGTATAAACTACAAATCTTGCCATATAACCTATCATGAATTTGTACTACATTAATAAGCCTACTTAGCTTTATCAGTTCATTTACCTGAGGACTTAGTAATCCTCAATTTTAACGTAAAAAACAAGGTTGAATGGATTAAGGCCTCATGAATCGTAAATGGCACTGTCTAAATTTTGGGCAGTTAAAGGATTGATGGTATTATGTACGTGGAGTGGTTAATGTGTTAACAAGCGGATTAGTAATAGTAGTGGACAGGACACTTGACTAACACGCGGTAAAGTAAGAGAAGGATAAAGAACGGACTTCACTCGTATCGTAATGTTCTTTACTAAGAACATAGAAAGACCTCTTTCTATATTCTGTGGTAGGTACTTTGGAATTCGCTGCTCGCTCGTCTCATAAGCCTATTAATATTAAGTCAACGTGCAGAATAGCAATAAATAATTGAATTCAATATACACCTCTACCACCTGCGGTGCGATGGTTGTTGGTTGGTAGGCAATATATAAAGGGCAAAACTACTAACGATGTGCTTAGATTAAAAAATGTTCAAGTTGAAACTGTCATCTTGCTGGCTCTACCAGTTGGTTCCAACGCCAATGTCCAATACGTGGATCTGGACATCTTCAAGTTGGCTCCGACGGGACAGGACTGGTATAACAGACAAAATGTAGAGGCTTAACGTAATTACCCGTCCAACGTTGGTACACACTTTTACTTAGGCTGGGTTGCACCATCTTACTTTACCTTTGACAAACGTCTAAAATCTGTCAAACTCCATACAAAAAACACCGGTTATCGTTAAAGTTACGGTCAAATTTAGCTGGTGCAACTCAGCATTGGATGTCACTCAAGCTTTTTCATACTCATAGAGACTATTTTTGCTAAACAACACGTTACTTCTTCCAGCAAGGAGCATCATGGATGTTAGCGATGAACTCGCCCGGGTTCATAGCCGGGAGCTTCGCCACCCGGTTCATCTCGGACAGATTCGGGAGGAAGGCCACTATTCTCGGGAGTGCATTCCCCATGGCTCTGGGAACTGTAAGTTATATTAGCCTCATAATAATTCTAGATTTGATACATAGGGAGGGAGCCATTTTTGTGCAACCTGTTTATACCTATAAATAAATGAGTTTAGAGTCTTCTTAATAATTGTAGGTATCTAATTATTTAAATCAATAGATAAAGTGTTGATAAGTACCTAAATTAACAAAACGCTCCAATATGATACGAGTATAAACATACCAGTGACACCAATTCACAAAAAAATCACAGACCAACGTTATCTTTAATATTGATCAGCGATAAAAATATAATGCATACGTTTCTGTACTAAATCAGTTACTACTGGAAATCACAAAATATTGAATGAATGATTGCAGATTGTACTCCTCTTTGCCAAGACGGCATGGCTCCTGTACATCACCAGGTTTTTATGGGGTGCAAGCACGGGGATGATCGGAACTGTAAGTATTATCCCATATATCCCGTATTATAATATAATACTAGCCTTTGCCCGTGGATTAACCCGCGTGAATTTCAATCTGTCACAGAAAGTTTTTTTTTAGTTTGCAAGTGGGTATTCCACAAAAACATTTTCATGTAAAATATTGGCATAATTATGCCTTCTTAAGCCAAGCTTCTAATTCTACACGCTCTAAGTTTACAATCTAAACACCTTATTCAATTATTGGCTTGGCCGTTTTGTTACAAGAGCATTGGTGTGGCCGGCCCCCAGATTTTGACGTGGTTGAATGTGGTCGGGCCCAAATAAATCGACAATAGATCAGTTTGAAGCATGATCTGAAATAAAAATTACAAGTAACGTCTTCATTTGCAGGTAGTATCAATGTACTTGGCCGAGATAGCCGACAAAGACCTCCGCGGCACCCTCTCCGTGGGCACTCGCTTCATGTTCAACTTGGGCACTCTTCTGGCGATATCAGTGGGACCGTTCCTGTCCTACCAGGCTCTGAACAGTTCTTTGATAGTGCTACCGGTGTGCTACTTCGTGGCTTGCTGGTGGATCCCAGAATCTCCGTACTACTACCTCAAGGAAGGGCGCGTGCACGACGCGGGAAAGACTCTGACGAAGTTGAGGAGTTACAAAGATAAAAAGGTATTGTTATCTCATCATCATCATCATCATCTCAGCCATAGGACGTCCACTGCTGAACATAGGCCTCCCCCAATGCTTTCCATGCTGCCCGGTCGGTAGCGGCCTCCACTCCAGAACCTTGCTGCCCCATCGGCCGTCAGTTCTGCGTACTATGCGCGGGCCTCTCATTGCCACTTTAGCTTGCTAATCCGATCTCATTTCTGATTCGATCTCGCATTTGTTATCTATTAGAATTTATACACTTGTATCGGAGTTAGAGCTCTTACTTCACTCACAGTGAGTGTCTAATAGCATTTAGTTTAGTGTTCTAAAATTAGATGTTCCCACTTTATTATTAGTATCATATGTAAGGGTTTATCGCTGTTCCCTGTTTAGTGATAGCTTTGATACAGAATAATCTCGTCAATGTCGTCTCTTGTCTCGTAATCGTACAATGAATTTACAGTATACCTACTATGTTAAACTCAAAGTAAATGCTATAGATGTAGAGATACATAACAAGAAAGTGGTGTCTCAATTTTGCAGGAGATGGAGGATGAGCTCTCAGCACTGCAGTCGTCCGTGGCCAACGAGATGCGCCGAGACAGCTCCGTCAAAGAGCTCTTCACAGGAAAGCAGTATCGAAGAGCAATTATTATTTCTACAGGTAACTTAACTATCTTATCTAATGTTAATTTTGTTTCAGACTACTGTATAGTATGTCAACAACAGACCTATACAGTGTCAGCCCAAAACTCCGCTACAAGAGTGGCGTTGTCAGTAGCATTCAATACTATGTATTACTGGTATTACCTATACCTAGAAGACCTAGATTAATAAATACCGCAACAATAGGATTTATCTTGTTATAAATGCATGATGCATTCAGTTTAATAAATTCCTGTCAAATCAATGGTATTTGCCCAACATTGCTTTTGCTTATTTTTTTAATCCGCGAGAAACGAATCTCAAGTGGTTTGAATAATACAGTACTTATTATTATTATTCTGTGATAATACTTGTAAATTCGAAAGGGCTACTCCACTTCCTATGGGCCTCATAAGAAGGCTCAAGGTCACCCAAAGGGCGATGGAGCGGGCTATGCTCGGAGTTTCCCTGCGTGATCGAATCAGAAATGAGGAGATCCGCAGGAGAACCAAAGTAACCGACATAGCTCGCAGAATTGCTAAAATCAAGTGGCAGTGGGCGGGGCACATAGCTCGTAGAGACGATGGCCGTTGGGGCAGGAAAGTTCTCGAGTGGCGACCACGGGCTGGAAGACGTAGCGTGGGCAGGCCTCCTACTAGGTGGACCGACGATCTGGTAAAGGTCGCGGGAAGAGCCTGGATGCGGGCAGCGCAGGACCGTTCATTGTGGAAAACCTTGGGGGAGGCCTTTGTCCAACAGTGGACGTCATTTGGCTGAAACGAACGAACTCCACTTCACATTTTTTAAATGTTTATGGTTTCTTCACATACATATAAGTATATTTTGATTTGTTATATTTCCAGGACTGAAGTTGGCACAAATTATGGTGGGGGTGGTGACAGTGCAGCACTACTTGGGAAGGATAATGCAAGATACGAAATCTGATATCAACCTGGCAACGATTTTCATCATATTTGGCGCAGTCAGATTTGTTATAGGTGAGATTCCTAATTACTGAAATAATTTTATGACGAAACAAACTTTAATCTAGCTTTGCGATTTCCGAACCGGGGATTTTGATGAGTTTTTTTTTAAGCCGGATCCAGACGTGTGAAATGCGATGTAATCCACCGTGTAATGTAATGGACATACGTGTAGTATCAGCAGTACTTTACATGCAATGCTCGCAGTGCCGTCCACACGTAGAATTCGTGTTACATTACACGTAATCTTACATTACACGTTACACCCATCTGGACCCGGCTTAATGTTATGTGAGAGTACTTACGTAATTATTATTTTTCAGGTATAATGTCATCGATCCTTGCCGATCGGGTAGGCCGCCGACCTCTGCTCATCTATTCCTTCTTGGGCACAGCAATATGCCACATCATCGCCGGGGCCTACTTCTTCTGCCAGGAAGTCCTCCAAATCGACCAAGCATCACTAACTCCATACGTCATAATACCATTGATTGGAATTTTCGGTTCCAGCATCGTCTCTACAATTGGGTTTGGGTCAATAATTTTCGTCATTCCGGCTGAAATATTTCCTATAAATATCAAGGCTGTAGCTTTGAGTGCTCTGAGTATATACGGTGGCGTTCTGGGCTTCATCGTGGCCAAGTTCTTCCAAGATTTGAAAGACTGGACGGGCCTTTGTGGGGTATTTTGGATATACGCCGGGGTGGCCATAGCTGGGGCGGTATTCTCCTTGTTGTGTGTGCCTGAAACCAAAGGAAAGAGTCTGGAAGAAATACAGATTTTGTTACAAGGAGACTTGTATGATGGTGGGGATGGCAGGACGAGCCAGGTGGCTAAAGCGGATGAAAAAGATACTGAATTACAGGAGCTCAATAAAAAAGATTCGACAAATCTTTAATTCGTTTATGGTTTTTAACTTTCTATAAATTACATATAAGAAATTAATTGCATTTAGTTAATTAAGTTTTAAGTAAACATGACAAATATTATCTTCCTGGAGATTGTTTTAAAATGGTTTGATTTTGCAAGTTAATACTAGATAAAATAACTAGTACTTAACATACTAAAGATGTCATTCACTCGCATTTATTTTTATTAAAACACTGTTTTACAATTCTAAGAATATTGGTCACAATTTCAAGTACGAGTATAGGCTAATGAATACACGGTTCGCGGAAATTGTAAGACTGCCTATTTTAAGTAAATTAGGATATAAAATACTATTATACCTACATATAATTTCATAGATTTTATTGATTATAAACTCAGGTGATAAAATGTCTGATACATAAAATGTAAGTCCGATTAGCTTTAAATCTTAGGATAAGGAGTTACGGAGTTATTTTTTTATAACTAAAAAGCAGTTTTATAAAAACTCTACTGTAGACACAGGCCAGCGATAATTGCTCCAAATAATTTGTTCCATATTTTGTGAAATATTCTTTGCTTGTGAAGATTCTACCGCAGTTGAAAAGTAGCTCGATGATTCATCCTCTTTGACATTATTTTTCATTAAAAATATACGACAATACCTATTGATAGTGAGTATATGTTAAATGTTAACAAGTATTACGTTAAGGCTTTTTGATTTGTGTATCAATCTTGTCAATGGTATTTTTTTAAACTTTTATATGTTTAAATTCAATTGACTTGTGCTCGATCTAGTTTTACTAATAGGTATAATTATGTGTATGTCATTGATCTCTTTGACTATTTGTACGTTTGCTATCACAATATTACAGGATTCTGCTGTAAGCAAATTATTATCTATGTTAATTGTGGACTCTATGTTTTATTCGAGTTCGCACTATTCGACCGTGTTATCACGAGTCCACACATACATGCCATGAGGCTTGTACAGCCAGCATCAAATAGTTGGTGACACATAAAGTGGCCATAAAGTTTGTATTATAGATGACCTAAACTGAACTGTCCCACCAAACTCATGGACAGAGGGACGCCACCATCGTTCAACTATAGTTTCCAACAGTGCAAAAATCGGAACCAGCGATCCGGTATTGACGGTGGCGCCCCGCTGTCAATGTCACAGATAGGACAGTTCAGTATATTGGATCCATATCAACTTTTTGGCCACTTTAGGTGTCACTAACTATTTGACGCTGACTGTACCTTTATTAGATTTTTCCAACTTTTGTACTTAGGTAGTTATTTGACTCTATGTCGAAGTTTGTGATTTATAATTGTGCGTATTTAAAGTTTACCGAATTTTATATTATGTTGAAATGATTGTTACAATCACAATTAGCATTTAAGAAACCTCTTGTAAGAAGAAATAAAGTATAATGTTTGTATAAGTGAAGTTTCATTTATGTTTTTCATTATTATTAATACTAGTATTATATTATGAGTGGTAACAGAAAAAAAACTTAGCGCTCTGCAATTAAAAACCTATACTTAATTGCCAGTATAACGTCGTATTTTTCGAGACCCTTTGTTACAAACTTACACTGATCAATAGACTTGTGAGATTTTTTGCCTGATGTTATGAAGATTTACCTACACATAATCATAAAATAGAGCCACGTCAGTGGCGAGTTCACAGTTCACTTTGAACTGTTAACAGCTTGTATAGTCTACTAACAAATAAAGAAGTCCACGGTTTTGCAAGAATGGATTAGGGAACTCGAATCACGGATCTGGACCCATTAATCCTACATGTGGAGACCACCTTTACTAAAACTTGTTGACATCATAAAAAGTGTTTTATGGTTATTGACAACTTCAACTATTTTTTATCGAAACCTTTTGTCTTTTTTTAATGGGATTACCTACATAGTAAGAACTATTTAGCTAATTTAATAAGATAGCGTGGGGATTATGGTAAAACCACACTACCCACACTTCCCCGCGTTTGCCCCGTCCCGTATCAGAGCGTCGACGTGACGTCACGGCTGCCAGGTGCGCAGTTAACTCGACCGGGTTGTACCTATCATCATTTCAGCCATAGAGCGTCCACTGCTGAACATAGGTGTACGTTAATTTTATATAGGTACCCGATGTACGTAATTATATTAATATACGTTATATTCAGGTATATTATTGTTGTTGTCCACTTATAAGTAATGTCCACTTTATAAGTTAATTCCACAAAACGTACGTCAGAAGGTTGGAACAGTAAAACATGTGATTTCTTTAAAGGTGTAATTGCGACTAAAATAAAACTGGCGGGCTCAGCCGCCGACACATACAAGGAACAGTATAACTATTGTTTTCTATTGTTGATTGTATTGGGCAATGATGTGGGAACGCAGGACGCTACTTAATACGCTCTGTTCATTCATGGAGTTAATTTATTACTCTGATTATTACTCTGATTAATGTGTACCTACAATAGGCCTCTCCCAATGATTTCTATGTTGATCGATTGGTAGCGGCTTGCGTCCAGCCTTTATCATGTCGTCGGTCCAACTTGTAGGTGGACGTCCCACGCTGCGTTTTCCGGTACGCGGCATCCACTCCAGAGCCTTGCTGCCCCATCGGCCGTCTGTTCTGCGTACTATGTGCCCTACCCGCTTGCTAATCCGTCGGGCTAGTCAGCGACTTTAGTTCGTTTACGGATATCCTCATTTATATGGAGAGGGTATATTCAACTGGGTTGTAATTTGTAAATAATTATCACCACGTGTTATTGCTATATTTACGCGGCATAATTTTTTTTTTTTTTTTGAAAGATTATTAGTAATTTGTTATTACACAAATTACTAATACTCCCGTTAGCCCCTCGTACTAAGCTAAATATGCTTGTGTCACGAGTGAGCTCACCACAATAGTCGAGCGGCGGCGGGGACCGAACCCGCGTTCCCCGGATCACGAGTCGGCCAGTCCGACCCCTTCACCGTTCGGCTATCGTGGCTTAAATGTTGCTATAACTGATCCCTTATCAGAGGGCATGACACTCATGTAACACACCCATCCGGGATATCGCTGTTATACAGACGGCAGTAGATCAAGATAAACATTGTGACATCTTATGTAGTTGTTATTAAGTGCTATTTTGCAATAAAATGTAGTCTGATGTGCTGTAGCATATAAATAGCTCAAAAAATGATTTCAATGCTCACAGATTTGCGATAAGGATGACCTTGCTCTATGGTATCAGTAACCTCGTCATCAATTGAATCAGATGTCAATATACTAATATTGACCTACCATTGATACTGGTAATTGATAAACGTAAATACGGTGGTTAGATTTGTTAAATAAACCATAATCTCAATCTTTGAAGAAAAAACTGGCCAACGAGAGCGTTCGTGCTTGCACTTCTACACAGGGCCACAGGACTACTTGTACTATTACAGGACCCTTTCTATATTATCCTTTGATATGAATGAAGTATGTATAGGTATCAACCATTAAGTACTTGCTCATCAGACAGTCTTGTAATAATTATTTGTATTGCCGTAGCAATGGGCCATTACCTCTATAATAATTTAGATGAAGCCGAAAGAAAGCTAAACAGTTTTTAATCATAGGTTAATAAATAATACTTTTAATTGAATTCAATCAGTATGATTGCGTTAACTGCGATATTTTTTTAGTCGTTTGTTTTCCTCAATACTGCTAAAGTAGGTACACTAGGTGCCAGCCAATGGCGTGTATTTTGTTATATTTCCAACTACATATAACAAAATTTCTTTAAGCCTAGGCGCAGACTATTCGTCCATTTCGTCGGCCGATAGTTTAGTCGGGCAGTTGATCAGTATGGGCATGTATGGAAGTGCGCACATTACACCGATTTGATTTGGCCGATTCTTCATACAAATTAAAATCGGGCCCAATTATCGGCCAACTAAAAATCGGTGGTCTGCGCCTAGTCTAATACGCACCTATTTACAAGAATGTTTGTTAGATAGAGTATCGCATCGCATTAGGCAATCGAAGCGTAATACGTCCACCCACAAGATGACCAGACGACCTCTGCTGGCTGCTACAAACCGGCCAATCTGGAAATCATTGAGAGAAGCTTATGTTCAGCAGTGGATATCCTGTGGCTGAAATGATGATGATGATGTACCTTACGCTGCTGGAACTGGCTCACAGCTTAGGAAGAAGACAAGAAATGCGCAGCAAGTTGTTCATAAACTGACTCTACCTGAAAAATTCACAACTGCTTTCAAAAAATCTCTGTAGTATTTGGTGGACTAACTCTACACAATTTATAGGAGTAACGCAATAAGTGAGGAAAATTTTTAAACATTTAAAACTGCTCAGAGGCTAACAGGTAATACTTATTCTTGTTTTACTAAACTAATATATTCAAGATCCACATCGTATGTGTAGGGCTGTGTTTGCTCAGGTGCAACCTTTTCGTATTCGATAATTGCTCAATTCAAAGTCAAAGTTTATTTGCAAAACTAATTAAATAGTACTTACTTACTTACAAATCGTCAAAATATATTTTATGAATAAAAAAAAAAACTAGTAAAAATAACCTTTTTACCCTATCAGTAGTAAATTATAAAAATAAGAGAAACACTCAAAAGTCATGGGCCGCGGCGACACGCCGTCTGCATGCTGTGTGGAGGTGTCCACGATCTTGCACCTCTAATGACCTGATAATTAATTAGTCAATTGCAACTGGCCGTTAACCGCCAATGCCATTAGCCGTCAAATTCAATTACGTCACAGAACGATAAGTAAACGATAACGACTTTAGAAACGCGTGCAGGCCACATGGGTTACATCTCCCGCCACTATAGCATCAACATCGGAGCGCGAATCATCAAAGGTTGAACACTATTATGTTAACTGTGGCTGAACACACATTTTGCGCGTCGAGTGATGTGTGAAAAACATAAAAAAATATTAGACAAACTGGTCTAATTGTGAAAAGTTTTAGTGTGTGTGTTTTTGTGTGGTAGCCGCCGAAATGTCGCAAGGGAACAGAAAGGCGCAATATTTGGTGACTTTTGCTGGTAAGTTATCAATTTTTGAACTCATTGAATATTTTTTGCGAGATTTGTTTAAAATGTTTTACTAATTTTGTAATATTCATAAACTTACAAGAGTACGGACCAAGAGTATATGGACAGAAGTTAATAAATAAAATAAAAAAATGCAATATTAGGTATCTACTCGTACGTTATGCGTATAGAAAATACACACGATTATATTTTTACTAACATTTTAAATATTAATCGAATTTTATTGACTTTATCCTTATTTATAGAGAAGTTAGAAACTTTTAGAATATTACATATAA